TTCACCTACCTCTGTGTCCAGCTTTCCAATCTATCGACAGCCTTCCTTTCCTCGACATATACTCCAGGAGTTTAGCACCGTATGACCACAAGGATTTCTTGAAGAAATTCTCCTCCTTCCACGAATGTGGCAATACGCAGTGCAGAGCAGCAGGATTAAAGGAACACTTCCACTGCACTGAGTGCTACAAAGTACATGTCTGCTTATTTTCTTTAAGTACATGCAAACTTATGTTCACCCTTAGTTTTAAACAAGACAAGGAAGTTGTACTTTGTAGTAGAAACGAGGGATCCTTTAAAAACCCCTTTAATCATTCTCAATTTAAAATCACCCATATCGATAATGCTTACAAGCCAGTGATGAAGAACCGGGTCAAAATTACCCATTTTTAAAAAAAAGTTATTCGGCAGGTGAAAGACCGTTCTATGTTGCAATTTATTATATATATCAAGCAAATTTATAACAAATAGAACAAAAGAACTTTTAACAAGGTATTTGAAGGAATCCTTCATCAGTATTTTGCACAAAATTGCGTTATGTTGAGGTAAGTAACCCAGGTATTGAGGCTTTCAAATATGCATAAGTAGTGACCAAAATGTGGAATAAGGTTATGAATTCAAAATTTTTAGTTTAAAATACTAAAATTCATGGGAGCTTGGGTCATGCATAAGTAGTAGTATGTTAGCACTGACCAACAGTGCCTCATTAAGTTGTTATACTACAGCAGATGTCAATGCCAAACGAAATCAAATTGTGCGATTGTCATTCGTAGTCGTCTTTTGTGCATTTCGAGATTATAAAGCATAGCAAATTCATTTTGTCGATAAGTTTATAAAAGCTATGATGCATATTTCATTAGGAGTCGTTAGCATCTAGGAAAAAATGAGGTTACCTCTAAAGGTTAAGGTTCTCGGGATAACTAACTACAGCGTTTTCGGAGAAAAATGGTTAAAACCAGTGTATCGAGAAAGACATGTGTTTTTATTTTCGGCAAACAGCAGACTTTCCCTTTTGTCAGTTATCCAAGCCATTTTTTTTAACTTTACGCACTAATTCTTGCTCTGAATTCCCCGAAAGGACTCACCTCTTTGAGTAATCCAACAAGTCATGACATTGATGGCTTAGTAGGCCTGAGAAATGCTATAGTAGCGTTGACTCAGAAGTGAGTTATTTCACATTTTAGCGAGGATTTTAGTGAGTTTTTCAACAAATCTGGCCTTCTCTGCCATTGGATTATGGCTTTGCTACGGTGGCCGCGGCATTTTACATTTATCCACTTTTCTCTATCCAATATTGCCACGGAATTTAATTCGATCGGGCACAAAATGCCTGTACTTTTTCTGGTCACTCATGCTCCTTTAAGTATTTCTCAGCACCAGATGTCAAGAGTTACACGGACTTGTTTGATGTCATTTGCTTTAGCAATCAATCCTTAACTATAACGAGGACTAATAATAGTGTAGTTAAAAGGCCACTTTGTGCTGACCTCGTCGTCACGGAGACGGATATTTTTGTTCGCGTGTATTTGGGAAAAGGACATTTCACCGTAATTGTGCATAAGTGTGTGTGGCCCCGGACATGGCGTTCTTCCCTTCAGGACAAACTACTATCTACATGAGCCCGAAAAAATTATAGCAGCTGTTGCCTATATCAACCTCTCTTGACCCTCCATTTGGCCGTCAGGAAACATGATAAAAGTGCCCACTGAGATTGTACAAAGCAAGGCGGTAAAAATTTTTCCTTTTTTTTTCATTCCAGTTTTCGACATAATTGGTGTGCTTACTGATTAGTTGAATGACGTGAATCCTGAAATCTGACCGTTAAAAAAATGCACCGAATTACATCACACTTCGGTTATTGTGTACGCACGGATAAAACACTGTCATGATATCAATCAGTGACGATTTTAGTGGGTTTTAAAACTCTGTTGCACTTTTAAACCAAACCTTTCAATTTTAAGATGGGCAACACCTTCATTGTGAATAAGCGTTAGCAACCTGGCAGTTATTGACATGAAATTCCCTTCTTACAAAATCATCCGGAGATGCCAATACATTAAGCATCATTAATGTCATATTTTTGGATTTAAGGTGATAAATCGGAGGGAGGAGACCATTCGACACTTAAAGTGGCACCGAAAGCGTATGGAGAGTTTGCAGTACGGATTCATGCGCTACAGCTCAAGCGACAACTGCGGCTACAACCATTGCAGCCATAACATGAAACAGACTCACTATCATTGCATTCGTGCCAATTGCTCAAAGGTGAGGAAAAGTTCACATTTTTGTCTTCTCCCATCTCAATACTACTTGTGGTTATCGCTTCATTCATCCATATGGATCAAAGGAAATGTCGTCATGCCGAGGATCGCGAAATGCCATTTAGACTTGTCTGTTACGTAGCTTCTCTTCTTTTCCTTTTCTTTTGAGCACTACCCTCTTCCAGCTTGGTTCATTTTAATATAGTAATCAACGGGGAAGGGTAAGTGGTCATACAATGGTTCTCTATCTCCGTGAGAGGTTCATCGGTTTCGACGAAGCCTATAGATTTCAAAGGACCTTCCTCTTTATGAACTACACTGTAGTAAAAACTCTTTGGCCTTGCCAATACACTACAGCGAGTGGATTCTGTGCTTCAATCACTCTTCGTGGGATCATTTAACGTTTGGATGGAATGCGTGTTTGAAAATAGTGTCATGGAAATAAAGTCGGTCTCCTTTGTCCTCAGCCTATCATTACCCCTCAGCTGCATATCTGAATCACTCTCAACTTCCTACTACGTTCATATTGCAGGAATTTCTTTTACATACGTTTTTGCTTTTTTTCAAATCGGAAGCCAACTCATTATAAGCCGTCTCACAGACGGCGCGATAAAAATAACGATGGAAAATTGGACCAGTGTTGACGTTCTTTTGGTTTCTGTTGGCTGTCCGCTGCCACAAATGCACCGGCACAAAGCGACCACCATGGCATCGTAAAAGATAGAGTTAAGACTTGCAACACTTACCTGTTGAACACCCCCTTCTTACCACAAGTTATTTGTGTTATAGCACAAAAGTGGGGGATTGCGTACCATCGATGTACATAGAGAGGTGATAGAGAGTACACCCAAAATGCAACGCGGACCTGGCACCACAGAGTGGCGTCAAACACAGATCCTGTGATTATGTCTTTTTTCATGTGTCCGATTCGAAATTCTGCCATGTTTGCATGCCAGCGCTTGGGTTTACCCGACTGTGGTAGTGGGCTTGTGGCTAAGGCACAAATTTTGACATTTTGTGCACATTGACAATCTAATCAGGCACCCGCGTACACCCGCGACTAACTTGTGCAAGTGCATGCCAAATGTTATTAAACAAGTTGTCGCTATGACAACTTAAAAACACTGATATCATCATCGGCACCAGCCTTAATGTTAAAAATTTCGGCACTTGAGTGGCTTGTGCCAATTATTCACAACCGCCGCTTTTGTAATTCCCGATTTTTTTCACATCTATTCTGATCCTTTAATTTCTACATCTATGAGGGGCACTTAGATTAAGACTATGTACTATAAAAAAACAAAGTTTTTTCCTAACACTTGATTAATATCTGCAAAGTAACTTCGGCACAGAAAAATCCATCCAAGTGCCTGCAAGTGTCTAACCCGGTCTACAATCTATGCATCAGCTACTAAGCAGCAGTACGGGCTATACAATACCCGTCGTATTTTCGGTTGGTCCTGGACGGCTTTCGTATAAGATAGTATTATTTGGTAAAAAGGAGTCTACCACAGTCTCATCTCACCAATGCAAATCCTTCACATAGACTTAAGTGAATCCGTGATTCTCAAGTTCAAGTGTGGAATGTTTTTCTGTGGTCATTCTTAATGCCATCACTTAATAAAGCTTGACCACTTAATCTATACAACTTTGCTAAAAAAATATCAAAAAAATGTGCAAGTGAATGATTTTCTCCAGTTGTAATTAAATGACCAACCTTTTGGCTACTAGCTGTCACAGCTAGTGATCTCTTGACATTAAAACGGCTTGCAAAATTAAAAATTATTTGTCTAAAAGTGCGAATTTGTTCAAATTTTACCCCTGTAAGTGTAAAAATGTCACTAGTTCAAACGAGAGTGTGATTTTTGAATATAATTTTTTGCACAAGAAAGCTTGATATCCTTTTTACCTTGTTCAGCTGATCAAGGCCTACCGAGTCTAAACCCGCACTATTTATTTATTTTTGTAAATTTTTTTCGGGTAGGTTAAGTTAATAAAAGTAATTTGTCACTGCATGGTGGATACTGTCTCACTTGTTGTATTTTGAGAACGAAACATCCTTATTTACCCTCTAGACCTACATCAGCACCTCGGATGTTCAAATGCATGCGAACTATCATAGGAAAGACGCGGTGATATTGCAAGAGGGCTTTCGCAGATTCCGGGCTGCCGAAGACTGCGGTAGTAATGATTGTCCCTTCGCCAGAGAACATACAACTCACTTCCATTGTCGACGACCTGGATGCAACTTCACTTTTAAAAACAAAGCTGACATGGGTAATGAACTACTGATTGGATTTCAGTAATAGGCTATCATAATGCAAGTTGTGTGTGGCCAGTTCGCATTCCCTCTCGCAACGCTAAATCAATTTTCGTGAATGATTTTTTAGAAAAGCACAAAAATCATCACTTGAAGAACGATGCAATCGCCAAGGATGGCTTTCGAAAGTTTACAAAATCTGAAAACTGCAATTTTATAGGTTGCAAGTATTCGGGCTTAGTCAATCACATTCACTGCATTCGACCAGGTAATTATTTTGCATGCAAACCATCTGAAACGAATATTCTCCCATTCATCGACCTACCTACACACAATTTATCTATCTGTTTACTATCGTCAGTCGATAGTAACAAGACTTTTCATTTCATAGGCTGCGACTACATTGTGCATTCAACAAGTCAGATATCATCGCATAAACGCAAGCACGAACGCCGAGAATCTGTCAGCTTTCCCTGCTCAATGGTACCCCAAAATCAACAGGTATTACCTCTGAGCTGTGAATATAGCAACGGCGCCAATGCAAGCACTCCTAGCATCACAGCAAGCACGACCACAACAACAACATCAGCTACAACCACCCCTAAGCCTTCACCTCCACAATCCATATCACCGATTTCGGATCCACAAGATCTCAGCTCAACTGCAAAACTTCTCCAACGCGCCTCGAGGATTACTGAAATGTGTTGGCAGAGGTTTCAGAACCCCGTAGCCTCCTCTCCACCTCCAGACTGCGAGGATACACAACTCGTGGAACAAGTGCTTGAAGAAGTTCTTCCCTCCCTGAAGCTCTTTAAGGATGTCCCATCCTGCAACAATGAACAATGCTCTCTCAATGGCACGGGTATTGGTCACTTCCACTGTTTCCGCACTGGATGTATGGACACTGTGGAGATGGATCTAGACGACAGAATCCCTGCATTTGAGGAGACTGCAACCATTTCCAGTGGAGATATGGACTCTTGGCGAGAGCACTGGTTCATGCACGCGTGGCAGTCCATCCTCAGCATCATCGGTTTTACTTGTTGCAGAGAGGAAACTTGCAATTCTAGTAAAAGTGAAGCGAGGTCGCATTTGCACTGCTACTTCTGGCCGATGTGTAATTTCACAATTGACATTGGTACTGCATCACCTCCTAGACTGTTACGGCACTTGACAAGGCATAATCAACACTTAGGGACAACGATTTATCAGGTGAAAGAACAGTCTACCTCTTTACTATCAGAGCTGGGTGGTGCAGCACAGAGGAAGCGTGGACGTCCACCGAAGCACTCCCGGGATATCCATATCCCTCGATTGGATATCTCACCGGAGAGATGTGTGGACGACCATCCTAATGTGCTTCTCACAATGGAGGACTTTCTGTCCAAAGCGGATATGATTGTTGGGGGCCTTAAGTTCTTCCCTGCTGAGGGTCCGTCCTGCGTGGATCGTTGCTGTCCTTTCTACATCACCAAACAGAGTCACTTCCATTGCATTCGACCTCGTTGTCACCTGGCTACAACCAACTTGGCCGTCGCGAACTCCCATCGACGGGAATTCCATGCTTACGTCATGATTGAGCCGGGATACGAGTACTTCGATAGGTCTATCGACTGTCGACGTCCAGCATGCTACGCGAAAAGGGACACTGCGCACTACCACTGTCTTCGTCCACGATGTGGTTACTCGTTTGTTCGAGTGAGTAAGATGAGACAGCACACTGAGTTTCATGAAGGTGGTGGTAACGCAGCAAGTGGCACTAGTGGCTGCGGAGTTGGAAGCGTGGAAAAAGGCGAGGATATTATAGACCCCTATTTTTACCGAACGCCGCCAATTCTGCCCCCACTGGGGCTAGAAAAGGGTGGTGCCATGGGAGATTTTATGCCATTTCTGATGCGAATTCTTGCAGAACAGGTTATTCCAATAAATAAGCCGGAGGTGACGGTGAACCTTCCGCTGGAGACAGTGGAATCGAATTCAACTGAGAGTGAGGATAAAATGGACTGGAATGAAACAGCAGACAAGGAGGAAGTAGCGGAAGAGGTGACGACGGCGGTAGTAACCAACAATTTAATTACAATGGAGGAGGAGGATCAAGGTACGGAGAAGTTGGAAGCAGATGAGACTGCGGTTGCGGTAAATGCGAAATCTACTTAGTATTGAAGATGAGATGGTATCCAAACCAATCTTCCACTGGTACTGTGGCTCATTAATGTGAGCTGTGATTTTATGCCTTTTGCGTCTTTATCTCGTTAATTTTGCTCTCAATTGTTGGTCCTTTTTTAGGTTCATCGAACGTCGTGGTTTGGTTGCTACGCCGACGCTTCCACATCCTCGTAACTGTTTTAGACGCGATCTAAACTAATTCGTGTGCAGTTATTGTAAAATAGTCCATAATCTCTAGGCGTTATTATGTATGTTCGGGTGTGCATAAGCAGATAAGTAAAGTGATTTTTTAGAATGAAATCACTTTATCTTTTTGATTACAAACAGCATAAACTCAAGTAATTTGTTATTTGTAAAAATGATGGAAAATGCCTTCCTTAAACAGAAGTTGGTAGAACAAAAAAGTGTAAGTTACAATCGACCGTAAAACTTCTGTGGATCAAATGGCGGGTGGGTAAGACTTGTTGTACTGTAAATCATAATTAATGCTTAGAGGGGATTAAAGAAATTACCGAACACTGAAGTTAGCAAAGCAGACCTAGGCGCCAGTAATCTGACAAAGAACAACTTGACTGGAACATGAAAGGCGTTAAGACAAAAGATCCTGAGACAAGCCTTTAGACGTGACGCTCCAATATCGGTGACAGGGAAATGGTTTGCCCCAATCGCTTTTTACGTTGAAGGACATGTCTAAGAGCAGTAGCGATTCATTGTGTCCATTGTTTTTGGAGACGACCCTGACTCTTAAATGCGACCCGGATTCATTTGTGTTCATAATAAAAACTCAGAGGCCCGCATGATTCAAAAGTTTTTCCATTATGATTCTTCATGGTTTCAACCATCCCTAGATGTTGCCTTCCTCATGTGAAGTTTCTGTGTAACATCCAACTTCCGAAGCCATGATTGTTGTCGAGCGCGTTAGTCAATGCATCCACAAACGCAGCATTCGAGTTATTTTAAATGATTTTTTAGATGGGTCGGAGAAATGTTATAGGCTAGGCTAATTTGGGTACGGTTAATCAAGACGATGGATAACAACGCTGGTGAGTGCTTGAATTTAACGAAGATTCCTGCAAACGTGAACGACGACACCAAACTCGGATCCTTGCGTACTTGTATCTGTTTTCATTTACGGAAGACTTAAAACGTAATATAGAATAGTGATGAGATTCCTTGTTGCTCAACAGTATAACATCTAAACGGCGCAAGGGTTTTGATGATAGTCGTACATCCGTCAATGACCATCCTACCTGTAGCAATGCCCACTCCTCCACCGTCAGTCATCCCTGTGAACAATCACATAGCTCGCAGGGAGTCTAATCAACGCATAACCTGTCTTGGGTTGAATGGGCATGCGAAAAGTGTAAGCGCAATCTTTTACTAACATCTGCGTATAGGGACAGTTTTCCCCTTTTAATCAGCGCAAGTGTTGAATGCTACACTGCACATGGAGAGTGTCGACAAGGAAGGTCAGAAATTTCTGGATCTTACCATTATTTGGAAGTAAATCGGGATACGTCATTTGTCTTAGAAACCAAAACGAGAATCAAAGTAATGTCGGCAATAGGTGGTCGAAGTTTCAGCACCGATGGTAACGCAAAAGAGAATGTCCTCAGATGATAAGGCAGTAGTACCAACAAAGTTTTGCATATCAGAGCTCTTTAAGTATTATTCAAGTGTTTGAACAAGCGTAGGAATAGAAAATAAATGCAGTGTGCATGTCTTAAAATAGAATTCATTCGCGGCCTTTAAAATCAAAATGATCAGTTTGACTTTGACGTACAGCATGCGGTAGAATGTATGGTCTATTTTGACAGAGCTACTTTGTCCTCTCAATTTTGCAAACTAATAAAGTACGGAAAGACTTACCCTGTTGTTGGATACATCTTTTTCTTGAAAAATCTAAGCTGCAATTTTAAAGACAGCGGAGCTTAAGCCTCGTGATATGTTGTGGAATGGTCAAAGTTAATGAGGTAAGCTACTTCTTGAAGGAGTCAATCGCTGGTACTAACTCAGGCGTTGTTACATTGTCTGGTGCTTCACCACTTGGTTGTCGTCATTTACGTCGTTCCTTACATTCAAACTCCTGACCTAATCATCTCAATTTAGTCGAATAGATCACAATTACCTGAACAACCCAATCAAGGGCTATACAATACACTTCCGGTAGTGTCAAAATAGGATAGCTCTGTATCTCTTGTAATTCGATGGCTCAAATGGCTTTGTCTGCTTAGCAAACTGCATTGTTGACGTTGGTTTGGATTTTACTGATCGGTGCTATATCCTACTTCATAGCAAGCAGATTTCATATGTCAATTTGCAGTTGTATGAACATTTACCTAAAAGTGTATGCCATGTTTGAGGACTACCTTGTGGACATGTTCTCCATTCATATGCCATTGCAGTTTTCCTTCCATTTTTATCTTCTTGCAACTCCAAAAAGTATTCAGTTTGCAAACAATGCCCATAATTCATTATTCCTATGTACAGTTGTTGACCCTTTCACTTTGTCCAAATCCGGTCTCGTTAGATTACTTGGTACCATGCAAACTGTAGAGCGTTGGACATTTGTTCAAAAGTCAAGGCAGCTCGAGTAGCTCGTCTTTTGTTGTGGACCTCCGCAGAAAAATATTGCCACCGACACCCACTAAAAGCCATATCGTACATTGCTGGCAGGAGCCAGGTTTTAGCAAATGCAATTAAAACAAACATTATTCCTATGTAAGACTTCATTGAATTACTACAAATTACATCTTCTGCTTTACAGCAATCCATTGTTTGGTATGAAATCGGTGCTGAAAATATGCGAGATTCTCTGTTGAAATGTAGATAAACAAACTATTTATCTTTTTAAGTAAGAAGATAAGTTCGCTCGTACACTCTATCCCTTAGACTTACTCAGTGGATGGCTATTCACCTCTTTATTAGAAAATTTTCCACTTCTTTGTTTAAACATTGGCATCACAAAGGCTCGAAATCTCGTTGAGTGCAAGAAACAGCTGCTTTTGCATTTGCCGTCTCTCCAGACTTAGAATTGATCTTGATTTGGATTTTTAAATTAAATTAATTACATTAGTTCAGGCAATTGATTTTTTTATCGATATCCCTAAATCAAATGATTATTTTTAACCAGCCTAGCAGAGCGCGGTGGTTTGTGTACCTGTGACGGCAATTTAACGATCAAAAGGCTATTAATAGATGCAAGGCGTCATGATTTGAAGGACCCGAATGGAATTTTGCTTGATGGAGAACGAACTGCTATTGGAAGGATGGGGCTTGCCTGTGCTCACACCGCCCCGCCTAGCGACAGATATTAGATCACTGCGTCAACTGCCGGTTAAACGTAGTGTTGCTTCCTCTCTCTCCTCCTATTCCAATCGGCTTAGCGTAAGTTTATTTTAAAAATTTTGGTATTTCTGATTAATAGAGAGGGTAAACGGTGACTGCAAGGAGGATTTGTTGGTGGGTTGGCATCAAGCCGCCTTATTTAGCCTTATATGCCCATTCAATGGTCTCTTTCTAGTGGTAATTTACAAAATCCTCTTCATTCTGAAATTAACTTTGTTTCATGACTTGAGTTAGGCTAAGCTAGCTGTGTTTGTGAATAAAACAGGCAGCTCCAAATGGGAAAACGATTCCTTCATTTCAATTTTAAGCATACTGACAACGTGGCTTCAATGTACATTTTTAATAAAAGCTGGAATGGCTTTGTCTATAGCCCGATCAATGTCCCACCTAAGGCTGTATTTTAAATGCTAAAATAGATTCATAAGAACTAAAATCTTAAGGTCTCTCTACTTTGTCAAGCAAAACTAACAAAGGTATTTTAGAGATCGTGTGTTCAAGAATTGCGTCAGCCTTAAATGTTTCTCCCAAATTATAAAGTGGAAATAAGATGCTAGATTTTTTTAACATCGTTTATATCATGCAAAATTTCATTAACATGCACTGGAATGTACAATCACTACCAAAACCTTATCATCCAATTTTTATAAAAAGCTATAACTACTGATGGGAGCACAATGTGAGGAACGTCATTATTTCTAACCATTAATCGGCATTAGAAATTAAAGGCAATTTTTTCTATTTTGAAATTCAGCTTAAGTAGAACGAGTTTACTATGCCTAATCAATTGCTTGAAAGAAGTTTTTCTATTTGGACCAAAAAATTGAATTGAGGTATATTGTAATATTAATGAGAAAAAAGGGATTGCGACGGTGATACTTCAACTTCTAAAGTTGATTTTGTAAACCATTTGGCATTACCCAAATACTTCATATTGGCGTCGCTTGGTGGCAGTGACACCTGACTCTAAGGCGACGGCAAGTTCACGGAGCTCTACTACCGTCTGTTTTATAGGCTGGATTGTGAATTCTATGTTACAAGGACTTGATATTTACAGTCCTAGAGGCATGAAGCTCTTATTGCCGTCATAGTGAATTTTTTTTCTAAATCCCCAAAAACTCAATCATCCTTGTCAAAAATTCTTTTATTGTGGTGATGCAGACCTTAAATTTTAATCTGTGGGTGCAAGTTAATATGTTGATTTGGAACTAGACAAAGTAATTTGGAATATCATTTAACGAAATGGTTAAATCTGGATTTTATGGAAGAGTATAGTTTAAAAAACCTTAGACATTTCTTATTTGTTTATTGCACTTACTTTTAAAAAGGTGCGAATTGTGCATCTAACGAAATCAGAGTGGAGTCTTTTTAAGAATTAAGGAAAGCGTTATATATATCTCACCTAGTCTCCTATATTTTATTAATGTACTAAACTTCCAATTTACCTTCTGCTTCCCAGAGGCCAAAGACAAGTAAAATCACCCTTTTCTGATTAAGTATTACACTTTCTATGCTTTTACATTGTTTCAAACTCTACACATTTATCATAGGCCGGTGAAGAAACCATGTCACATATATGTGACGCTGGGGTTAGGCAAGAGTTTGAAGGCGACACATATGCGTAATACTAATGACAAATGTATTACACCAGCTATTTATAAATCGTTTTTAAAATTTTCTATTTTTATATTAAAAGGTGTCAATTTTGAGAATCATGGAAGCGAATTCCACTTGGGCCTTTGCTCTTTATGACTTCAAAGCTATGGAAGATGGTGATTTAGCATTCAGGGCAGGTGACCTTCTCCAAGTAAGTTCTTTGGTAGGAGACACTATTGAATAGAGAATAAAGACATCAACTAAGCTACCCTTGAAAACGTAACCTGTTATATTCACATAGAGGAATACTTCAATGGTAGAGTGTAGAAGGACTTAGAGGCGACAAAATGTAGACAGACGCAGTCGAAACTTTGAGAGCTGAAGAGCCCGTGTAGTTGAGCATGAGTTTGTTGATATACAAAGGACAGAGAGCTCTTTAAAATATAAAATTTGCCTACTATATCGGACAAGTTCCTAGCTTAAAGAGTTATTTATTACAGTTATCCAAATCCCATCAAGAGAACAAAGGGCAGAACTGGCTTGCAGCCACAAATCCACGAACACGTTGCGTTGGTGAGGTGCCTGCCAACTATATCACCTCTGAGCGTGGGTATTCAGCAGCTCTAGACGCTTTCAGGGAAACAGATCGCAATGGTGCTAGTAAATTGCTTCAATCTAATGACTACTCGAGTAACTTTAACTACGTTATTCGACCCAGCCGTGGTTAGTACTTTGCATTGATAACATGAATTGTTTTTACATACTGACACCACTTTTGTATTCCTATTCTACTTGCTCATTTTATTATTATTTGACAGAATGCAATGAAATGGCCTTATCAATTAAGCCTTTAAGGGGAAATTTGACGCACTACAAAATCTACTTTAGTGGAACTGATCCGAATTGCTTCCTATTCGTGAACAAAACCTTCAAAACGATTGAGGATTTGGTAATCTATTACATGGGTAGGAAAACCACTGTCTATTATTCCATTGCTCTTCTCTTTTCTTTCTTTTTAGAAAATGAGATTGCGCCTGGATGCATTTTGCAGGCTTATAAACCTTTCAAAGATTCTCTGCCTACAAATCCTCAGGTCGCCAGATAGACTTCAATACCTCTTTACTAACTCTGCTTTTACCAGCAATGCAACGCTAAGCGAACACTTGTAGATGAGATCTGGCGTGTGTACTTGCAATAGATAATTTGTATTTAACAGGTCTCGCTGTGATTGAGGTGACTCTGAAGGTATTGTTTCAAGGTATGCTACAAACTCGGGTCCCCTGTCACGACCATTGCAAGGCAGTCAGGCGATAGGTAGACACAAATACCATTGGATGGGTGACTGGTACCACGAAAAGGAGAAGGCTTTAAAGTGAAGAAAGGTCCTATTTATAAACCATATAAAGGGAATTAGTCAATCATGAATTGCTGAAAACCTCCAGTTCCCAGGTAATGCTCAATAGTTGCCATTTTTAGGCAAGCAATGCAAGCAGAAGGATTTACGCTAGTCCAATCAAAAATTGACATTGGGCTCTTGTGAAACACTTAAGTTTGTACAGCAGGCCATTAGTTGGGCAGCTATCAATAATCTAGTTGGTAATTTATCTGCTCCAGGTTTTCAAAAAGCAAAACATTATGCGTAAAACACATACTAACCTTTATTACTAACTTTTTTTGCTAAGGAGCAAAATACTAACGACACACATACATTTTACTTAACCTCTTCTGTCGAGAGTCAAAAAGCGGAGCAAATAACAAAACCTGACTTTTACCAGTCACTTAATTCATCAGGACGAGAATGTCTTTCACCAAACACTTGTTAAGGGTGAAGCATAAGCTTTTCGTCAACGTCAATCTAACAATTTGGATGGCCCTCACTATTTAGCCTCTCACTTAAACCTTAAAATGGTTACGAGAAATACACGAGGAAGATCGGAGCACAAAGTGGTTATCGAATATGGTTCTTGCGCACAATCACCATGTGGTGTGCTCAAGGTGAAAGTTAGCCGACTAAGGCGGCCGCAACTTCGACCAGGAGTACTTTATATCAACTTACCAGGCATTAGACTTGGCTTCCCTTCCAAGACAGAATTGAAAGGGAGGCTTTTGAGGCTTTTGTCTCTGATTCCGTGTGTGTCGAATGCATTTGATGTTTCCTCGTGAACCACTTGCGTGACAGAAGAGGGTGGTGGATAAGGCGTTACAATCTTCCTAAAATTGCCACTGAAGAGGAGTGCTTTAGCGACAAAGTATCATTAGTTGATGTTTTTTAATGGAAATTTGACAAAAGCGTCGAGGTTGAAATGCTGATGCCGGCTCAGACACTGAATGCAGATGGACTGGATTTGTATCGTAAATGTCGCCGGCTACGAGCCTTTGTAGCACTGGCCACCGAGTGAGAGTGCTCACTTGATTTGTAGGTATTTGTATAAAATTCTGAGTAAGGTTTATCTTTTTTTGCCATTCAGTGTTTGTTTACCACCATTCCAAAGCACTTCGTTGACAGCAATGAGGTCGAAAACTTTAGTTCAAATTGCTGCTCATTGGCTATGGAAACAAACGTAGCAAATGACGAGTGGAATTATCTTTACACTGATTTATAGCATTATGCACTCCACAAAGGCCTCCTCACTTAGAGTCTGTTCACTCTAAAGCATGAGGCACTTTCGACCTTGTGTGTGAAACCTCTAAAAACTCCAATTGTATTCTTTCCACTAGAAAAGAGTGTAGAACGTCAAGGGCCTCACACATCGCCTTATAGCAGTTTCTGTATTCTGGACGAGGATTCTGAGCAATCCTTGTCACCTACTGTCCTCTTCGGGATTTGCAACTTTGTTAATCATCTTGTGAAAGCCATCAAGTAGTTTAGTCCTCCTATTATAGTTAATCGGATGAACCTGCTGAGGATCCACACGCAATGTCTTAACGACTCCACCGATCATCCTATCATGTAAAATTCCCCTCTCAAACTATCGCCTCATCTTCAATGACCCTCTAGTCACGTGACCTCAGCTTCAATTACCTTTTTGCAGTGATTCAGTGCAAAATGGAAACGGAATTATTGGCCTTTCGGCCCTGTGTTGCTGTTCCTCTCGATTGGCCTTTTTAGTGAGCCAATCTCTTTCACCAAGGGATTTGCAGTCGAGAGCTATGTCTTGAGTATTGCCTCCTCCGATTGTAATTAATCACACCTTCATTGTCACGCCATGCGCGTAGCGGACACAACACGTATAAAGGATAGAACATCACAGAGTCAACTTCTGCGATACCTACACAAGCATGCACACGCACAATGACGAAAGGTGGGAGAAGGTTGTGAGAGGACTACCAAAGGCCGTCACATTTTCATCGTGAGGTAAAAATAGGTGTGTGCCTGCGCTTTGTGTTGCCATCACATCTGTGGTGGTGCTAGGCTATGCTATATTGTAGCGTCCCTAGACTCCCTGAAGACGAAAGAAGACACAATACTCAAGCAGAATATATATATTCAGCACGGAGAAGGTGTCTGGGCTATTGGCATGGCCCAAAAGGCCAGCCCACCCAGCGAGGTACGAGGGGGCTAATTCAAAGTACAAAAGTGGCGCCTCACCAATACCGAGGGATAAACCACTATCGTATTACAATGTAACGCAGACTTGGATGAACTTCGAATAGCCCGGCGAATAATGATAGGAACAGCCATTCAAACGTGCTCCTGCCGATGCCGCTCCATGAAGGCGTGTCGCAAATATGTTGGTAGAATTTGATACCTTGCAAATAACGTATGACGATATACTTTGTCTGAAAAGGAGGACAGCGTATACGAGTTGTTAACCTGAGCAGTATCAGGAAAGTTTTTGAAGGGAAGCATCAGATTAGTTATCGTTTCATGCAACCAGGCAGACATAAAGATTTAATGCAAGACTTTAAATAGAACATATCAGTGCCAAGAATATCGACTAGTAGTCTTAAGAAACCCTCCACCTACAAGTAGAGTGCATAACTGGCACTTGTCAAGAAGCGGCTATTCGCGGAGAGCAGCGAGATACCTTAACTTCTGCGGGATGGTTAGTCACACACTAGAAGGCATATGTGTGCTACCAGAAAACGCACACAACTTCTGCAACACTTTTGTAACAAATAACAGAGATGTCTTAAAATTTTTCATACAATGAAACAAATGGCTCAACATTTTGAGGTGCTAATGATTGGGTTTACCTCCTCTGACCTAATTTAATCTTCTTTTGTCTAAATGTCAAGTATGGGCTGCAAGAGGACGTTTTCATTTTGAGTTCGTCGTCATGCATGGAAAGAGATTGCAGTGTAGACAATGCCGCATGCAGAAGTAAGTGGAAAGTGTACGTCTTCGGTAGCGTCCTACGTACGCATCGTTGGACAGGTTCGTCAAGATGCCATTGGCCAGGATGGCAGGCAACAGTGGTAGTGCGTGAGATTTCTGTAAACGAGACCGAAGGCATCAAGCTCGAAGCCTCGGGTACTTGTGTCTACTTGTATCAGCAAAAGACTTTATGTGCAATGCGGATTATTGATGGGATGCTCCACCGCCCAGAAGTAGGACGATCGAATTGTTTTAACATATTAAAGGCGGTCGTTTGTACGTCTCTCAGTAATGATCTCACCTTCCATCACCTCTTACGAATTGACATTCAGCCAGGACGTGGAACTCCTATCTTATTCTGGACATCTGAACTATGGTTAACACGCGTGACACATTTTTCCTGTGGCAACAGTGAACCCAATTATTGAAAATTTACGATTTTTGGGAGTTTCCACGGAAGTGCTCTTTTGTCCAGCACAGAAGGATGGAGTAAGGCACTGAAGTAAAAGGACGTTTTGACAAGAAAAACGAAGCATGGACTAACCATTCAGGTTTGGAGATCAATGGACCGCTAATAAGCAAACAAAGCAGGCTGTGTTAGGATGGTTCAGCTAAACCTTTGCAGTCAATAATAATTTGTTGGATTTTGTGTGTAAATGGGGAAGTAAGGACTTTTAATAAAAACCAAATTTATTTTTTATTGCCTGAACTCTAAAAGTCGCGATCTGACCTAGTGGTCCTTTGTATTTTCCTAATAAACTGTCGATGCATGAAAAACTCCATCCATTATTTCAATCCATAGAGGAGCATAATCAAGATGGTTGCTCATTACCAACCTAAGTTTTGAAACCCCTAAGTATTCAGCAACCTTTTATGAAATAGTTTACCCTAGAAGAAAGGCAGGATATAACAAGGCTTTTTATAGGCGCACGACACATCCACACACGTACACATTAAATGGATAGAAATTAGTAAATCCAAATTACAAAAGCTTTGATAATCAATTGAAGGCATGCAATAACCAACACGATGAATGGGTCACAAACACTGAGTGATTAGGCGAAAAATGTTGGCCAACAATTGGAAAAAACTGAGAAGTTCGAATACGAGTGGAAATTTCAGTATCACTCCTCGGTGTTGAGACCGAATGTCTCGTCCGAGTCGAACCAAGACGAAGCGGCAACCGAAGTGGTCACGTGGGCTGCGTTTGTGGTCGCAGTGGGACCTTTTGCACTGCCCAAACGCATTGACGATCGAGTGTTGGTGGGAGGTCCGCGGCCTCTGCTACCAGAGCTAGGCGTCTTCCTAATGTTTGCATTCTTTAAAAAAAGGGTAAAGACGAGGGGAATGAGAAAGATGAGTCTCAGTCATTCCAAAAATATTTGCTTCCATGGAAGCCATCGGCGTCTCATTTGTGTGATATTTGAGTTTACTTGTCTGATCGTGTATGTTTAATCTTACCTGTTCTTTGTCTGTGCAGTCGCACAAAATCGTGTCTTACAGACTGGTTGAGTTTACAATGAAATAGCTGAGAAATGATGTTTTTAATTAACGGAGAATAACACCTGTTTCACTTTTTTGCAGCAAGTGAATAAACCGCCTCAATGCTCGGTGTGGATGGCATACTAGAATAATTTGGAAGCTAACCCGCGAAATTCGGTTGTTCCTTGAGACTCCGGTAACAAAGGTGTCAAATTAAGCTTTTCCTGGCCCGAAATTCGCTATAATCGCCAGCAATAGAGAGAAACTTATTTGAACTGAAATGAAATTGCTGACAATAATTAAGCTGCAACTGAAAATTATGTGCTTTTATACGCCGTGAGTAACAGGGATAGTATCAAGAATATCTATTCTATTGCTAATAACAATGCGCTTCCTTGCCAAAATTAAGTTAAGATTGTTGAAATTACAATCGATAATTCCTTTCCAAAGAAACGAACTATACGCGATTTCTACTTTACACATTACACGCTAGAAATATGGTGGATGCAAAAATTACACCGTATCTTCCTTCCATCCTTACCATAGTGTAAACCTTCCTACGCGTAAGTCTTAGAGAAAAACCTTGATTTTCCTTACAAAAGTAGTAGTAGTGCCTGCGTGAGAAGGATGGTAGTAATTAAGGTATAATGGCTGAGGCTGAGGATGCTCGCATCCACTCATCTACAGGAGACTTTATCCAAGACACGTTAACGGTGTACTTGCATCCATCACCAACGATCTCGACAGTAATGATTAGCAGCCAACAGTCTTAACAGTTATTCCAATTAATAAGCATTCAGCGTTTTGAGCATTTAACCTTGGATTTAATGACTTTCACGTAATTTATTAACTAAATTGCACAAAAGACCGCTCTTCCTCTAGAAACGGTAAATGCAACCATTCTTGAAGATTTGCAACTCCGAAATGTAACACGCACTGTAAAGAAGGGGAAATCAGGACACTACATACGGACTAAGAATACTCAACTAGAAATTATTGCCTTCCCTTACAACCCGGAACTTAAGCTAAGTAAAAGAGCACCCAAGAAACAAAGTAGGGTTCTCTAAGATAAATCTTTCCCTAGATGGGGGAAATTATAAGGACAAATAAATGCAGTCCCTGTTCATTGAAATTCGTCATCTACTTTCGCAAGGATCGTGGTCTCAGTTCAGTCTGCACCTTTCTCTAAGACGTCGAGTCCAAATAGCATACTAAGTTGGACGAATTACATCTCTTGTAACAAATTCCGAATAAACATTCTAACCGCTGTAATAAAAGGGCATGAAACCTACTCGAGTTTGTGGAGTTCCGCGAATATTGGGAGTTCGTGGAGGTGCGGGTTTGAAACACGGTTGTGCCACAACAAGACACGTCTCGCTGTTTGTGTCCACAGTCTTCGACCCCGCCTGCAGCTCGACCTCCAACTCCGGCTCTACCTCGAAACATCCACTTTTAGGGGTTGACTTCTCAGGAGAAATGAGAAGCACTCGTCTGCGTTTGCACTCCGACCCGGGCTGCTTCAGAATGCTCTTGGGCGTCTTTTGTGGTGTCTTTAACAGAACCTACACACATGAGGTAGTTAGAACTCGATTTAGATGTAACTTCCAGCCTACCATACGATTCAATTTCTCAGAGAGGAGCGGTGAACGAGGCGTCTTTTGAACTTCAATCTCAATAGACTTTGGGATTTGTGTTGAGCAGGGAGGCGAGTTATTCATTATGGAGCGTTTGAAATCTGCGAATTCTGCTTCAATGTAACGAAGCCTTTCGATTTCCGCATCTTTTGTGCTCAGAGCTGCGGTCAACTTAGCCTTTTCGTTGTTGAGGTTAGTCAACTCAGCATCGAGGTTTCCTACTTTTTCCTCCATCTCTGACAACAGAACTTTCTAAGTTAGAAAAAATGGACAATCATATAATACAATCAATTTATTTAAAAAATGGGGATTTGCATGTGGGAGAATTATCAAGAATATGTTAATTATGCCGCTGTAATGGGGAAATTAGCTTTATGAAGAAATAGCTGAACTTACCTATGAATGCTTAAGCAAATAGATATTCGGGCATACCTTTTCGTCGGCGTCCTTTTCGAGCTTGGTCATCTTCTGCTTGCTCGCAGTTAATTGTTTCGATAGTTCTTTCTAAAACTCAGCAGCAGGCAAAGTTGGCATCAAAATTAAGTTTTGGAGAAAACGGGCATTTGATTGGGAATGATTATTCTCACCTTCTCCTGCACAGTTTCTTTTAGTTGATCATTGAGTTTCTCCATATGTACTACATTGTCTGTTAGTTTCTTTTCCTAAGGAAAATTCAATGCTGTTAAATATTTTTAGGAAAAGATAGATCCACACTCACTTCATCTGACGAAAATGCATAAACGTTTGGGGAATATGTATCCCATCTGTTCTAATGCCTTTCTCTATTTTAATTCAAATTTATTTCTTAATTTTAATCAGGAATTTCCTGTCTTTATTTTCAAAAAAACCATGTCAGATAACATTTGAACTACTAATTTAAGATAGTGCGAATTCTTAGAATTGTGATTGAATGAGTAATTTTTCCCCCCGAAAATAGCTATCTGTACTTGAACAGTCGGAGTCTACTTGATAGTCCTCGTGAGAAACCTACCGTTGTCAAGTTTATCTGCATAAAATATTAATCTGAATGACATTTGGAGGAATTGTCATCGGTATAATTCTCGTACGACGCCTAGAAGGCTTCTCTTATGGATTAAACAAATTTTAAAAAAATCATTTCCTATCTAAGTTATTAAGGACTATTATTTAAGCTTAAATTTTAAGTCTAAATCACGATTTAGCTCTGAATCTCAGCAGACTTACAGCATTTAAATTGCTCGTAAAATGCCAGAGCTTATTGTTGCTATGATGCTGCTTATAATTGCTATAACTTAAAATTGGTGTTAAATGGACAGTGCAAAACGAGGCGACATCACCATCTAGAAAGAGTTGATTTTTATGAGAACAACATTAAATATTCCTCCAAAAACCCACAATTCGTTTGGAGCTCTTATCCGCCTCCTTCTGAAGAGCATTTAGCATCTCTTTTAAAGAGCCAATCTCTTTCTCCTTCTGCCGCAATACTTTATCCGACTCTTGTTGCTGCTGCTCGACAGCACCAAGCAATTCGGCGCGCACCTCCTCGCAGTGACGCAGAGCAGTGGCGTGCTCGGCTTGTGCGGTATGAAGAGCCTCACGCAACTGCGATACCTCGGCGTCGCGCTGTGCCAAACTGCTCGAGCTAGTGCGCACTTCTTGTCCAGCGCGTGCCGCTGCATTCTCTAACACAAGCACCTGCTGCTCCGCCTCATGTAGTCGCTCTTCCAATCGTACTATTTGATCGTTCTTCAACTATAAAACAAATGTCAACACGAATGCCAACGAAGCCTATCCAGCGTTTAAGTTTCTTAATACCATTGCTAATATCTTAGTTAACACATTGGTTACCAGTGTCACGTATACGTGACAGAGCCCCTTATTTTGTGTCTAGTGTCGCAAATGCGTGACTGATGGGAACAAGTATGTGGTCCATTACGGAGCCAGATACTACGATGTATGAGAAGCAAAATAGAGCTCACTGTAAATGATGGCACTTTAGATTGGCATTTTCACCACCAGAGGTTTGAGGATGATTAGCCACCAAAACTCGAATGACCCAAATTGTCATCAATTTTTTTGAACCAACTCACTTGTCTCTCAGAAGAGAAAAATGAAACCAGTTTAGATAAAGAGCATAATTCTGCATCTACTTCATGTCATTTTAAAATCATAAGGTATTATTTAAAAAAGTTGTCATATTCTGGTAATCATCTCATATCACACAGTTGTGGGAACCCAGCCTCGGATAAGGAAGTCAAGGTGCCATCAGTGTGTTAGACTGTGCCAGTAGTGGTATGCTAATCTGACGTAACAGTGAGTACACTTAGCTCGACGAAATATTTCGGCTTCAAGGGGTTCCAGCCATCTTGCGAATTGCTCGCACTTATGGAGACTATTATAGCCTCTCACATTCTTTAGGCTGTGACTTTATTCATCTAATCTTTACCACTTGCTCATGCATATTTTTATCTGCTTGGGACCTCTTAAATTTTAATCTTTAAATAAAGCTTTGCAATCCTAACAAACTCACACGTTGCCTTCAGTACTGCGTGTCTGTTTTACTACTAAAATGATTATGAATGATACAATCCCTGTTTCATTAGTGAGGAGTGGGCAAGCGCAAAAAATGTTGAAATCAAAAACAAAGTGATTAAAAGCAGTTTGGAATATGCTTGATTTTAAAGGATTGTTTTTGATAGGATTTTCAGACAAAATGAACCACACTTTTCTGAAATGTTTCATCCAAAACAGCACAGCCTTATATCGGGACTGTGAATGTTAATAAAATGCCAGGATTCTTGCACAGACTTTGTAGCAAAACGGATAAAGGTTTTGCGCCTTTACCTGGCAAACTTTAAAGTCTCGCTACGACTTAAACGCCCGTATAATTACTGGCTGATATGGTAGAGTGAAAATAAATATAAGTGTACGACCGCTTTCCTTCCGAACAAACGGGACTGAGTCTTAAACACCCAAATTTCCACTTTTTCAAAATACTTTGACGGCAACTCTAGATGGGCAGAATGACACTTATTTAACATTACAGATCCAGTGGCAGAATATAAATTGCAATTTGAACCTACGCTAATTTTTCAAAGTGTTTTTAATGGCGCTTAATTTCAAATTAAGTATTGCATATTTGCCAAGCTTTTGCTTACAATAAGGACGTACAACAAACATAAGCTTATGATACAGTTTATTACCTATGGATGGGTTAGTGAATATATTTTTACTTCAAAAGCAATGAAAAAAGTTGTGAATTAAAAGTCTATGTGGGACAAAAATGGCGTGTCCGTTGTAATTATTTTGCCAATGAAATGCCAATATATTTTCAAATCGAATTAGCAAATTTAATATGGTGAGTGGTTTTGAGGCCTACGTCATTCCATTCCTGTCACTTATTTTCCAAATAAATGAGAGCCAAAACTCACCTCAATGCACCTACTCATATCCTGATTTCGGCTGTTGAGGTTATTTTGGTCAAATTCAATATTTCGAACTTTCGTGGTCAAATCCTCGATCTCATTCTGCTGATTCGAGGTTAGATTCCTAAAAAGTCCACGCAGATTTTTTACAATAATAAAGTATTTTCTATAGGAAAAAGGTGGTCTCAAAGCTTAACGCATCTTACCTTAGATCCAATATCTCTTTATTTCGAATTTTTTCATTTTCCTGAAGGCAAACTAGCTTTTCCTCAGCTTCGGCACGTAGCCTCTGAGAAAAAGGAAGCATTGGAGAAGCTACTGACATATTTTCCGTACCTTTTCATTGGACAACGATTCTTCTAGATCCTTGTACTTCTCCTCACTTTTATTCAACTCACACCTCAATGTTTCCACTTCCTTCTGTATGTATATAACATAAAACGAAGTGAGTAACAGGTATACAAATACAATTTAATACATGTTTTATTATTGAGTAAAATTATTGTTCCCTTTCCTAGCCATAGTCATGATCACTTTGATAATTGTTTCGATCTACATGAGTTCTCTGTGTTAACAATGTATATTATGATCCTCTTTCTCAACTGCTCTTATATTCCAATCTTACTTTGTGTATTTATAGGCCTCAACTCACAAAGTATCCATCTTTCGTATTCTTAAGAGTTGTAATGAGTCGGTCTTTCTCGGCCGTAATTCTCTCTTGCTCTTCAATATGAAGTAGAAGTTCATTCCCTTTTGTTTTAGCGCACCTCTGAAAATATTTTAAAAAAAAAACACTGAAGCCTAAGAGATTTATGACATCATCTCTGTTGAAAGCAAAGATCCATCGTTTGAGTGGATTTATAGCTTCTTCACCCCTACTTAAAAAGACAAGGCAGCTACATTAAGAATGTGATTATTTTGGCAGACGACAAGCATATAGAATAAATGCACAAATACATATTATACACGTATTGCTTAAGGACTACTGGTTAAGGAATAATTTAATAATTGTGTCTTATATCCTATCAAATATCTTACCAGATCCTCTATAGACTTTGACGAGCTGAAAAGTAAATTCACTAGAAATAATTAAAGAAACTGCATCGTTACTCCTTTCTTGTTCAAGCAACTTTAGCAGTTCGTCTTTTTCATGGACTCTAAAAGGGGTGGGCAATTTGAATTGGAAATTGAATGGAGTGCCTACAAAGCATTGAGGGTTAATATAGCCATATTCAACTTTTCTGTAAGTAGTAGCAATTCCTTTTGTCCAGACCGTACATCCGCCTCATGGATCATACTTTTCTACAACAAAATAGTCGTGTAAGGAATTTTCATTGGAAATTTACGCCTAACGTCACATACCTTATGCAAGTCGTCCTGAAGGAAACGCTTTTCTTCGGTTAATTTTTTAATTTCTCCCTCCATAGACGTAATTTTCTGACCTCTCTTCAGACAATTATTCTCAGAATTTTGCAAAAGTGTGTAGACTCGTGATAGGTCATCAGAGAGTTGACTGCATTTAAACAGGGCCTCCGATAGCTGGCCCTCTTTCTCTCTTTTTGAGGCCTTCACATTTAATAGCTCAATCTGAAATAGAATCCAAAAAACATGTAATATGCTTAATTTTGGCTACGTAGTAAGTTTGCACTAACATTGACACTTTCTATTTCTTTCTCCAACCCAAACTTCATTTGAGACCCAACTTCTAAAAAAAGGTCCATGCTCTCAAGAGTTGTCCGGATTTTCAAAATCTGATTTTTGAGAGTCTCGGCGCATTTTTTGGAAATTAAAGAGATTTCTTCCCTCTCTGAGACGAGTTTTTCAAGCACCGCCGTTAGCTCGCTATTGCGGGTTGACAGGGTATTTTTATCGTGGTTGTGTTTCTCGTTTAGCTGTTCTTGAGTTTCAACTATGTAAAATATTAGCAATCGGCAATTTGGAGTTACCTAGACTGCGATTTTTAGCTCTACTCTCATCTAATTGAATGCTCAGATTCTGGAAATCCTTGAAAGTATTCTCTAGTAAAGCTTCCAGGACCTTTTGAGTCGTCGCTGTTTTGAAGCATGTCTGCATGGCTAGAGAGAAATAAATTGATAACTATTTATAAAAAAGGATGAACGACCTGCAGCAAAGTGCTACAAAGTGCTTTTATGGATGATGAAAATGCACTTTACTCAGAGTTCGAGAAATGTGCTCATAATAAAACCACAATGATAAATTAACAGCGCGTCCAGTAAGGTGATATCATTTTAATATTCACTTATCCAGGAGTAGTTTTTAAAATAATTTTTACAAGAGAGAATGACACTTAAGTCAAATTTGCTTACTTGAAGTGCAGGTTGATTGAACAAATTCAATTTGCGTCTTAATAGCTTCACACAAATCTCGAGTTCCAATTATCCTATGGCATAAATACATAAGATTACAATAAATAAACCACTTTTTTTCTATAGCCTCTCGCTTTTCGACTTCATCCTTTACTTTGAGACTGGCGTTCTCCCTATCCATTTGCAACTCTAAGTTCGACTTTCGAAGGCTGGCCACTAAGGTATTAGCTTCTGCCAACTTTTCTTCCTATTATTAGAGAGAAAAGTAGTTTAATATTCCATTATCTCACGTTCTTATTGAGTTTGGCTATCATTTCGTTCTTCCAATTCTCTAACTTTACAGCCTCATTCTTCAGTTTAACATGCAAAATCGCTAACCTAAAAAACAAAAATCAATTTATAATCTTGCTTTATTTGCAATTATTTCCTTTTCACGAATGATTAAATAGTTAAAGAAAAGTTGATAGAGAAATTGAAATGCAAATAGCTCTTGAGACAGTGGTATCTACATCAAAAGCATATATTTTCCTAGTTTTCAAAATACCTTACAACTCACAGAAAGTATCAGTTTGTGTATGGAAAAATCGTCTATGAGTTAATCGTTAACGATCTAAAATTTTTATTTCCATATAAAGGTTATCAAAAATAGTAATTCAAATTCAATAATAAATTGACTAGGTGGTTAAGTTTCAAGAGTGTATATATTTTAAGGACGAGATTTTTTAGATATGCACGATAATTTACTCAGTTCCAATTCGATAACTCAAAGAAGGCGATAGTTTCATCGAAAAGTAATTACTAAGACCGATGGACTCACTTGTCATATCCGTCGGAATCGCATGCTTCAACTTCTCTGCACTGTCCTTCTTCGTGAGCAGATTGTCTCTGCACATTATTCATTTCTCCCATAGATCGGCACTGGTAGTTGGAATCCTGATTTCCCTCCTCGTTTGTTTGATCAAGACTGATTGTAGACAAATCAAGGCTTGTTCTTGACTCAACAGAATTAAGCCCATTTTTTTCAATATCCGTAATGACATGGGTAACTTTAGGGGAATTCGTGGTATCTGTGTCAGATGGTATATCATGCTCTGTAACTTCAAGTTCTGCGGTACTTGAATTTGACTTAAAAGCAGGTGATCTGCCTAACGTCGATGAATATCGGAAACCCATTGAAGGGGATGCTCGAGACTTCGATTGAAATCGAGATATTGATGGTGAAATGGGTGTAGTTTCGGTTGTGCGGGGATGTCGTGGAGAAATTTCGGGTACCAAAAAATTTGTTTTCCATTTATTTGTACTGGAAGAAGATACTGGTTTCTGCGGCTTCTCAGACGCGCTTTGAATCGGAGAACTTGGCTTTTCAGGCTGAGGCGAGAATATCCCCGAACGTGAGTAAAAGAAGTCAGTTGAATCATCGAGATCACTGGAGCTATTTAAGTCACAAATGGCATCCCACATTACTGTCGGAGCATTAGAAATATTTTTTGTACGCTCCCTCACACTCAGAGCGCCAAAATCCTTTTTCATCTTAGGACTGTCAGCAGAGTGACCAGATGAAGCTTTCTTAAATAAGCTAACGCCAAAGAACTTTGCCATATTTGCTGCCTACAAATCAGAGAAGATCTTTAAAAAACGAACAGAGCATCGTAAACCAAGGAAATTATACTTATTAGCAAACGATCCTAATTTGTTTCAATACACGTAAAGTCTACACTAGTTTGCTTTGATCAAATTTAAAAGCTAATGCTGTAAATCTAAACTGACAAAAGGATATACCATCAAACCATACCCTTCAAAACTTAAACGATATATGTGGGGAAGATATTGGATTAGCATGATCTTCAGTAATATTCAGCTCTAAAAACCTAAATTTGATAGCAAAAAATCATTACGATTTTAGGCAAAAGGTTTAGGCTTAAATTTGGAAAGTCTTAACAATTTGCTGCCTTGAGTAGCATACTTAAATCGCTATTAAAACACAGGAATCAGGGTTCGCACGATGGAACATTTGTATAGAACACAGTATAACTTGAGCGCTTATTTTATTCCTTGTCTGTAAGCTTATTAAGTGGAGGGTTGAATACCTTTGTGGTGCGAAAACAGCAAAATACTTCAACAGTTCAAGAATTTGTAATATCGTGCAAATTTAAACAAACAAATATTTACTCCCATTATGAAAGGCTAAAACCTTTTTATGGTTACTAAGTTAGTTGAAACTAGGCTAGGCATTCATCTAAGTAACAAATAATTTACACTCTACTCTATTTATGAAATATTTAAACCCCTTACTTATTTTATGTATTCCTACATTTGTGTTAACGACGCTTTCAATATATTTTAAACATTTATTACTTAAGTAGGATTTGAAAAAATGCTTTAGGTTAGATGCTTAATAAATTTGCCTTTGCAGAAAGCACTAGAGGGCTGTGCAAACTTCTTACTGTAATGCTTATTTTTTTTCTAATGTTCCCATCAGAGAGGAGTTAGGGACTCGACTTGAACATCGTGACTGAGGAGTCAAAGTCCTGTAATCTGGAGAAAGGTTCCGTATCCACACCCCCTATACCTGCACTTGATTCCCCATTAATTTATCCTAATAAACACGTCGAAGTCGAGTTCGCCTGAGTGTTCTAAGATTATAAGGACCAGAAAAGAGGAGACCTATGAACCTTGTCATACATTAGAACCTCTGTTTAGTCAAAATTGCATATATATTAGATTAGTGGTATATTACTTTAGTATGTTGTGATGTGTCTGTCAAATGTGAAATTTAGTAGCACTGAAGCGCTTTAAAACTATTTTAATCTCATAAATAAACTAAATAATCTTCTATGTGTTCTTAAGAAGTGGTATTTGGTTATGGCTGTAAACCGTTATGTTAGTTTGCATGTATTTCGGAACTAACTTAACAAATATCCCATTCTTTGCGCGAATACGTATTAACAATCATTGTTGTTTAATTTGTCGCAGGATATTGATTGAGTGATCGTGAGTACAAAGTGCTATATGATGTTTGATGTACTCCAATTGATTTTTATGGAAAATACGGTCAATTGCAAATTAAACTTGTCTTGTTTTACGAAGCCTCACGTTCTAAACAGCTTAAGAGGAATTTTCCATTTTTCCTGTAACCTTTCGACTTATTTTTCATTTTACATTATATTTACTCGTGTTTTACACAACATCGTAAATCTAGAAGGTGTGGTTTTGAACTTCCGTAGACTGCTGCGTGACTGTTTACTCGCTGAATATAAATTGCGATGAATTTTTATCAAGAAAGCATATATGCAGCATCATGGTGGTATGACCTGGTACCCCTTACCCTAATCCACTCCTCACTCTCTGTAACTTATGCGATTTTTAATAAAGTTAACAAAATTTATAATCAATAACTTCTTGAAATTGACCTTTTGATTCTATCATTAAACGCGTCTGGTTCCTTTGATCACCATGATTGAAGTTACCATTTCTCTAAACTAAGGGTGTTGCCTAGATAGCTCCCTACACGAAAATACCGCTCTCCAGTGACATCCATTTAAAATGTTTTGTACAACGTTTGCAGCTAGTCTCTTTAGTTTTGACAAGTTCCTTTTGCAGTGCGTTCTAAAATGTTTAAATTCTGGCTTCATTAATTAACCGGTTCTTGTTGAAATATTCGTTTCACTTTCATGTGCAATCATCTTGTAATGCTTTAAATTCATTCTATGATTTTTATCCTGCATTTTTACTCGTTAATTAATGTAATTCGTCGATCCTTGCTTTTCCACATCCCTTTTTCCAAAAGCAATGGTACTTAAACTTTAAACAGTAGCAATGAAACGTGTCTGCCGGGGACCCAACCAGTATAGGAGGTTTGAAGAGCAACCCACCACCACTAACGGTGTCTACGGTTTCGAGGTACTCAGCCAGGTGCGGATTGCAAAAGCACAAGCTGTCGGTCACGCCCTCGCTTGTTGTCTGCCCCCGACCTTTCCCGTTATACGACCACCTTGTCCTCGGCGCCCCCATCTCACCAACCTCGTGGCGGTCAACCCATCCGTAGACTACTTTATCGCTCCGCGTCTCTGCTCTATCCGCGATCCGCCTTACACACCAACAGCCAACAAACGGTGGGTGTTTGCATGTACACTTCGGCCTCGCGGCCAAACTTATGACTGTGTCGTCGCCCCAGATCAAGTCATTTTTCTGTGCACACTCAAAAGCACCTCCCTTCACTTCAACTTCGGAAATTGACTTCACTCAAGCTACAAATTAGCCTATCTCTATGGTCCCGCATTCTGTGCGATTAAATAACTCAAAGTTGGGCTTGTGCCTAATTTATGCTTCCTTCATAGAATCCTTCTTAGTTTATTTACTTATCACACTAATAGTGTCTAATATTGAATCCAAAAAAAATAACAACGCTGGGGTCTAAATAGTTTATAATTATGTTCTACAATCCCATGTTATTTTATCGTCAGAGATTACTTTCACATAGGGTGTTGGCTAAATGACAACTGTATCTACGCGATCTAGTGACTTAATATACTGTTCATGTATCCTGTCGTTCCTTTAAAGGCCTTTCTGCTTTTCGTTCAAGAAGCGAAATAAATTGCAAATTCTTAGGACGTGTTAGTGAGTAATTCCTTTACGAATTCATACTTTCTTTCCTTTTTTACCCCTTTAAAGTAAATCGTGGATCTTTGCACTTTTACAATTTCTCCGCATCTCAAGCCAAAAATGACAAACTCAACCTCTGGCATCCCGTATGTTACATCAGAGGTTTTGGCTGTCACGCTTTCGCCTATTTCTACATAACCTGATTCATTTCGAACTTCAGATTTCTGGGGATCAAACGTAGCTCGAAGCTGATTCACAATAATTTTACCTTTTCCATTAAGAAGGCTTTAATACTAATCATATTTAACTTTTTTAAATGACAAGTACATAGAAGAGTATTGCTCTAATGAGGCGGATTTGACCAACATAGGAGGCTGTAGGTCAATTTAGAGCAAATTACCTGCGTTTCATTAAAATTCTTGTTTATTTTGCTGCTAATTGTGAAACTGTATATTCCAGGGATAACTCACGTTATTGATTGACTCTTGAGGTCTGCTACATAATGTGATGGTTTTAAGTCGAAGAAGTGCATTAGGCCATATCTGCCACGTGTCGAATTTGCAAAAGTGAAGGATCGTTCTAACAGTAAAAATGTCTGTGACTTCTAAAAGTTAGCTCATGGCGAATCAAATTGGTAAATTAACGCAGATGTCGAAGTACTGTCCAACAGTACCGAAAAATCCTATTATGCTAGAGTTCCCTAAGTAATAATGTTAAGCATTGGAATGAATTGTAAACGTGAGGGAAATAAATTATGTTGAATTAGCATTGTCTTTGGCTTATGAACTTCCCTCTTTTCTTTAACCAATTCGAGAGTCTTTGTCTAGTTTAAATCCTCCTTAAAGCAGCAAAGCACAATATGTCAATATTGCTTCTGATGTTGATTGTGCTTTTTCCCAGGGATATATACGTGGGTGACCGCTGCAGTGAGGTTAAGCCGCGTCTCGTGGAGTGCAGAGAACGCAACACCAATGGGACGTTGATAACGAAGAGCGTCAAAGTGAATTATTTCGTTGCCCCACGCTTGAAGAGCAGTCGCGAGGTCCCCCGGATTTATTGCTGTGACTGCAGATTACCTACCAGCAAACAAAAATGGAAAGATCCCTCTTTTTTGCCTTGCTTCTAATGTCAGCTGCTTTCTCTAATTGTATGATGTGATCACTTTCGATGCTATATTTTATTACTGCAAGTAAACCAGCATCGACTAGTAATCATTTTAACTAAAGAAAGTGCTCATTTTTGTGTCCGCAGCTTGGATACTAGAGAAAGGTCAATAAACTTTGTGCAAATGAGCAAATTTTGTGTATATTTTGGCCTTCAAACAGTTCCCTTTTTATAGTTTCCGTAGAACTGCAAGTAAAGAGATTTCGTCAAGTTATCATATTACTTATTTGGTGCAAAGAATTGCGTCACTGAAAACCTTAATTTTATTTTGTCCCGATTCTCCTTCCTAAGGTATGTTCCTTCTTTTCTTTACTAGCTTTTTGGCGACTGCAGTCACATCCAGTCGAGTGCCTTAGCCCGACTGGTGGAGTTTAAAACAGCCTAAAGAGGATGCTGATTAAGCTACTGGGTCTGAGAAAGATAATGGCATCTGCATTTCATCTTGAGTAGCGGTGACGTTTGAATGGGTAATTTCAGTGGTGCGAGTATCAATGTCATATCCGAACAATGAAGTAGCTGGACTGTGATGGCCACTTTGCCCATGAGACGGGCACCAGTAGCAATGGGACTTGGTCACACAGGTTTCCAACCTTTTACTCCTTTTATTGCTTTGGATTTATCTTGTTGACAATGTAAGGTCATCTAAGTGGCAAGACGACTTGATTTGAGTTTACAATCAAGAATTTAAACATTCATAAACCACTCAAAATACTGGGTTCTCCGTTTTAGCTTTGAAAAACTGGTGAATTAACGATTTTACGTGAAGTTAAGTGTTTTGTAGGATTTTCATTTGTCGTTCTCCTCTAGCGTAATAGCTCTTACTTCAGAAAATAGGTAGAGCCCTAAAAATTCCCCGAAGACAAAAGAAATCCCAACACTCGGGTAGAATATGCATAATTGACGTACAGAGGGGCTTAGGACTAGTAGCATGTTCCGGAGGTCGGGCCGCCCGGTGAAGGTACAATCGCGGGGTCGAAGTAGCCACGATGCCAAAACGGTAGCTTAAATTAACAACCAACTTATTAAACACCCCTTCCCCTCTTTTGAGCGTCGTCGCCGGAGCTCTTCCTGGTCAACCTCCCGCGTCAGCCATTACGAAGTAGGTGGTGCTGTAAGAAAAACACCCTCGAGCCAATTGTGCCAGTCATTGAATTTCCATGCAACCGCAAAGATACTTGACCGCAAAGTCACTGATGCCTCTTGGGAATGTGCAGGCCATCACACTCGTCCATAGATGGTCGTAGGAACACTGGCACAAAAGCAAAGTCAGATAACAAAGGTTAAGGTTTGACATCGTTACGTAGAGGTATGATTTTGCATCTATCCCTCCTTGGCACTTTGTTTACACTTCAGTGCTAACTAGCCAAACTTGCCTGGGTTCTAGCCAGCTAGTAGAAAAGTGGAGAAGGTGTCTCGTGTTCACATATTTCATACCTTCATACCGGTACAGTGGACGGCTCTGTGGCGAAACTCTTTCGGATGGTTCATGGCTAGTGTCGCTTCACTTGGTAAAAGCTTTACGGAACCAGGGTAGTTTCCGAGGGTATATGTCATTTTCAACCCTTCTGTTAGGGGTCGTTACAGTTTCTCCCATTCGCAGCATATGCACCTCTTCCGCCCCGTTAAGTTTCATCACTCAGCTGTAAAAATCAGGATAGCTATTCCTCAGGGTCATGTTCGCTTTTCAGTCTCACCAGTGCAACTCTTGAAGACTTCCCTGAAGGTGAAAGTAGGCATATTTGCTCGGCAGCAGATATATTGTTGACTCACGGTAGAGCCTCGGTGATAGTGGTCTATTCGAGGGGTCATGTCGCCCGGCCTAGGTGGAATGGCGGAGACCCCAAAACCGAAAGTTACGTAAACAATTAACCCATTACAAATGTACCCCGCGTATACCATTAGTCGACATAGTTGCTTCGAGTTTGTCCGCAGGCATAATTCAAGCCTCGCATTATTCACAACAGTGTGGAATTTCATTTGATTAATTTTTTCCCTTCAGAGAATACCTTTGCTTTCATTTAAATCCAAAAGGGTTACTAAGCAATTGAGTAGCTTTATTATTGACTAAAAAATTAAATTGAGGTTTGTTACCCATTGTAGACACCCGAAGCTGAAATGGCTAACGTCTACTTGGTAATAACTTTAATTGTGGTTTAGGCACAACGCCCAGTAAAGGATAGAGACTTGAAATTAAACTATGATTTTTGACATAGCATATCACATTATAAAGCGCAGAGAAGCGTTAGTTCTTTAGAAAGGTTAGCTCATACTGACTGTCAGGAGTATCTACCCTGGAGGTCAGAACTTCATCAATGCCAAAGAAGTTAGGCAGACTGCCGTCGGATATTTAGCAGTACTAAAAATCTTTCTGTGCTTAATTTTTCTAGACACCAAGATTAAATCTCTGGTTAGATGTGAGCTCAAAGGCGGTGATATTGAGGTCTGCTTTTGTGTTGATAAGAAAGCCGCATCTCGACTTCTATGCCCTATCAAGCTCTTAAGAGCAGCTCAGCACTAACCGGTAGACTTGTTAGGAAGTGAACAGCCTGATTTATTCAGAAATTGCATTTATTGAAGAGGTGGTTAAGACAGTGTGATAGACGACAATAGGACTCACAAATGTACACACACGTAAACACTTGGGAGAGGAAGGAAGGAGGGAAGGGTAGGTGGTATTAATTATGCGTGTAGTCCTCGTTCCCTTGGGATCAACCTGGGAGGTCGTTGTCGGTTGATTTCGCACCGACTCAGAATTGCACACCAAATTACTCCGCTGTAATCGTGATATTAGATATACACACACAGGACCAAGAGTATTAATATTTAAACTGGCTTATTTTTTTACCACTCTTGGGGCTTTAAGCCCACCTATTTGGTACAGGAATAGGGAATCTATGTTGATTAGATACCGCCGTCTCGTATCATCTTCATTTTATTTCATTGAAACATCCTGAGGCCTCCCTGAAGATCCAATTAGACCTTCGTAAGTAGAAAAACAGCCCAAAGAGGGTAATTAAGAAATAATTCTCATATTACTATGGTAATCGTGGAAACCGAAATGAGTAAAAGACCCTCGTGGGTAAGTGCACCTTCAAACAATCGCCCTTTTATTACATATCCCCCCTCTTACTCTATAGCGCCGTCTCCTGGACCTCCTTTTTGGTCACTCATTTGTTTCCACTATCACAACGTTCTCAGTGCCTAAAAGATCATCCAAGAGGCAGGCATGGAGAACATACGTTGATTGACCAAACCGGGAGAACATTTGATTCCACCTTCAGCAGTGTGGCTTGTCGGTTCATTGGATCCAGAATTTCGTCCTTTTTGTGAAATGCGCTACGAGGATTCATTAACTTTGTATTTTTCAAAGCGTGACGATGTTGTACAGCGCGTCGGAACCTTCACCACCACTATATATTGTTTCATTTGCACCATCATTAAGCTTTACCATCTTGTTCAGCAAAGACTATTAGTTATGGGAAATACACTCCACTTACTGATGCGTGTTGATCCACGCGGGTTGCAGCCCCAGCATTATAGAGGCGCAAAAACACGAGCTCCAAATTGTCTTAAACGCACCTCACACTCGCCCTTTATAGTGCGAACTAATACTACCCCTTAGAAGCCCTTACACAAATTAATTGCTAGTAAAGTTTGATGCCGCCTGGACGGTGTATAGATTAAAAAGTTCTTAAAGGCACTCTCTCGGATGAAATATTAATTCACCACATCGGCCCATCTTTGAAGCTGCAGGCCGGATTAATGGTTACCTAGGGAATGCGAATGCGATGGATCCACACCGCACGTCGTCATGGGAGGGTCCACTTTTCATACCACAATAATTTTGAAGCACTCACAGTACCTCCCCAGGGGGTTAATTTACGTCTGTCTGTGAAGAAGGAGGCACGAATTTCTTCAACATGACGTTTAGGTTTCAATTGCTAGTAAGAAACGATGTGAAATATTAATAACGCGCTCTTACGAAGGACGAGAGAGAGGGGTAGGTGTGAGGATTGGAGAGGTGAACGGCTTGGCTTAGGACCTGTGCCTTCATAATTAATGACCTATTAGACCCCACCCCGAGTGCTAACGCGTGCATGTGTGCGTGTCTATGCATGTGTACAGCACATAGAGGTCTAACTGCAGCTTGAAATGCGTTTATCGTCAAACTGGGAATTCCGTCACACTTGAAAACACCAAAATTTGGGCTAAGCTATGCTAGTACTGCATCCACTTCTTGCCGATTACAAAGCATTTCTTAACGGCCGACGACATTCACTGAGAGATTCGAGCACCCTTTCCTCTGACGCGGAGGCTTTCCTGAAATTTTTTTCCCCTCATCACCATTAAGAGAATATTTGCCGTTTTTATCATTTGAGAAATCTCTTGTATACAGGACGATCTTTCAAACACACTGATTCGGGAAGATAATTTAGTGTTTTGTTAGTTGTAGTTAAAAGTCGATTGGAGTTTCCGTAAATCTATAAATTATTGTCCAAAACACTATATCTCGTAGTGCTTTCAAGGAGGATTTGGACCTCGCATGTAGGTGATATTTAAAGGCATTAAAATGGCACTATAGATCATTATAAAATTGCACAGAGATGAAGGCGTTACCCATTTCCTCTGTAGCACTCGAATTATCCCCAAAGATTCTACAAGGAGGTGGCTCTCTTATAGGCGTCTTGAAGGGTTAGAGGACTGGCAGCTGAACTTTATGGCATTTGCAAGAGACTGATGATGCCCATGTAGTGAAGTGCAAATTTCCAGATATTATCATTATAAGCTTTGTTATCTCAGTAACTTTTCATAGAATTCAACAATTTAGCCAGTTAAGTGCCATGTGCTGCTTCGCAGGTATTTGTCAGGACAGCCAAATTAGGAAGAAAGTTTAGTTGATGGGAGGCAGCCGCGAAATCAAAAAGGTGCAGAAATACTTTTTTTAAGTTTAAAGTGCAAGAGTCAACCTTATATTGTTTATTTAAAGGATTTAAAACAGGAAATCGTCATGCGTCATTCATAAACCACTTCAAAGGAACCAGTTCCTTCCGTCCATCACCTGGAAAAAAAATCCATTTTAATTCCCCCAATTTTTTTGCCTAAACATTCCTGATTTGATCAAAACTGAGGAGTTTTTTGTTCATTTATTATCTACAGATGCTAGTGTGTTTATTTTCATTAAAAAATCCCTCTTTTTACTAATCACAAAGCAGCGGTGCGATAGGTCTCGTTCTTGCCTGCCTGCCCACCTTCCCTCCTTCGGGTATAATTTAGTATAGCTTCTACTCCCTTCCCCAACCCCCATCGCCCACCTAACTCTACTCTAGTGTGCGCCTAATCATGCATGAATATTTAGAATTGCTACGGCACAGTGATCCTGCACACACAGAATGTAGGGGTGGGATGAAGCGGGGTGGGCGAAACATTCCGAGGCATAAATATTTAACTCAAAAGAGAAGTGTGCCCCGATAAGATAACTGTTCATTTATGGCATGATTAAAATTTCCTCTTGTACATAGACCAGAGGCCGAAGCTTGAGCTAGAAAACCAATCACCTACGGTGGCGTGAGGAGCGTGCGCATCTCCATGCGCCAATCGGCTTGGCGCAGGCATAGATGCCACACGCGTGCGTGCGTGCGTGCAAGGGAGCGTGAGCTAATAAGGCGAGTTAATTAGCGGCAGCTCCGTTAATTTGCTCAAGCGTCACGCGTTGCTTTCTGAGTTACTGCAGAGATTTTAAGCAATTAGAAGGCTTATGCAGACATGTTTTTTGTAAGCTTCTTGTTCACAGCAAGAGGGGGAGGCAAGGCAAAAAATTTCACTGGTGCTGTGGGAAATTGGCAACACTTGACAGCTACCTTTTGTTTAAGACTGCTAGATAAACTTATAATCCATGAAGCCCTAAGTGTATAGTAAAGTCTTTGTAATCTATGGTTAAGGATGCTTGATAAAGCACGGATAATGCATTGCTAATTAATTTAAACTTTCCGACCGCATCATGTGATTAGAAGTATTACAACAAAGAAGTACCTTGACAACATTGTGAATAAAACTTTAATGGCAAAAAAATACCTTAATAGAAATTTCTTTAAAACATCCGCAAACGAAATGAACATGTTTACCCGGTAGTCAGTGCTACAAGGATTCGTGTCAGGTGACATTCTTGATTCAAACCTATTCCATCTGCATTCAGTGTCTGTGCAAGTGTCAGCTTTTCACATCCTGCATTTCTGTCAAACGCCTATCAAAAGGCACTCTTCATGGGTGAGAATTTTTGGTAGACTGTATCACCATATCTTGCACCCCCTTCTGCAGCGTCGAATGTTTCTTAAAGAATCATCAGATATGTTTGGCGCATATGGAATCGGAAATAGGAATCTTAAAAGCCCCCTTTTGGTTGAGTTATGGAGGGAAAGCCAAATATAATTCCTAGTAAGTTGATGTAGTCATGACCTTAGGGCATAGGGATGAAGCGCTACTGGTCGAAGTTGTGGTCACTTTCGTCGGCTACCTTTCACCCTGAGTACACTATGTGATGTTTGTAGGGAAAGGATGAATTCGATTATCACTTTTTATTCCGATTCAAAAAGAAAGGACTGAGTTAAGCAAGTTTTTATGCCTTAATTTTTCGCCAAAATCCACTCAGAGTCACATATATGTGACGTAGTCATTTCTCGGCCGGGCCCGAGGCCTCAGATGTTCTCAATACGTTTCACGTAAATGTAGCTATGACAAATCGTGTGTTGCAAATTGACTGGATGAGTTTAAAACAATGAAGCATACAAGGGGTTATGGTATTGTACCGAGAACGGTTACGTCTCTTTGGCTTTTCGAGGAGTTGCACCCAAAGGGCAATAAAGCAATTGGTCTGTAAAGATGGATCATGCTTTAAGACAGACTCAACAACAACAGTGATAAGGTAGAGGCCCTCTAAGTTCTACAATTTACGTCCCCCCTGTTGAAGTCAGCGGAAGGTTGCAAGTGGTGTAGTTGCTTTGTGTGCGTGACTGCGCACTTTTGAATGACTCATATTGGTGTCAAACGACTTTTGAATTGCACACAGGCGATGTTATCACCACTTTATCCAGAGCCCGACACCCAACTTGACAGGTGAACAAACAGCAATCCCCCTTCCCCACCAAGTCTTGACAACGACCATCTTCGGTTTGATTTAGGAGCACTAAACACCACCAATTCTAAGGCTAGACTTGCAGTACACAGTCAGCACTTATGTGGTTCAGTTCCCACTATTTAAAAGTGGCATACTAGGAATGTTCAAGTCAAACATTGACCTCTGCGTTTGTCCATTTTAGAGCCAGTTTGAACTAAAAAAAGTCTAATGCTACATTTTACAATTACTCCAGAATTTAATTCCAAAATCTGAAAAGTATCTTTTGCTTAGGAAGACTTGTCGGTAGGGGTGAACTATTCCAGGACAGCCGGCTTCATTTTGACATTGGTGCTGAAATGCTGTGACTTCAATGTTCGTTGTACACGGATTTTGCCATTTATAACGATAGGATTAAGAAAACCCCTGTATTCCTAGTAAAATTTTTCCGATTTGGCGCAACATTCATTACTTCTGTGCTATTCGAACAGCAAAATTGTCAATGTGCCTAATGTCCGATAAGTCTTAGAAGCTATTTGTACTTGTTAGTGATTGTCCTCACACCTCCAATTGATAAATTTGTCCACCTGTCATGCAATTCCTTCACACAGTACAGGCTGAATGAATACTCGTTCTCCGGAATGACCGCTCTAGTGCGAGTTGAGGGCTTTGGGCTCTGCGCAGTAGGCCAAATGAGCTTGGAACCACCATGGTCGGGGTAGTCATGTTGCAGAAATTTCAAATACAGCCGCACATCTGGTGGTGGTGATCTTGATCATAATAGTTCTGTTTCCAGCCCACATCTCTAAACATACAGCCAGCGTGTAGATTGCCTGACTGATGCACAATCACCGTCTTGATAAATTGCCGGAGAAAAAATTTTTCATTAAGAACTTTTAGTGGGAAAAAGGATTTGAGCATCATAATAGGCGTGTATTAGGATTTATTAGGGTGGTTTAACCCTACTAAAAATCCTTCTCTGTCATAAATTTGTAGGTACTATGATTAAAGTGTGATACATTTGTAGAAGCAGTTTGTTCCTTTCAGTACTACACTCATCAAACAATATGACCAGCCAAACAAGTCATATCTATCATCGTACACAAAATTTGGTCAAAACAATTGGAAAATTTGTATTTTTTTTCATGAAATAAGCCATCCAAACATCTGCTGACGACAATGCTTCTCCGAAGTAGTAGTATGTTTAATAATCAATAAATTTGAATTCACACTGCTCTCTTCTCTTTACCACCATGACCCATTCCCTCTTCTTGAAAAAGGCCAAAATTCGAGCTAAAGTAGAGGACAAGCAGGAAGCGATAGCTCTGCCTCTGGACTACTCCTTCTTCCAGATTAAAACACCAGCAGAGATCCTGCGTTTTCCATCTCGAATCGACTCTCCATTGTCGTTGAAGACGCCCAAAGACGCGGAGGGTAAGTGGCTAACAACAGCATTGAAATTGAACAAAAATATCTTGGAAGATCTTGTCGATTTACCACGTGTTGTTTCTAGTCTCTTCCCATCCGAGCAATGGCTCACGTGGTTAGACCTTTCCTGCAACCTCCTGCATCGAGTCCCGCCTGAATTGCTTCAGTTGACGAGCTTGAAGATTCTCTGCCTCCACGGAAATAAGATTGCCACTACCCAAGAACTGGTAAAGTTGCAGCCACTCAAAAACCTCATAAAACTCACAGCTCATGGCAATCCGGCTGAATTGGAAACAGGTTACTTCATCACAGTGCTTGCAGCGCTGCCTAGCCTACTTAAAATTGACTTTACTGCCGTCTCTACCAACGAGAGGCTGGCTGCTGAACAACTTCAGAACTCGAAGCGGGCTCATAAGCGATAGGATACGCCTATTTGCCAAAATTGAGATCCATTTTCTCCGTCATACGGTCTTGCAAATAAGCTTAATTTAATTTCAGTGGGCCTTTAGATGAATAATGTTTGACAGGATGATATGCAACAGCAATTATAAAGCAAATCGCAAACGCTTTTCATAGAAATATTTACCTCAAAGTAAAAGCAGTTTTATAAAAAATCGAATGCAAATCCAGCTCTTGGAGCTTCGACCTAAGGTTATTCCTCTTTAGTCTGTTTCCAGCTATGATACAGCTCTTGATGTGGTTTAACAACTCTTTCGATGGAAGGTGTAGAGTCATTTTATTCAAGCCTTTCCTAACCGGTCTCATTGTCGATTTTTAAAGTGCTTTTGTCACGGAAATTAACCTGCGCGTATTTATTTTATTCATTGTTTGCATAGTCACAAGGACATTTACCACCACAGCAACCCTATTTTGCAGCTTCCATGAGGGTGATCTCGGTCTTCGCGGGGGATAAAAGACACCAAATGTATTCCATGTCACTGTCGCTGATGTGACATCGGAGTCACCATTGAAAAAATTAACAAGCATACGCGCCGAAAGGCAGTTTTCATTCTTCGAGTAGAGAGGGGCCGATAGACTAGTGACGCGGAGGCTGTTGTTCAAGGTATTGAAAAAGCCGAAGTTGCTAAGACACTTTAATCTCCCGCTCATCAAAGCCTCGGTGGGAAAAACTCAGTCTCAATCTCATTGAAAAAGCGGAAGAGAGCAGAGGCTCCGAAGGCTCCGGGGGTATGGAAGAGGTATAGCCCTAGCTGAATAATACACCATGTTCAGGGGACCCATTACTTTGTAGTCATAACTTTAGCTAAGAGAGTGCGTTAGGAGAAAAGTGTATTCGAATTTGCGACAGCAGTGATGGGCCCTACCGACTGGTACAATGGTTGAAAGGTTTGAGTAGGCTGGAAGTGGGAATTTGTGGTGGCGGAGGAGGGGGTGGAGGAAGGGGAAGGCATTTGAGAAGATCAAGGTCGAGGGGGCGATTAGAAACAGTTGAAGTGGCTGGGGGTGTGGCCGAAAATAGAGCAAGAAGGTCGGAGGGTGGAAGAGGAGAGCATTTCACTCCATCCGATGTTGACCGCATCATAAGCGCCGATAGGGGCTCTAACAAGCTATGACGCTGACAGCTTCCACGATCATCTGCTGCCCGTTGCTGCTGTTGTTGGAAAAATCGGTTTACGTTGTTTGTGGCCTCCGTTAGCAGTTCCACCCCGACACTAGCCTGCCTCTTCCATTTGGTTCTTCAAAAAAATTTACACTCTTTTTGGCACACATAAATGGAAAATTATAAATTGCTTGTGAGTCTATAAAGGATGAGAAGAAGATTCATTTCAAAATTGCACACTGAATTTCATTCTTCGCCTAACTACCGCCTCCTACATTTCTACACCCATCCTTAGCTTCAAACTAAGGCGCACAAATTTTACATACACATTTGTCAGTATGGATGAGCTGCACTAGGACAGTTTGGTGCCTTGGTCGCTGTTATCGCTGTCTTGGTAAGCAGTCTCTTGTGCAATTCCCACACATGACAGGTTGGCTGCATTTGACATATATGGGCGTTTAGAATAAGGTAGGAGTTTCACAACCGGGCGGAATGCTCTTTCCCAGAAATGACTGCTTGACATGAGCTATGATGTGGGTCGCGGATAGTAGGCTGTCGACTGACAGCGCTGGAGACGCTGAGAACCATCACTGATAAAATGATCGCTGGAGTACAGACACACACTCGGTCGTGCCTGAAACGTTTACGCTTCTCTATCAAATACCTCACTGGTGAGGAACCGAGTGCTCTATCACTGTGTTTTATCGTGTTGTATTGTGTCGTTGCGTGAAGTCTACCATAGGTATGAGTACTGTGAGTTCGAGTTTGGCCACTTCGTTTCTATTGACAACCAACTTCGATGACCATCGCATTGTGTTGCATGCATCCATTCGCTGCCACTGCTACCTGGATTCTTTCCGCCTGCTGTCAAAAGTAGTAACAGGATACCGTCGCTTACCGATGTACAAAGTGCAGCCACGACAGCATATCAATTGTAGGTGCAAATTAGCTCCCTATTTTGACGTAAAGCATTTGTTGCTTTAATGGAATTTTTGCATTGCCCGAAACCGTTAAATACCGTTTTATTTGACTAAGCATCTCGACAATAGCGCAAATTTCAATTATCTTCAAAAGCATTATCCGCCCTTAAAATGACGACCTTGATCACAGTGGCTGACACTTATTGTCGGGTCACAACTTATTATTGTAAGTGCAGTGAACTTTTAGGATAAGTACTTATACCGCACAACATTTTTTGAATGTGTGGACAAAGGAGTGAAAACTTGATCCTGTCTCTACTGGGGTCGCCTAGAGGAAAATCGACCACCACAGAACAGATACTTCGTTACTCGGATATGATACCAAAACTCGTCAATATCGCCCTCAAACCTAGGAGGTTAACCTGCGTTCTTTTTGTACTGTTTCAAACCCCAGCGGTCTGTTTACGATAACCGACTGGATATAACCACAGTTGTCGCAAGCTGACAAGGGAAACAAGGCACATATCTGCGATAACAGGCTTAGGTAGAAGAGGCGAGCTGTCAGACATGCGAAGTTGCCGGAGCTTAGGTATTTTTACTGGTCATAAATACTTTTCCAAATGGTCTTCACTACACTAATTCGGCCTTTTAGGTCATATTATTGCCATTCTCACCTCGGTTCCCCATTGGCTGCTTTTTAAAGCATGATTGGGGTTTAGGGCCCAAACTTGGCTTTTTCTTCGGAAAAACCAACACAAATAAGGCAACATTTTATAGCCCTGGATAAGGCTTTTGTGACATTTTAACTTAATGTTTATTAAAAAGGGTTTGGGCATGAAAATTTCTTCATTTATTTGTAAAAATTGCGTATATTTGTTTATTTCAACTACGGCTACAAATTCCATCATAGCATATCTATTTCATCAATAGATTTCTCATTCTCAATCCGTAAATGCAAATACGATTTTAGTATGATTAGTTTACAACTTAACGCATTTGTTACTAGCGTTTGGTTGTTTGTTCAACTCTCAGTCTTGGTAATAGGACCGCCCAGGGGCTCCACCATTGAACCTTCGCTGAGTGGCCGAGCCTCCGACCCACGTCCGTAGACCCCATCCCTTCTGTATGTCTAAAGTACATATTCTCCGTGGGTACTATGTCTTCCTTTGTCTTCATAAAAGTAACGGGGAGATGTGTGTGCATGACACTTTGAATTTCTCATCGAATCCTGGTGCCGCAGCATGTGAATTGGGTTTCTTGTCCGATAATAACAACTGCGGTTGTACCAAATTATGTGAATTTAAAATAGCCTAAATAAATGTCGGATGATGTTCTTCCTTTAAAACAAGGTAGATCTCTTGGTTTTGGAGGTGAAGTTGAAAGTGTTAATGCCGTACAAGCGGTGCTTCTGGGGTGTGGGAGTCGATTATCCACCAGGACCGCAGTGATAAAAAATTGCAGGCATTCCTTAAAATGCCAAGTGTTGGAAGGAAAAATAGGTCCATTCATTTCCAAATAGCAATTATAACCCCTCAAGTGACAAATATGATAGACTTCTAAGAAAGCGTAAGTCTATATTATTCCTGGTGCAGGCATAGTAGATTACCTTACCGAGTTGTAAAATGCAAGATGATTGTACACGGTTTTCTAGATAAATTGAATGTTTGCAGTCTAGATGTAAGATAAATGTCTTACCTGAAAAAAATTTTTTTTGCCAAATTTCGGTTCGTAAAAACACATTCAAGGGTTAGAAGTATTAATGGGTTCGTGCTTAATAATTAATAACAACAATGAAATGATTTGTTGGGATTGACCAATAACGCCGAAAATCTCACCGGTTCCGACTCCTATACTAAATAAATCGTCGATTTACTACTGCGTGTTTAGTGCATTAAACATGTTTGAGGACTTTTGTTTGGAAAGGTGCTAAATGGTGTCACTAATTCCAAATTAATAATTTGAAATAAATCCAGTTTTTATTGTTAATGCAATGCCTTATTTGTTTGTATAGCTCTCGCTTTTGGTAACGGGCCCATTGGGTTCTCCGCCACTGCACATCCACAGAGCGGCTTAGCCTCCGGGCCATGCCTGTAGCCCCAGACCCTCCTCCACGTCAACAAATCATATTCTGCCCTAGCATTGTGTCTTCTATCATCTTCGGGGGAGTCTTGGGGTGTTACATCGGTGGCAGTAGAAAGCAAACCCGATTCCAAAGGACAACTACTTGATTTCTGCTGCTGAGTGAAAGGCCATAGGGGGGCGGAAGAAGTACATATGCTGTGAATGCAAAAATCTGTCATAACCTCTAGTAGGAGGTCTAAAAATGTCGCCTACCTTCGGCAGTTACCCCAGTTTCGTGGTCTGCAGGAAAGCAATTAATAACCAAAGCGACACTAGTCGTGAACCATTAAAAGGTTCGTTACGAAACTGACTGGTGTACCCGTATGAAGATGTTAGTGAAGCGAACACGCGATACTTCCTCCACTTCCTACCAGCTGAATAGAATCCAGGCAGATATGGCACGAAAAAAGTAGCAAGGAGAAATGAACGAAAAACTCTACCTCCGCAGAACCATATTAAATCCTCTCCTTTGTTATATGACCCTGCTTTTTGGCCAGTATTTCTGCGACTAGAAATGAACATTTGAGATGTCGAACATATTCCCTCGTTCCCACAATAAGTTTCCATACAGTACGAAACTCCAGATCAAGTAGAATTGCCAAGGGGGATCAGTGACGTTGAGGTTGGATGCCTTCACATTTGCACGAAAATTTGATGTTTGTCACTTTATTGTGGCCGACATGGGAAGATGACGAAGGGAAGGACCAAAGACGACACTCAAAAGAGCAGAGGGGCTATATACTATGTTAGCTGTTTGCTTAACTCTCGTTTTTAGCAACAGGCCACTTAGGGGCTCCGCCTCTGTACGCCTTACCAGGCAACCTGGCCTCCGGTACATGCCACTAGCCCTCAACTCCTTCTGTATGTCGACAGCACGTATTCTGATCACGCATCATGTCTTCTTTCATCTTCGAAGGTTTCAGAGTGTTGCATTAACTTGTGTTTCCAGTTAAATGCAGTTATTTTAATATGACGTCGGTTCAAATAAAAGTGACTGCCTAAGGATTTGGATACACAACTCCTATGCATCCAGACTTCTTCAGGAGAAATTATTACTACTTGTAATTTTCAAACATTCATTCCATAAAATATCACTGTTCTTACCTTAGTGCCATATTCCTATTCGATCTCTTTAAAAAAACCTCAAACTCATCGTCCAATGTGAAAATTACAAAGAACACTTCTTATTCCATGTCAAGGTAGGTAGTACGTCAATGTTCACCAACATGTTCCTATGAAAAAGCATGTTCATACAAGACTCAAACATGCACATTAGTCGGATTTGTGGCCTTAATGCTTACTATCCAAGGAAATGCCACCAGACAAGATGCTATGCATTGCCAAACGTCAACATATTCGGTTCTCTAACACGGTTACGATTATCCATATTCAGCTAGCCAATAATATTACTCCAAAATAAAACACGGATTGGAAACCGACACGACCTGGCTCACCTCCTATTCTGGTACCACGTTTTCACCTGCATATCGGAAAGATGCAGCTTCTCAGCCAACTGCATTCGATCCTGTACAGAAAGGTACTTCTGTCTTTCGAAGGTGCGTTCCAGCTCATTAAGTTGATGGTCGGAGAAGGCGGTCCTCGCCTTCCGCACTTTCTTGCTCTTCCCCACATTGCTCTCCTCGCGAATACTGCCACTGCCAGCTGCCGTTGCCACTGATGGTGTTAAGACTGCTTTATCGAAATCAAGTCTACTGACTCCTCCAGTCTGCCGCAAAACGAGATCGTCGGGACTGAGAAGACCTCTGAATGGGTCACCAGGATTCAGGAGATCTAGAAGTATTCAAAAAAGGCTCTCATCGTAGCCTGGACACAAAGATAATTGAACGATATGAAAGAAATCTTACATTTTAGATGGGCTGTAGGCGTACGCAACATTACGCTACTCCAGAATACGACACGGAACAACACGGTGATGGGCCGCTCAGTAACGCATCGATGAGACATTTGATCGAGTGGTACAGATATTTCAAGTACGACTAACGGTATGTTTGTACGTCAGTAATCCTTCTGACCATGGTAGTTTTCAGCGTATCCAGCGTTCTCAGTTCATTGCTCATGTTCACCGTCCAAAATTCACAGCCCATCACTTTCATTACAGCCCTCATCAGTCATTTCTACGAACGAGCATTCAGGCACGTAGTGGAACTATTGCCATAACCTGGACGCTAGAACAAGTTGGATGTAGCCAACCCATCGTGTTGGAAAATTGCACAAGAGACAAACAAATCTTTCAATGAACACGGTGAATGCAATCATTAACGACTCTTGCGAGCTCAAGAGTTAGTTCACGTTGGTTACCAAGGCAGCGGTGACAGCGACGAGGACAGCAGACTGCCCTAGAATAACTCATCCGTACTGACAAATATACATGTGCGGAGTTTTCGTGTGGTAGTTTAAAGCTAAGAATGGGTGTAGAAATGTAGGATGATATAGCCATGAAGGAAAGAAGTGGTTTTCTTCCTCTTTTATAGATTTGCAAATTCCGATTGAGCTTTTTTAAATTTTTAAAATCTAATAAGCTGCTTCTGTGCAGATTCTTCAAAAACTAGCGTCGAAGCCCTTGGAAGTATTAGCAATGCTATTGTTCTTAGAGTGTGGATACCAGCACCACAATTTGCTGTAACTACAGTTACCATAAGCCAATAAGTGAACCGCGTCCCTTCGGGCTCGGATAATAAGACCAAGGGATCACAGAAAATTCAGGGAGGAGCCATAGTGAGAGGCCGTGTAATCCTTTACATTGTTTTGCTGCAAGCCGAATCAACGCGCAACAATACAGGAATCTTCACATTCCCAGGTAAAGACCGATCCACAAATGACCTTTCACAGTAAAACTATCATGCATTCCATTTGGCAGTGTATGTGTGTGTGCATGTATGTGTTCAGAAGATTGATGCAATCGATGACATTTGAGGCGCTCCTGCATCCTTAAGAACTTGTCAAGGTGCGTCATCGTGCTAAACGCTGTGCCATTTTCACAGGCCTTGTCTGTTGAAAATTGGCATTAAGGTGTGCATGCATAGCGGTTTCCAATGGGCCGAATTTAAAAGAACCACTTGCAGTGCAGCAGGCACATTCTCCGCCCTAGTTGAATTCTTGACGGTCAGAATTACTGGTATATCAGAAGTTATAGAGGTGGTATGTATGGGAAGAGTGTATACTTTCTGTTCGCTGAAAGTGTGAGAAAACAATCTGCTTAACATTAAAAGTTATTTTAGCCCTATGAGTTTAAGGGTTTTAGAATCCGAAGTGATTCATATCACAAGCCCTTCAGGTCTCTGATCATTAACAATAGTAACAAACTGTGAAAGCCTCCGATGTTGAAGCGGATCGTCTCACACCAAGCTATGTTCTTGGGGCAGAATTGACAGAGAGGATCTGGATTACTGGTCGCAATGAGTGAGGTAAAAGTTATTCTATTCGGTAAATACCATTCGTAGCAAACTGATATAGCCCCTGACCAAATTAAAGCCAAGGATGAGGAAGATTTGATTTACGATATCCTACGATTGCAGTAGAGATACAAAGAAATCTCCATGACCAATGATCGCCGATCAAGAGTGGTGGAAAATATATTCAGAAAATGAAATGCTACCTCTCCTGTGGTATCTTGAAGCGGCACTAGGTAGCAAGGGGTATTCAGACCGCCTTTAAAACACAACTAGGGCTTGATGGTTTAAAAAGACATTTCACAACGTCACAGTAGAAAACTTTGATCCAAATTATTATAAGGTTGAACTAGGCAATTCAATCCATCGTTCACACTGATAACGTGGTTCCACCTCCAGAAAAAGTTTTAGATGAAATGGGACTTCTGAATCCACAGGCCTAGAATAATATACATATTAGTAAGAGCCGCAGCAAATGTGGACCGGTTCAGTCCACGCACCGTTAGTTTATGTGACAGGTGATAGTGGTAGTGAATGCATGCATGCAACGCGATACGATGGTCATCGAAATTGCTTGTTAACGGGGAACGAAGGCGTCAAACTTGAACCCACGGATTCCTGTATCTACAGAAGACTTTACAAGGTGTGCTTCACATCACCCTACTCCACACTGTCACATAGTACAGCAAGGTGGTAGGACACTCAGTTAGTCGCCAGTGAGACATTGGATCGGGTGATGCGAATGTTTCAAGCACGACTGACCCCATGCCTGTACGTCAGGGACCACTTTGACCGTAATGATTTCCTGTGTGTCCAGGATTCTCAGCCCGTTGCTCATGCTCACTGTCCACACCCCACATCCCACATCATAGCTCACATCAAGTAATCATCCCTAAGAACGAGCATTCGGCCAGATCGTGGAACTCTTGCCGTATCCTAGGTGTCCAAGGCAATTAGGTGTGTTAAGGAATTGCACAAGAGGTTGACGAAGCTTTCTGGGAGCTCGGCAAACGTAACCATCCACAAATATTTGGGAATTCGAAGCTTTGAGACATTAGTTAAGTGCAAGTGCAAATGTACAACCCCTTCTCAAAGTATTTCCTCCTTGGCGCAATGGAAAGCATCGCTTTGACGCAAAAAGTGACTTCATTATCACGTCTTATTTCACACAACCTTTAACGGCTAGACAATGGGAGGCTAGTAAGGCTTACTTGCTTATGACAGAATAGGAGCTGATTGAATTCTTAAAAGGTTACGCGGATTTCATGGTAAATGCTGACCCATTAATGCAGCGGGTTGGTAGGGAGGCGTGGGGGAGGCGAAGTGGAACAGGGAAGCACCTATCACAAAATCTTCGCCGCTGTCAAATCACTTAATCACTTAAAACGAAAGGCTGTGTGAACTTTGTTCAGGCAAGTAAAGTCATTAAAATCCTGCAATTTTGCCTGTGTGCAAAAATAATGTTTCCCTATCTAACTAACTGCCTAACTGTCCCGTTTTGCGCAGAATTACTAACATTTTTGCGCTATGTCAAATGTCAGCATTGGTGTGTCCTTTTCCTACTTGATTTCGAACCGATTTCACCTAACTCCAAAGTAGACAGTTAAATGGGATTTCCTGCATTCCTTATAAATGTGGAAATGAGTGCTACGAACCCAATTTGCGGCTGAACTAATTCAATAGTCGCCATACTCAGAAACAAATACTCAATCTCATAGTGTTTGTTCTTCCTATGCAATCTTTTCAGCGGTAGTGTTAACACTAATTTAATTTAAATAAAGGGCTTTACAAAGTGATCATTTGTTCTACTAATGACTAAGCATTACTCGGTAACTTTTTGTCATATTTTTCGACATTGTAGTCATAAGCACGAACACACACAAGTAGGCATCATTGAATCCCAAACAGAGGATGGGCGTCTATGTGCTTTCGCAGTCTAAAACAATTGGCTTTGTACACAAATAAAAGTGTTACATTACGCACACGTTGAAAAGTTGAGGAGGAAGACGGTGAAAAAAAACGTGTTTTTTTCTCAAATCATCATCACAGAGTGTGCGTTTTTACAGTGGTCCACAAGTTTGTTAAGCTCAGTTGGGCAAACATAAACGGAGTCCTTGACGCTGCCCTGATTCATTGTAGCGGCATAAACCTTTATGTACACACATTATGAGCCAACTTAAAAATTAAAACTCCGTTTTTCGTATTTTGATGAGGTGTCCTGGTAACTGCAGTTATTGTGTGGAAAACGTGTCAAAACTATCATTCCTTATGTGATCAGGCAAATAAAGTCATTGATGAAGCAGGACACAATTTGCCTTTAGAATTTCGAGGTAGAAAGTGACTAATCATCTTACTTTTAGCTCAGTGGGAGGGTGTTAGGTGAGTGAGAAACTTTTTAAAATAAAACTTAAGTGCGATCTCAAAAGAAATGACATTAACTGAATGACACAGCAGACAGGATTATCGGGACCCGAGGTCAACTGATCCGACTGAAAATGACTGCTCAGCTCAATTAATCTTAGCTCAATGGCATCCTCATTTCAAAGTTTGCCCTAAAACTTGATTAGGTTTATTTAAACACCATATGGAAGACACATTTTAATCCTCACCACTATTGTAAAAATATACCTTGAGGGAAAGGGGAGGAGACGATGAAGAGGTTCAATAAGTTTCGGTACGAGTCATCAAAAAAGTCGGAAATGCAGTTTTTTTGCGGCGGCATCAAAAGTTACCTCCTTGTCTGATTTAAAAAGCTCTACATCTTCCAAAAGTAAAATTTTTCCAAATGGTACGGCATTCACAACAGGGTACTCGTAACTCAAAACCCTCCAATTTAGGGCATCGGTTTCGAGCCGACAGTTTGACTACACCTTACCTATTTAAAGATGTTTACATTAAAAAACGGAAAAAGCAAGCCATTTGCTTGACCGAGAAATATTTAAGGCGTGTAAAAGCAGTAAGACCATCATGAATTGAGATGATAAGTGGTTAGAATGATCTTGTTTTTCTGAACTTCTTTAGTGGATGCAACTTAAGAGTATCAGGCCACTTTTAAGTACCACATAAAACAGGGCATTCACAAATATTGCAGAAGAAATACATAAACTTCTAGCATGTTTGCTAACAAAGCCACTTATAAATGGCACCAGATTCTCCTCTCCAAGTCCGAGGTCACAAATACGTGTCATGTGCTCTTTAACAACTTAATGGTAATTGTAGTTGAACCAAATTTTGCGTCGAAAACAAAACCGCTGAGCTTAAAACGATTAACCGGGCGTAGAACGCTTCTGGCCTGGACAAAATTCCTCTTTTTTAGGTTCTAAGCCATATTTGAATCAGTCAGCTAGGTAGTGCATAGAACAATAAGGACACATTGAAGGGGTAGAGTTATCAAGGGTGGAATCCACTTTAAAGCTTAGCTTATTTACACTGAAATAGGCCCGTGTACCGCAGTTTGCCCTATGATTTTCAGAATCATGTAAGTGGCATGCTCAGATAACAATTTTTGCAGCAAGAATAACGCTTTCTTAAGGTGAGAGAATCACGGAGTAGTGAACTTTGAAGCGACTTCAATTCATCAGCAAACACTAAAACTTCCTTATAATCCGTTTCAAAGCAGCTTCATATCTTTTTATTTTTACTACTAGTGTTGCCTTGAGTATTAATTACTTCGCGCCTGGAAGGCAGATTTGTGGTTAGAAATGAGTAGAACCTTGGGTTTAACCAAAGACAAACAGTTGTTAAATTTCAGTAAAAAGACAAAAAAAACGACTCACTGTCATCAGAATGAAGCGTTTCCTGTGGCAAAAAGTGAAGATCTGTCGTGAATTGTTGGGTGGGTAGCCAAGGCGTAACAGGGAAGGATAGACGGGTGCACAGATCCATGGGAGAAAGGTCTTTAAGAGAGGGAATCTCCCACTCCAATGACTCATCTCCTTGCCGCAGTGGTCTCTGAATGTTCCTCTTCTGCTCCAAAATGTCACCAATCATAAAAGATGGCATTACCGCCTCCTACATGCGGCTTCAACCACATCTCACAGGACTTATATAGGGGCGAACTTTACGGCTCATCCGATGATTGGTGGATGAGGCGCTGGCCTCCACTGCGATTGGCCAAAGACTAACTAATCAAAACGCACCGCGAGAATGGCACCACGATTGGTGAGGCGAGGAAACTAATTGCTTAGGCCAGGTGAAACTGTTGTCTTATTTCGGACAGTTTTGAATAAAAAATAAAACAACGGAGCGGGACGGAAAGGTCAGGAACAGAAGGACGGAAAACTGCGCGACAGATTCTGAAAACGGTTAAATGACTGCAGTGTGGAGGAGAGGCGTTTTGGTGTGCACCAGTAGACTGGCAGTTACCCAGCCCCCACCCAACCTCCTCCCTCTCTCCTTTGCCATTTATCTGCATTTAGGAAGCAATCATTTCGTTGCGAAATGTCACGGGCAAAGACGCTTGTCACGGCCATTTTCAGGAGCTCAGCAAACTAAGTCAATCGGATAGGGAGAAAGGTTACGCAGATTAAAACCGAGATTTTCGATCGGGCAATCGGCAACGCAACACTCCAAAGGTAGCACCGATCGATACCTGAAGCGCATCAGATTCACTCCAATAGAGCGAATGAGCAACTCGCCTCGATAATCCATTCCCCAAACCATCCCAATCGAGCCGCCACCACGGTGTGCTCGACAAGCGCCAGCGACCAAGCCCCCAAAGTAGCCAACCATCTCAGCGCCTCAAACAGACGCCCCTGCCCGAGATCAGATTGACACTGCAGCCACCCGGCGACCAATAAAGTACCAACCCGCCGGACGCCATCACGCAAATTCTGACCATCTAGAGTCCTCCCCGTCCCCAATTTTGTACCGGCCATTTTACACTCGACCAAGTGCTCAAACTCCCGACCGCTCTCAAGCCACCACCTGACACTCCCGTTCTCTAGTCAACAACGCCTCGAAACAAAGTAATGCAACCCCGAGCCGATGCACCATCTCGCTCGACCCGCCCTGGATCGGTCTGGTGTAGTCACTGGAAACCACAATTAGCGATCAGGACTATGCGGGTCCCCCCAACAAGGGTAACGTACCTTAACAAAAAGAAGAATTTTCACCGTTCACTTAGACCCGCATAATAAACCTCAGCAGTTTCTCCACAACAGCCTTTTTATTTCGCTATTTACCTGACCTCACGCGGCAGCTAGGCACCAGGAACCCGTGTGAACAAAAAGACCTTTTGGGTGCATGCAAATTCATCTACAAGAATGATCCAGCCGCCCGTACAGCGACACCTCTCAATTAGACTCCAAGCGCCACAGAGAACGTGTGGACCACTCCACCCGCCGACGATCGGACAATTCAAACCCTGCCATCCGCGTGACGTTCAAAGCAACCTACCGGCTCTGATAAACCCGTTAGCACAGCAATCCACCCACCGTGGCAATCTTAAAAGGCCACAAAAAAACCATAAAACACAACCTAGGAACTGAATCACTTTTCCCCCTTACCGTGAGCAACTGACACGCGCTCACCAACGCCAGCAAATGGATCGAGCAACCCAAATTGAGGCGGGTCGCACCCGTAACCAACGCCTAAATAGACGCGCTACTCACACTTAAACAGTAAAATTGTTACCCAGTTCACATTCAAAGAGCGTACATCGCGCATTGCAAACCAGAGAAACCTGCAGACAACTTCACAACGAGCGAGGAACTAAGCCACAGTACCGAATAAAAAAAGAAAAAAACTAAACCACGAAGGTAGTACCACAGGTGCAAAGCCCTGAACATTCCGAGAAATGCAGATTCGCCGTGAACCCAAGTAACGCTTCGACAGGAACAAGAAATTCATGTGTCAAAAAAGTACAGCGAATTTATTTTTAAGAATCCAAATATCAAGATTCAAATATCCACGCAGCATGCATATTAAGGCACTTCAATCACATTAACAGTCTAAGTCTATAGTCGACGAACGGCTATCTATAAAAACACTGGAGATACTGGTATTATACAATGAATCAACTGATACAATCATATATAACCTGTAGGCTTTGCGAAAGCATTCATAAAACAATTTCCACATAATAGGAAATTTCATCATCAATGCTTATCACTATTACATCACAACAATCTATCCGCATTCATGGTGTAAAATTAAGAATGTATGAAATTCTTAACTTTTAAAAAGTATTATAAAATTTATTTCGCATCAAATTTATCTGAAAAATTCCACGTAAAAATATTTTAATCAGAGATAGTCTCCGATTGGGACGCACCGGGACCCGAGGAATACTAAGACCGATTCTCAGCCCTGAAATATGTGACGACCGGAGAACAACTTAGACTAGTTCAGACATGATCAGCAAACAAAGCACAAATTAAAGCTACTCAGATCACAACCAAGGGCATATACACTAAAAGCAAGTACGATTAACGCATATAATGATTGACGCAAGATAGTTTAAGCTATCGTTGATTTCTACAAGCTCACTGTTGTAACGTTATCGACAAACCGCTTTTCCAGAGTGATGTACACTAAAAAAGCAAGTTATGAAACACTTCCAGTAAGCTCATTCATCAGGTATCAAAAAAGTACTTTTTCAAAAAACATTCCCAAATATTAAGTAGTAAGCATAGACATTAATAATTTTTAGTATAGATTCTGTATTAAAACAGCGAGTAAATGAATAGCATATATGCGTAGTCATGATTTTCAACAATTAAAAGCAAGTTTGGATACCACTTTCAGCTTTCCCCGTCCCCAATAGGTGAATAAGATGCCGAACTGGGTGACTCCGAGGGGGGAGTAGCCGGTGGCTGATGAACAGTTTTACGAACATATGGGATATCATCCTCTTCATCTCCTGCTCCTTCATCCACTGCCTTCAGGTTTTCGCGAAATCTCCCATTGTCAACATTTTCATCACTCAATTCCGAGGAAGATGCAATGCCTTCTTGCTCCTGATGGAGCTCATCCGCCTCGTTAAAGGTTACTGCCCCTGCCTCATGGGCCTCGGTATGTGCATCCTTGCTCTCTTCCTCCCTTTCCTCCTCAGGTGTCTTGGGCGGTTGATGAACAAGACTTGGTGAATGTGTCGATGGCAACGGTGAAGCTTTTGATGTTGACGGTGGCGGAGTGGGTGAGTGTTCCCTCTTGCAGCCAGCGATAACAGCACCGTTACTCTCCAAATAGGCAGCCTCCTCGGCTTCAACAGCCCTGACGTCAAACGGCGGTGGTGATGAAGACCCAGGTTCCGAGGCCTTACCAGCGGTAGCAGTAGGAGCGGGTACAGTAACGACACGCGGTGTATTGAGCTGTGGGCCGCGGCTGATTTGCATTGGCGGTGCCGGGTAATTAATCATACTCTGACCCGCGCGGTCATCAGAAATCGGCTTGGGGCTAAACGCCAATTTCAGGTGAAATGGATGTGCAAAGCCCACAATGTGTATCGGACGGTGGTTGGCCAAGGCCAAGGCATCCAACGACTCCCCAATAGTATCCCATTCCGCAAGACCTAAATAGATAATATAGTGCAAGAGAATTATGCCAAGTCAACTGAAAAAAGCCGTCTGGCTTGCCCTACCCAGCGATGTCTTTTGACCCGGTTTGGCAGTGAAAACGACGATACGTGGGGGCCTTTTCACACCACAATCAGAAAAGACGTGACACATATCCTCCGGAGAGAAATTAAGAGGAGCATTAAAGAAATGCAAAGTTCGCGTTGGAGCCAAGATACGACTCTTTGCAGCAACCACAGCGTTCCTAAATCTGTTGTTCGAGTCAGCTAAAGTTGAATAGGGAGGAGTGAAGGCAAAAAATCTATTCCAGGAAATAGAAAGGGCAAATTTGAACACTCACTCATGTAATTCTTCATTACTGGTGAGCCATCGGGCAGGGTTCCCAGACCAGCATGTTCCTGAACCTCAATCTGCTCACTTGGATGAAACTGGATGACCTGCCCAAAGATGGAAGCCCCCTCCAGATGCTGAGATACAAGCTCAGCGGCTTCCTTGGAACCCATCTGTACGATAGCGCAACCTGGTCGGCTCTTAAGGAACTTAATTCTCGCAATATTGCCATAAAGACAGATCACATTGAAGAGGTGATCACAATTTATGCCCTCCGGCAAGTTGCTCACTACTAACACCGCCCCTCTCTCTGCATGGAAAATGGACATGTCGGTATTCCTTGCTGCCGCCACGGACGTCGAATTCAGGTTGGAGGTCGAGTGACCTACTCCAATCCCTGCTGGCGTTACGTGATGAACAGGGGGTGGCGTTGGCATTATCTGGGGCGCTGTTCTCACTGTTGCTGTGGGCATCTGCGGTGGCATTTGTTGTTGAGCCGGAGGTTGCTGTTGTGGATAGTACTGATAGCCAGGTTGTTGATAGTATGGAGATGGCATCGGCGGCTGCATACCGTATGGCATTGCAGGATTAGAGTAAGTGGACATGGGTTGGCCAGGCATCATTGGAGGGTAGTATCCCGGCGGTTGCATATACTGGCCAGGTGGCATAGAATAACCGTAGTAGGGTTGCTGATAGGCCATAGGTGGAACAGGCGGCACGGGCGGAACACTAGAAGGGGGAGGCGGAGGAGCCTGTTGAACAGCAGCTGTGGGAGTTGACTGCTGTTCAGTATGACCATTGGTAGCGTTGGGCAAGAGGGTTCGCTGACCAGCGGCTGCATTAGGAAGGAGGCCCTCCTTCGACTCGGTGAAATCCCACTGTTCATTGTCATTCTTTGTAACATGAATCTTCTTCATCTTAGAAAAACTGACAGAGAGACTGCAACAACCAGAGTATATATCGGCACCATCCAGATGTTCCCGAGCTTTAGTAGCTTCTTCAACGGTCGCAAATTCAACAAGCGCTTCCAAAGACTTATCCACATTAACTTTGCCTATGTAAATTCTCTGTAGCGTGCCATGACGAGAGCATATCGCTTTTAGTACATTCACCGTAATCGGATATTCAGCATTCCTAATATCCAGATGGAGAACACTGTTAGGTGTCGTATCTTTAGCCATGCTATTTTCGTTAAGTTGAGGCTTCATTATGTTAGCTGGCGCAGTTATTGTTTGTGACGAAAACTCCAGACGTACACGACAAACACCGATAAAAAAGGGATTTATCTTGGCCCAATGAACCAAACGCGTGGGTGTCGAGATTTCCGGGAACTCTATCAAAGCCGCCCTACCACCACACACCTTCTGTATACTTTTTACCTGTCCGCAACGTATAAAAGCATCGTAGATCTCATTCTCCGTACATTCTTGAGGCAATTCAAATGCTGCAACAGTGCAATTCGGTTGTGTAGTAATCAAATAAGAGAGATCAGCAGAAAGCTGGAAACTTGAAGGTACGGTCCCTGTGGTATTATAGTACTGAGCTGTGGCCACAGCAGCAGTATCCACCCTTACCCGCTTCGTCGGATGAGACATGACAACGACGGAAACAAGCAAATGTACGAGCGGATTAAAACAAACAGTACCCAGGTGCAAATTAGTTAAAACAAACGAAAAGCATAATACGAAAAGCTGTCAAAAATATATTTTAATAAGAAAAGTTTTGTGCATGTTCCGAGTGACACCCTAGTAATTATTTTCGGATGACCTGGTGGATTTGTGCCCTAATCAATTAGAGGTGAATGGACAAATTGATTAGTCCTATTCTTAAGAAGCAGCGAATTAAACAAATCGTAAAAAATTTATGTGAACCTTATTTGCTACAGCTACAAATAAAAAAACATGTCGGCTACCAATGTTACCAAAAAATATAATGTGAGAAATGAGGCGCCCCGAATCCCATATAAAATCACCAGCCTAATGATTTGACTGTTCACTTCACCTCCAGTTATGACACCGGGTCACTAGTAGGCTTCACTATTATGGCTTCGATATGCAGCCTGACCTTCGGGTCACACAAGTGGGCTCAAAACATTCTGTAAGTCGGCAACGCATATTCTCGCCGAGTATTAGGTCTACTTCCATTTTCAAAAGTTTGAAGACACTGCAGTAGGAAGCCATAACAGTAAAGCAAGTGATGAACTACCTTCGTTTAGGAGAGCTGACGGACAAAACAGAGGCTATGCCTTATAGTAGAAGCACAATCTGGTTAAAATCATGTACCGGAGCTCTCAATCACTGAATTAAACGAGCTATTAAAGCGATGCGCATCAAGGAGGGTCAGTCTAAATCTTTGCAAGAAACCTTTTGCTTCTGACAAATAAAATACGGGAGGCAGCGAATATTACCACTCCATTCATTCATGATGATAGTTGACTAAAAAGGACTTATCGTAGTGCTAAAGCAAATCAAACAAGCCTACAACAAATCATCTTTTTTTCAGATATTTATGTAATTCCGCTGCTTAATATACGCTGGTGGCCAATTTCCACTGAGTATTTTAAAAATGTTCATTATCTGCTTTATACTAACAAGATGCATCAATTGTTTGTCTAAAGCTCTGTTTTGGTAAGGGAGCACTCTGAGACTCCACCGTTGTACCCCCACCAGGCAGCCTGACCTCCCTGCCGTGCCAGAAACGCAAGCGCTGCTGTACGTCGGCAGTGCATATTCTGCCGAGGTGTAATGCCTTCCATCGTCTTGATGGAACCCTCAGGGAGCTGCATTGTTATATAGCACGATGGTGGTTTATCCCTCAGTATTGGTGAGGCACTACTTTTGTACCTTGAATTAGCCTTCTTGTACCTCTCTAAGTGGGCTGGCATCCGAGCCATGCCAGTAGCCCAGACACCCTCTCTATGCCGAATATATATATTCTGCCCGAGTATTGTGTCTTCTATCGTCTTCTGGGAAGTCTCGGGACGCTACAGTTATAAGTGAACCAACAACTGTTTATAGATATTTTAGAGTTAATAACACGTAGTTTTCTAAAAATACCATTGTAGATAGGTTCTCTAAAAACATTCATTCAAGCTAGTAGATTAGGCGTAATTTACCTTAGTCGAGGGCAGGAACGTCATTTGGTTATTAGCATAATTGTAGCGTCCCGAGACTCCCTGAAGACGAAAGGAGACACAATACTCAAGCAGAATATATATATTCAGCGCGGAGAAGGTGTCTGGGCTATTGCTATGGCCCAAAAGGCCAGCCCACCCAGCGAGGTACAAGGGGGCTAATTCAAAGTACAAAAGTGGCACCTCACCAAAACCGAGGGATAAACCACTATCGCATTGCATAGGCTCCTCCTCTTTTGAGCGTCGTCCCCGGCGCTCCCGCAGGTCAACATCCCGCGTCAGCCATTACAACGTAGTCGGTGCTGCAAAGCAACACCCACGAGCCGACCGTGCCAGTCACCAAATTAGCGCGCAACTGGGGGGATACTTGACCTCAACGTCACTGATCCCTCGTGGCGGCTTGACTGGATCTGGGGTTTCGTTCTGTTTAGGGATTTGTATCAGGACGGGGAACTGCGCCGGCCATCATGCGTGTCCACAGATAGATGCAGGAACACTGGCCTAAAGGTGGATTTGAATAAGGGAATACAAGATTTAAAACAGGTCCAGGGGGAACCGCAGGGAAAATCCGTAACGAAACTTCCAGATGGTTCACGGCTAGTGTCGCTTCAGTTGTTAATAGCTTTTCTGCAGAACACGGGACTGGGAGAGATGCCGAAGGTAGACGTCAACATCAACCCTTCTATTAGGGGTTATCACCATTCTCCCATCCGTAGCATATGTACTTCTTCTGCTCCACTAAGGCTTATCACGCAGAAGTGGAAAATCAGGATACATGTCTTTCAAGATCGGGTTCGCTTTCCGCTGCCACCGGTGTAGCGTCCCGAGACTCCCTGAAGACGAAAGAAGACACAATACTCAAGCAGAATATATATATTCAGCGCGGAGAAGGTGTCTGGGCTATTGCTATGGCCCAAAAGGCCAGCCCACCCAGCGAGGTACAAGGGGGCTAATTCAAAGTACAAAAGTGGCACCTCACCAAAACCGAGGGATAAACCACTATAGTATTGCATAATCATTAAGGAAAATATTTTATCTGGATATTCGGGTAGGTTTGTCATGAGGAATCAGAACTGATTTAGTCATTATGACGTACAAAATAAAACTCCAGAAGCTGTAACTTGGCAAATAATTAGCTACCAAACTCATGTAGATACCCACCGAAATTAATAGGCGTGACTTTTAATAATTGTCTGCCTAGTCTCATTTGCTTTGCAGAAGTAAGAAAAATGGCGGTGTTGTTTTACATTTTAATGTTCAAAAAAGGAAGATATATTCCATCATAACGACTTGCCTGCATTTCGTAACCTCTCTAGCGCTGATACTACTTACCGGCTAATTCGTAGAAAAGTAAACGTGGATCACGTATGGTGGCCTTTTTTTATAAGAGAATTGTCTGTTGACATAACGAACTATATGTGATCATTATATAAATGCCACTCTTCATATCTATCCTAAAAATAAGTCGTCCTTTAACGATGATGATTTTGCTATTTGTGCGGACCAGTCTTCCAGATAATTGGTTCTTTTTCGATTTATAAAGCTGACTTCTGCAATTTTAGCCGCGCAGCGTGAGTGGTCCGGGATGAGTTCTGACAGAGGGTTTCAGGAGCGTACTTTCATCATGGTTAAGCCTGATGGCGTCCAACGCGGTCTCGTTGGTGAAATCATCAAGCGTTTTGAGCGCCGAGGATTCAAGCTGGTTGCAATGAAGTTTATGCATGCCGATGAAGCTCTTCTTAATAAGCACTATGAGGCTTTATCTGGGAAACCTTTCTTCAAGAACCTCATCGCCTACATGTCGTCTGGGCCCGTTGTGCCAATGGTTTGGGAAGGTGCACAGGTTGGCTTTATTCATCCCTCAATCACCATTCGTTCAAGATTGCCTTCGCACCTTGTTTCTTTTCTCACTTTGTAGGCTGTAAAACTTGGCCGTATGATTCTTGGTGAGACAGATCCCGCAAAGAGCCTTCCTGGTACCATCCGCGCCGATTTTGGTCAGTGTGTTGGTGCCAACATTGTCCATGGATCTGACGCAGTTGAAACTGCTGATCGCGAAATTGCGCTTTGGTTCAAAAGCGAGGAACTGGTCAACTTTAAGTCTTGCGTTGCTCCTTACGTCCATGCCCACTAAGTATTTTTAACTTCCGACGTATAAATATAATAGTGATCTTTTCAATGAAGTAGCAGATTACAATCAAGCCTCTCTTCGTGGTTTAATTTCTGGCGCAGAATGCTACGTGTTCGGTAGATGTCGGGAGGGAAGGCAGACGAGTCCTCTGCCGTTACAATGTGGGATTTTCAGAATGACTGGTCTGCGGCTTGAGATGAACGCCACGATCCCATCATAATACCCTTGTGGTGGGTTCTGCACGAGCTACAGGTGGAAAGTACGCCAGCTCAGGTTAGCCACAACCCGTCTAGCGTTGTTAGAGGTGGCTGTGTGAATTTGCGAGGTAAGTACGTTTTGAATAGATGGCTCAGCTTTGGCTGAATGGGTGCCACCATGTTGGCTCGTGTTCCCGCGTGTCTGATCGTCCATCGGCGGAACCGAGTTGGATGGGGATTTTTTGTTCTGTCTCTCAGGATTAGCCGGCTTTAATTATGTTCTTCAGGTATACTGTGGTTGCAATGTATGTGTCTGCCCTATATTTAAGTGCCTGACGTCGGAGTGTTGTGCTCTACACCTGTGCCATCTCCATTAGTCAGTGCCTTCGTGATGGAGCAATTAGGGTCGTTTTTTGTGACCACTAGCTTCTGAGGTTTAACATAGGCATCAACCGGTTGGGCGGCAAATATGGGGCGCGTATTTAACGTTCACTGTCAACATCACGTATATGTGGTGGCTCGGTGTCCCGACTCCCCTCCTTGGGCCTCGCATCATGGAAGTGTAGCGTCTTGTTTGCCGATATATGATAGCTCTGCACGAGGCGGGTCAGTAGAGGGGAGACAGTGCTTGTGGCCTGAATGCTGTCGTACTTTTCGTGATTTCTGGACCGTGGTTTAATTGTTCCGGAGATAATTAGCGACAGCTGATGCTGTGTTGGAACAGCGGAATGTCTAGGCTCCCGGTAGTGGCTGTGTTAACCAGAGAAGATGTTATATATTGATCTTGGGAGATTACAAGGAATAAGTGTTTATGTTGAGGGGGAGTTTTGGCATCGTACTAATATTTTTCATCAAGAAAATCAATGAGCGATTCTTTTATCCCAAGCGCGGCATGAGCTTACTCTGGAAGTTTGATTTTGATACTTTCGACATGCTTGTGTGGAACCTTATTTGACTTGAACGGTTGAAATCATGTTATTGGACAGTAGAGAATGGCACATGGGCAACCCTACGGTCTACTTTCAATGCTTTCGACCGTTTTCATCCGACCCAATTTTAGCGTCTCAAGATTCCCCCAGAGGCGAAAGGAGATATAATACTCGGGCAGAATATGTATTGTCGATGTACAGTGGGGCATGGAGCTATTTGCATAGGCCGGAGGCGAGGCCGCCCGGTAAGAGTACAGTGGCGGGGCTCCCAAGTAACCCGTTACCAAAACCGTTTTAAACGAGCAACTAAGGCATTGAATAACACTAATAGTTGAAGCCGTGTTATTGAGCAATCAAGAAGGGCATGTTGGCAAACCCACTACCTATTTTTAATGCCTTCGGCTGTTTTTATTCGACTCAACTTCCGGTAAACGCGTCTAACCTCCCGCCTCGTCCAGGAACCTCGGTAGGTATTTCAAAGTAAACATGTCGACAATTCTTCGAGGCAAGGGCGATTTCAATTTCCTAATCTACGTACCTAAGATTGTCTGCACTAACCAACAGCGTAGGAAAAGTTTCATGGCTACATGGTTAAGTTATATGCGCCTAAGACGCTTTATTTGCGTCTTGGGTGCAGACATAAAGGCATGGATGAATTGTACGAGAAGTCGCTCCTGCTTTGTTTACACAAAGTAAATTTATGGAACCAGTGTGTGTGACGCTAACTCTGCACCCTCTGTTGAACTAACCTTTTCCAGTATAGTGCCGGAAATGGCCGATGTGAGAGACGTGAAACTTGTCAGGTAAACCAGCATTCTGTTTGATAAATGCGAAGTTCACCTTCTAGCAAAGTACTTTTCCTGTCAGGTGACTCAGTTTAGAGTATTGTCATTGTCTTCTCCCGATAACTGTAATATTGAGGGACCTAGAATGTAATACTTGCGAGCTAAATAATAAATAGGTTGAACATCTAAACGCGTTGACAAGGTACCCATATCACCAGCCCTTCCCTAGTGCGAAAGAATTTAGTCCCAGTACCACAGCCCCCCGCGACTTCTCTGAAGACGAGAGAATACATAATACTTGGGCGGAATGTGTAGTGTCGACATGAAGAAGGGTTTGAGGGCTAATGGCATGGGTACAATGGCGAAGCCCCTAAATGGCCGTTAGCAAAACCAAGAGTTTAACGAACATGTAACTTATTGCAGTACATGCTTGCTTTGAGCCATAGGCTGCTAGAATATTGAACCAAGAGATAAAAACATTTTCAATTTAACGATGACCGATATCCTGGCTAGATCAGGACCCGGACACAAACATCTAGACACACCATAAGCACACGACGATGGCTAGGGGACACTGTCTCGTCGCTAGGTAAAGGCGAACCTGACATAGCCCCACCACTAAGGCGAGGGAGCATATCCGGCTTCGGGTTGCTGGAATACCAACACATTTTTACTTCACTATGACAAATTTGTTTAAAAGTTTGGGAGAAGCATGTATTGATTAAAAGTGGGAATAACCGGAATTAAAACACGTCACGCTTGAAGGCGTTAAACTGGTCGATCACCCCGAAGGAGCGGTCCATGGCAAGCTACCTCATTTCAGCATTGGGTCCTATTTTTTTAAATTTTTCTCAACTCTATCCATCAAAGTTTTCAGAAAACTGCATTTTATTTAAGGGAATCTCGGAGGTAAAAAAACTCTTTATTTCTCTAACAGACTGCGGAATATGCAGCGGTGGTCACCAATTGAAAGCCCGTATACCACAGCCTACGTGACGATGAAGGCCTTGACTTCAGGCCAATCAGCGTCGCCTCAGCTTGCACGCATGCACAATAGACTGTGTTGGCGTTGGCGATATTATGCTGGCAGTAGGACTTGATTAGACGCCTTTGTATCATAGAAAGGTGGCGCATTCCGCAGGTGACTGAAACTACAGAGACTTACGCAGAGAAGACAGTCAAATCATCGCGAATGTTTGACGAGTGACTCAACTTTGAGTCATGGACAACAGCCAGTCACGTAGGGAGGAGTTGACTAAACCAAGACTTGGACTATCAACTTACAAGATTGTCTCGGTAGAAGATGAGCGGATGAGCAGTATTAAATAAGAATGTCAACAAGAGGAGATGAATGAAGACAATGGTCCTATGAAGTTATCTTAAATTCTATAAGTTGATGTTTCTACGAACGGTATTTGGAAAACAAAATTCGCTTCCAGTAGAACATGGTATAGTTTTTAGTGAACCAGCCTGGTTAAAACTATTGCCAAGCGTGAAAGTCTTCTCACACTTATGAAAAATCCTTCCAGGGCCTTCATTTCTACGCTCATGCCGTCCATGCTACTGATCTCCTAGCCCCTCTGAAATTCTGTAATGCTTTGGTTGTTTGTTTAACGTTCGGTTTTAGTAACAGGGTCACTTAGGATCGCCGCTATTGTACCTACGCTGAGCTGCCTGGCCTGCAGGTCATGCCAGTAGCCCAAATTCCTTCTGTATAGCGACAATACATATTCTGATTGAGCGTTACATCCTCTCTCGTCTTCGGAGAAGACCGGGGGCGCTACTCATCCATAAGAAATTTGCTTCCTCATACCATAAAAACAACTTGCTTATTTAGTTACATTTTACTGAAAATGCAAAAATTCTCTACCTGAAAAATAACGACCTTATTGACAAAAATAAACACACTAATACAACCACGAACTGGTACAAAGGTATGAAAATAACATTTTTACGTAACTTGCCTACCGGCGAACACTTATTGTCGGTAAGTATATAATGGGGTTGCAGAAAAATCTGCTTACACGATGGATTGGGTTCTTTTTCCCTCCTCTTCTTCCACTTCACCCCTTTCTGCTACAGCGTATAGATGGAGGGGTGGAATGACAGCATTCATGCTTCTATGATCACTACCACCGTGTTCTTCCCGTTCCTCTAAATATGCGGTTGTGTTTGGTGTGGAGAAGGATGGCAAGGCAAACGACGATCCCCTAGGCCGTGGATACACCGAGAACCTCCAGTGCCGTTCAAGCGCTCGTCGGTGGAAGAACTCACGAATTCGGTCCTCCTGATGTCGTCGATGTGAGAGATAGGCTCTCATATGATGCCTGACAGCAAGAATGATCCACAGAATAAATATTAGTAGCAGAACCACAGCTAGGCCTATGAGTACCGGAACCTGCCAGAGCATTGAATTATCGATGTGCAAGAAGTGAAGACTTGTTGTGACACAGAAGTACACTCCGATGCAAGTGATCGATGCCAGAAGAACCAAGAAGATACAATCGGTTATGACGTCGCGCTGAACAAGGCGCGAACGGAACCACTCTCGTAAGAAATTGACTCGTCCAATAGCGAAACTGGAGGAGGTCTTCGAGGTGTTTGGCTCGGTGGGTAGCGGTGATTTTGGCCGAAGATTGTAAGAATAGCCGCAGATCTCACAACTAATTGTCTGTGAGACTTGGAGCCAGTGCTCTAGACAAGTCTTATGTAGTAGGCCCACTGTTCCTTTACATCGACATGGGGAAATAAGGGGAGATGGATCCAACCCTTCTTCGTAGCAGATACGACAGCGAGGCGCTGCTATACTCGGTCGAACCGATTTGGCACAATTTGTGGGTACAATTTCAGCAGGAATAAGGGCCGGGGTTGGTGTGGAAGTGTATGGTATAGAGAGCTCGAAAATGCTGATTTTAGAGGTATCATCGGCACTACTGATAGACTGGTTCAAATTCAAGCCTGTGGCTTCAACAGACCTTGTTAACGCCTCTTCAGGTATGCATATTGAAGACTTGTGATCCTTCTCCAGGGACTGAGCGGAGGGTGTCACCATTTTTGATGCGATGCCAAGCAGTCTTTACTCTGGGATCGAATGAGATCGCGATGCTTCGTCATGCCCTGACCCAGTCAAGTGATGCGATCCGCTGAGCCGGATCAAAGCGCCGCATTAATGAACATTGATTCCAGTTCGGTTGTCGTAGCAACGCAGCTACTACTGAGAAACCCAGTGCAGAGATTTACTCGTCAGTGAGGTTGAATCAGTAAATCATCGTTAACTCAAACCGGACACATGGAGACGAGCGAATTAATAAGTTGGTATTCGATGTCATGACTATACCATCCATCTCAAAGATCAACTTGATTTATTTACAGGCTCATTAAAGTCCAAAAAAGGTATTCTTCTCTTTACTTTTCAGTAGATTTTGACTTCTTTTCCGATGATTTCGAGAGAGATGAATTGCGAGTCCTGCGTTTTTTTACGAAAATCCATAAAGACACTGGTAAAGTACACTCAGGTAATACAGACCATTAATAAGAAGGAAAGTGGCCCCGTTGGAATAAATGCTTAGGAGATTCTGTTAGCTACAGTAAACTTGCTGAGGCTTTTACTTCGAAGACTGTTCAATTCAACGGCAACGACTTAATTCCACCGGCTTAAACACACAGCAATGGGAGACTGCGAAACGGGGTGGAAGACGAGTCAAGTAGAGGACGGTGTTAATTTGACCTATGCGTTGTGTTGTGGTTCAAGTGACATTGGCTACAAGAAAGTGGAAAACTTAGGACCAAGTAAGCAACCGCTCCCATAGGAAAGCAAGAGTAACAGCACTAATGGGGATGCGAGGACCAGTCAGTAGCTGGAAATGACAGCAGTGGGAGCGGCCGGATCAAATGACAGATAAACCTTACGCATCCTGTGCAAAATGCGGCGATGGCGATGTCTAAGCCAAGACTGCTTTAGCAGTCCAGCGTTGTCTGAATTGTCCATAGGCCAGGACGGCCAGGCTGGGCTGTCAGGCAAGCGGACACGTCCAGACACGCATGCTGGTGCCGATCATGTTAAAGCCTGTGTGTCGGTCCTAGCTGCAGACATAGTGAACACGACAAGTCAACAAAGGTTTAAGCAAAACCACTAAACGCGGAATAAAGGGAGGCAATCATAAGTTGGCTTAGGCTGGTTTACGAAACTTGGTTGGTTATAACAAATTAGACTGATGCACTAGGTCTACAGAAAAAGACCTAATTAATTTCAGTAGTCGCCATCACAATCCGCTGTCCTTCCCTGACGAGATAGCAGCTTGCTGGAAACTTCTGCATGAGACGCTTCACCTCCAGAGGTAAATATCAAAACACCAACGTAGCATAGACGCCTCTACCCTGCGTTCATATCCGTCTGTCCACGTTCTTATGCATGTGATGGTAAGATTGTTTAGTTTTACCGTTTCGAAAAGGTGATGGGCAGTCGGAGAAACATCCTCCTCCTTATTCTAATTAAAACGCGATTCTTCTCACGGGTGGGTTTTGTGATATGTGGTATGATTTCTCTTGATGTTGGGGCTATCTTTCTTGTCATAATTGTTTTTGAAAGAACTTAATGGTAACCTTTTTACTTATTATGATACACCACAATTGCTAAACTAACAAGAAGTAGGGGTAGACATTACGTGGTGCCTGCCCTTGGAGCGTGGGTTGCGAACGGGTCAGTTGGAGGATAACCGACGATGTCATCATGATGAGCTGTCTACTGGTCGACTACCTATTGAAATATTTCGAGGTAGGGCTAAAATGGTAAGCCCGCTAATAGACCACAAAGTTTCCATTTGAATCAAGGCAACTTTTGCTCTTCGACCATAAACAGTGGATGTAACATTAACAAAAAACCACAATATTAACTATTAAAAGGTTGGCCTTATTTTGGAATTGAAAATTTTTCAACAATATTTACATTATGCAGTCTTTGTGGATTTTGTTTAACACTACTACTTATGCTTTATAAGTAGCACTAAGTGTTATTTTGTCGACAATCTAAGGCGATGTGGCTAAGTGACCAAGGGGAGGACCGAAGTCGACGCTCAAAAGAAGAGGGGTGCTATATGGTGGTTTGAGATTTTCCCTAATTGCATATTTAACTGTACAAGCTCTTCAGTCCTTTCATATTGTAATTTGGCTCAGTGGTACGGCTTTTTGGTCAACATAACTACTTCGCGATATTGGAACGTAGCTTTTCACGTTGAAACATTATGTATTCTAAGTCGTAAATGTGAATCAAAATGTATTTCCTTTCGAGGTTGCTCGTTTTACTTTAAATAAGCACTTATATTAAGCTGAATAGTTAATTATTACAACATTTGAATTATTGGAAATACCAACCCATCTGGAGTTCAGCATGACAAATTTGCTAGAAAATTTGGAGGGGGTGTCCATGAACTGAAAGTGGGAAAAACTGTTCGTTACACAGAAGCAAAGCTTTGGTGGGTAATTGCGTTAACAAGTTATGCTTGAAAAGGGGAGAGAATCACATACTATTTTGGTCCAGATGTGGGTCGTTATCATCACTCAAATTGAAGACTTTTAGGTACATTTATTAATAATAGGGCTCTGAAATTTTCAGCTAAACTGGTTGTAAATGCTCCAACATTGTAGCTCCCCGGAACTTCCCCAAAGATAAAGGGAGACATAATCCTTCGGCAGAATATGTATTGTCGACTTGCAGAAGGGTTTGGGAGCTACAGCCGGTGGTGCAATGCCGGAACAATTCGGTAGCTCGTTACTAAAACGAGAATTAAACGAACAGTTAACTTATTGCAACGACAGATCAACTAAAAACGCCAAATTTATTAGCCAAATAGAACAAAATAGAGGTTTGATGGGGCCGGAAAGGCTGAGAAACAACTCACCAACAACAATATCTGTGGGAGGAGAATATTAGGCGTTACATCAAAGGCTTTGAAAAAGTCAACATCAAAGATGGAATGCATTTCGCAATGGAAACGAGGACCAATTACCGAGTACAAATTATGTGAAGCTATTTCCTTGTTCGCTTTATTACATAACCTTGGTTCCCGTGTAACTTTTGCTGAATACCGACTGGCATTTGAAGGGGACATGTTGTAGGACATCGACGTGCGTTGAGCATTCCAGAGTCAGGTATTTTTCATCGCAACATCGAGAAGCACAACTGACGCTAGACTCGATTACCCTCTCTCCTTGGTGAAAAATTGACACTCAGCCTTCGTTTCTGGTTCATGGGTGGCCCTTTTAACATCGATTATGTTTTAATGGCCGATGGAAAAGAAAGAATACAAGGAGCACATGGAACGACTTTTACAAGGCGGGGACCTTTGTGCGGGTGGTAAAAGAAGTTTGTTAGGTTTTGGTATACCTTACTGTAATTAATTTTGGCTTGTAGAAGCCTACAAAGTGGTTTCGATTGTTTATATGTGGCTGTCTATCGGCGCAACACCCCTTATTGTCTCGTTTGAAACTGCTATATAAGATCCAGGCTTGTCTGCTTCCCGAATCATCTTCAATCCGATTCCATGGATGCGAAGGGCCTCCCGTTCAATCTGTCTAGTATTTGATAGAAATTTCGTTCGTAGAGTGTATCGCCAGACAATGACATCACTCTTTGGACGACCCTCTAGCATTAATCTTGAAGAATTACATGTTGCAGGTGCCACGCCAAATCGAGATTAATCCATTCAGAACATTCGGCAATGTTCTGTGTGGGTGATAATAAAACAGTCCCTTGAAATCCAAATAAACTGTGAAGGACGTGGCAGCCGATAAGCAAATAAGTCACCCTAAGTGCCTCAAAGACTATCACTTTGTTCTTCACGTCTTTTACCCTAGTCTTTGAGCTTTTGCTGACAGGCTTGTGGTGATAAATAATACTTTTGTGTCCCTGTGTTGGTTAAGCCAACGAATAGGCATTTGGCTCTTCCCAAACAATGCACCCACTACCCATGCTACGCACACTTTTAAGGCACACACCATCCTTTGAGGGTATGCGCGATGAACCTTTTAATTTCTTTCCAAACAATTATAGCTTAGGCACGCCCACTCGGTGAGATACGGCGAAAAAGCAAGCAAGAAGAGCCTAGCCAGAGACAGTCAAGACCAGTCAATCAGTAGAAAGCCCTATTACCACGAGAATTCATACCTCCTGCCTTATGCCACAAAACCCATCCGCGGGAAGATTCACATGTTAATCAGGATGAGAAGAAGGAAAAGAGTGCCTTACCCTCACCCTCATCCTATGTATTCTTGCCTGATGCTCCGCCAACGCACACAAAGTAGGGCGAACATTTGGGAACTAGCGACTATGCCGATGTTCCCTTGTCTGCTTCTGGAAGTAAAGCGTCCCATGAAGACGAAATTTGCAGTGAGCTTACTTCTCGTCGGAGAAGGGCAGTGTACCGTGACGGTGATTAATTCAGTGGATAAAATTTCTTTTCCATTTACTTAATTCTTTCGTAAGCAACCGCACGGACCTATACGGTTTAGGTTTTACGTATAAACATCCAGTGACTTCACTCTTAACTGGTTTTGGTCAACGTCTCGAAATCATGACATTCTGTTCCGTTTGGCGTTCCGGTTGGTGCTACATCAGCCCTTCAATTGTCAATCCTTTACAAAACAAAACTATTCTTATGCTACCTACACTCCCAGTAGACTAATAACAGGGCCTCCTCCAGAGTAGTATGCATTGGAACGACTCAAAGGCAAATTGATCACTGCATTGGTGACGAAAGAGGGACGATGGGAAAATCCTAGACTTTAGTGGTGAAATATTATACCGAAATTGAGTAGACCTAAGGTATATGTCATGCATGACTGGATCCGCCGAAACAATCTCGACATCCGACAACTTTCCTAATCACAAGAGACCACTGGACCTAAACCAGAAAACCTACCCAACAATAATTTAAAAATAGAAAGTCATGGAGATAGGAAACCTCTCTATGCCGCGAATAGCAAGGCTACCAGGCGGCGTTAGAACAGCAGCAGGTAGGAGGGATGATCGCATGCAAAACAGTTTCTTGAAGCTACTTCATATCTGTGCATTGCATTACCTAGTTATGCTTTTATGCAATCTTTTCAGTAAACAAGATCCACTTGTCCCTTCCACCCCGTACAAGTTTTACCGACGCGGCAAATGATAAAGAATAAACGTGGGTTCGAAAGGCCTCAAACAGCAACAAAACTAGTCGTGATGTCTTTAATTCTACTTTGTGAGTTTGGAAAACACTTTCTAGTTAATAACATGGAATAATACTTCAGGGTAGCGCCAAGAACAACCTCAAAAAGAGGAGCACCAGTGCAGCGGGAAGATTCCTGCAACATATTTAAGAGTGAGCTTCTTTCAAGTTTCTCGGCATTCATCCCCTGGGGGCTTGCTCAGGCCACTAGTTTCACAGCTGCTCTACACCGTAGCAAACGCATTCAGACTGGGAATCCTTCAAAACAGTCATGGGGGTAACTCAGGTGTTTCAGTTGCAGCGGCGATGGGCGGACCCTCTACGGGCGATTAGTCACCGGACCGCGCCAATTAGACTATCCAAAAAGCAGCACAGGAAAACCCCCACGGGTGGTCCAATCCACGGTAGCTCACAACGGAAGTAACATTGGGATTTTTGGTAGCTACTTTAACCTTCATTTCTGCGCATTAACCAGCAGCAGGGTGGATTTAAGAAAGCCCTTAAGAATAGGTTAAAGTATTGACACAGAAACCTATTTAGGAGTTGTCTGGAGACCACAGCGCTGAAACTTAAGGTGGTGGTGGCCCTCCTAGCTATTCCAGGTAGAATATCACAACATGATCAACTGGTTGAGTAGTACTTAGTAAAACACAATGGGGGGATAAATGTACACAAGGGAGACATATCCTCACGATCACGCCCGCTTCTCTTCCTCTGGAGCTGAACGAGACTTCGACGAGGAAGAGCTGGAAGAAGAGGACAGCGAAGAACTGTCATCATCACTTGAACTGCTACTAGTGTCAGAGCTGCTGCTACTGCCCTCGCTGGATGATCGAGACGATGAAGTATGCGCCTTCTTCACTTGAACCTCCTCCTCATCAATATCCTCGGCCGAATCTCCTTTTATACCATTTTTTGTGGTAGGGGATTTCTGGCCTTCGTTATTATTGCCCCCATCATCGTCGCCCCAAATGTCATATTTCGCAAGGTCCTCGTCATCTCCGGATTCTTCCTCTTCTTCTTGCCTCTCCTCTTGGTCCTCTGGATCCGTATTTTTGTCTCCGTCGTTTCCTTCTGCCACCACTTTCTCCTCCTCTGGGCCTGGTTCGTCGCCGTTCTAGAGAAGCAAAAGAGGCAGACAATTCAAAAGTAAATGAGATGAGTGTAAGTCTCATTTTCCAAAACCTCTAGCGAAACAGGTGTTGCAAGAATTGAAATATTCCCAGTACTGCCCAAACTCAGCCACTTACTCCATGGGTCTTCCGATACTTCTTCTTTTTCAATCCAAACTAGAAAAAGAAAAAGCCGATCATCCGTAGCACTAAAGGTGGAATCCAGACAAGGTCGCGTAAATATGGCGTTCATCTGGCTCTCGTGGATACACACTACTTTTACACAAACTCAACAGGACGAATCAACCAAACAAGAAAAGGTTAACCAGAAAACTACCTCGTCATATTCATCATCGGATTCATCGTGACGTTTGTAATCAACAACTTCATCTCGTTCCATATAACCGCCACCATAGCCAGTTCGTTGACCCTGCGTGTTGACTTTGGCTGCATTACAAACATTGCATACGGTTCTCCGAGCCCAATTCACGTTTCCACAGCTAATGATGAAAAAAAATGAACATTATTTCGAAGTCGCCGATTATCTGCTAATGTGCAGGAGCGAGAGGGATATAGGAGTAGGACAAAACCTCACCTTTTGCACTGCCAGTCATCAGGGCCGAAAAGACCTCGACTCTTTTCAGCAAACTCTTTACCGATTTCTTTACCTGAACTGTGCCCACTTTGATTATTCTTTTTGGGACGTCCACATTTATTACATTTATCACGACGGGCAAAGTTAAGGTTCCCACATCTTAAGAAAATAGATGACGGCTGGGGAAGTACCTTGAATCGCTGCAAACCCAATCTCCCTTTGATGGAGCAAACCTGCCGGACATTTTCTTTTCTTGCGGTAATGTTCACATCCACACTAAAATGAGGAGTTGACACTGTCATTGGTGGAAAATCATCCAATGAACTTTGAGATAACTGGGTTTTTATATTTTTCCCTAAAACTTCTTGCACATTGCCAACGCCGTGTAAGTACTTAAAAATGGAAGGAGTAAATATATGCTAGATTATAACACTTGCAAATGTAGTCTAGGTTCTCTTTGTCGACAATTGATTCCATATTATTATGCAAATTGTAAATTTTAAGATCATACTTGTATGAAAATGCACAATGCTCGCTATTTAAAATAAACTCTTGGCCATTAAAAAGTCCCGCATAAACTTCTTGACTATAGGTAGAAGCTTCATTTCGGATGCAATTACTAGTACTTAACTTCACCTAAACTAAACCTACGGTTACTTTATTAAATTGGCTGACTTTGTCCCATCCGTTTCAGTGCTTAAACCCTTTTTGAAGTCTAAACAAGTTGTACCACTCTACAGATACTACCTTTGTTTTAATGGCTCCACACCCTCCCAGGCATGCACTTCCCCCCTTCTGATAAGTCGTGCTATGACTTCAAGGACTCAAAACTCCCAAATCTATCAGTAGCGCACGGGAGGGCATTTTGCTGACCCGAATTACAACACATGGGGCTAGAGGGCCTGAAGGAATAAACGCAAGTCAGGGTTGCGAAATCCCCCCTGTTCATTCATATTTGGCACCCACTTATACCATACCCAGCCACCTCACTTACGTGCCATGACCCAACTGTTTAGGTTGGACCATACAGAAGACAATATATACAATGCTTTACTAGATTTTCACTCAAACCCTTGAACGATGAAAACACACCACTCTTCACGGCGAGTGCATGTTTCTGTCAGGGGGAGAAAAAAAGGAGAGGTATTAAACAAGAAGCAAGAAAGGCACCTGTATGCGGCGGACAATGTGCCCACTCATGTAAGAGTATAGAGGTGGAAGAAAAAGAAGGTAGAACCAAAAAAAACATAAAGGAGAGGGGAGCTGCAATCTACACACAGGGACGCACGAGAGAACACCACCAGACCGCAAGGGAGGACTTCCATTCAAACCGGCAGCACCAGTGACTTGCCCTTCAGAACTGGGGAAAGAAATGAGTAAGAGACGACTTAAGAGTGGTAAGCACATAAAGGGGGCGAACTCGACTAGAAGGGGGGGGGCATTCTAGGTTTTTGAATTCTACAAACAGCCTCCTCTTACCTTTGTCGTATTCCTTATCTTCATTCGAACTGAGGTGAGTATACGCTTAACACGTCTTCCACCAGCGTCGTTTGTCGGAGCTCATAATTCACAGAGACGACAACTATGATCACATCAAATCATGTATGGGAACAAACTGGTAGGGTTCAAAACAACAAGGGTGTGGAATGTGATGCTCTTAGTTAGTGAATGACTGTATTTCCAGGCATTGAATTGGTCCGTTTGAGCATGCAATTGCTGGTGTCATGTTCGAACAATAAGGCACCTAGGTTGTATGGGTCGCTAAATACGCTGTTAAGCGCAAAAGCTATCTTTGAAAGATCGCATATCCACATTCATGACAATACGAACGAATGCACCCAGTGACTGACACATTGAGGAAGTAAGCATTTGGTTCCAAACGTTCAGCTCTGTAATCGGATTACTCAGATCTTATCTCAAATGTAAAGACTTCAAGGTTTTGACTCTTGAAGACACGTGAAGGCTAGCTATTAGATTCCCAGGCAAGTAGGTAGGCAGCAAAATACCCAGCCATGATTTACAATCCTTAAGTGACGGCAAGCTTACTAAGGCTCCGCAATAACAAACGGGCCCCAGCTGAAGAAAATCTTTTAAGTTCAAAACGCCTAATTTTGTAACGAAAAAAACCTCTAAATCATCAAATCACGACTGCTTAGAACTTGCAAGTCAAGTCTACCTAAAAGGTGCAATCAGGAACCAAAACTAAAGCTAAATGAATGAAAATGCTTGTTTATTCATTGGATACACTTCAAAATGCGGATCCTCACCTCAATGAAAATGCAACTAGTTCGCTATTGTAGAAGGAATTTGCAATTTTCAAGGTAGTGCACAGTACCAATTCGGTTACTTAACTAGGAGGCAGATTATGGGATTTGTCTAAGCCTCCAAAATTAGACTTTATTCACAACAATTGTTTGATTCCTTTCTAAAACAATTTGGGTACTAATTACCTGCCTCCTAACTATCAGCGCAATGGCCCCACGTAGAAACACAGGTAGCTATCCATTGGTGCAATTTACCTGGGTTCATTGACGGTTCTCTTGCCGGATTGACCTTAGATTAAAAGCAGTGGATGTAAACTATTCAAGAATTAAGCAGTATCACTTGCTGAAAACACAAAATTGCAGAGCCTCCAATAACAGCCCACCAGATGCTAAAAAGTGGGACAATGTATTGAGTCTCAGTCAAACTCCGTCGGTATTCAGATGCAGTCTACAGTTTGCATTTACTGTTGTTAAACTGGCACGAATGTAACAAATCAAATAGAAGAATAGTGCAATTCTCAAAGTTGAGAGAAGCATCAATTTGACAGCTGTGAGGTTATGTGAAAGCCTCAACAATAATACTATCCAAAAAATCTACAATAAACTCGACTTAACTTCCCTAACATACCACCTGTTAAGCAGCTGTCGAAATAGCAACACGATTCAACTCTTCAGTGATGTACCTCCTATAGGGGCAAAAACATTGGCACAATTCCAGATTAAGCATTTTAGTTGACGGTTACAAGTTTTAAAACCCTCAAATATCATTTAGTTGGAACATTAGGATTAAGGCACACATAGGACCACGAATCAAGATTCCGCCCAGCTAGCAGGAAGGAGGTTCTGCGGATGACATGGATATATGGAAGTAGGTAAACTTTCAATCCTTAAATAGCATCCAGCCGCGGATAAGAAACAAAGGTTCGCTCAGGACCTTATACCAGGATTTCACTGTAATCAAGTAGCTGATAAATATGTCCAATCTTACAATTAGGTGGGAAGATAAAAACTTCAAAACAAACACATATCAACCGGTCATTGCATGAAAATACGCCTAACATAGGAACTCCATCAAGATTTCTCACTTCAACAAGATAACTGAGAGACAGACAGATAAGCGAGGAGACGCACCACGAGTGACGTAGAGATAGAAGAAGTCAACATAAAGGACGGTTTGGATACTGCCCGCGACAATTGCAATGAGCTCATAGGTGTCCTCATTTACATAGCGGTAAATCCAATTGAGGATGTAGAGAGCACGGTAAGAACCCAGCGCGAAGAGGTAGTGCGCCGTAATGGTCTCCGCCTCCCCAGTCTTGGTGATCATGTAGAGCTGTGGAAGAATGGCTACCGCCTCCAGATAGATGGAGAAAGTCCATAAAACCTACAACGACAACAAAGCCAGCGTCGCAACTGATGAGGTGAATCAAAAAGTGAGGCGATTAATGCTCATTTGTCCAAACAAACAAATACTACCACTTGGGCTTCTGGTTACGGTCTTTTTGACACTAATAACAGGGGACAAAAAAAATATAGGGAAAAGGAAGTGCAATTGCGTGATTCGCTAAGATCAAACTGAAAATCGTGCCTCTACAGGCATGCCATAAAGAAGATATACTACCGTAGAATTCCTACACGGAATGACAAATACCATTTATTTCCAACTACCAATAGAGCGCAAGTCGTGACATAGGCTATTCTGGATGGTGTTAGTCAGGATGCCACACAAAAATATAGATAAACGGCGTTTCTTCCCATGAAGGCGTAAAATTCGAGCCCATATACATCTGGCCAGAGTAATAAATTTTGGTGGCTTCGGTGCATAGTGTTAGTAAAAATCCCAGGCTCGCAGTCATTTCTGTGAGACTTCAGCGCAAATAACACCTGTTTCTGGATGAACAACGAATACCTGACTAAACTGTCGATCTTTCAGTAGGAACAATAAGTGCAATCATTTGCAAACAGTGATTTAGGAGCTTAGCGTACCCTAGGTGGCCCAGAGTGGTTCAGCCGTACTGACAAATATTAGTATGCTAAAGCTATGCAGGTACTAAATAAATGCTGTAATAATTGCAAAAATGTATTGGCAAGGAAAAATGGATACACCTTCCTCCTCTAAGAATCGGTTCTTTTTCCCTACAAACTGAAATCTCAGTTTGGCTTTGGTGTTCCTCGCGCGGCAGAGGTAAGAGAACTGGAGCGAAATGAGAAACAATTCTGATTGTAGTAGCCAGGTAACGAACATGAGAGTTACAAAAAGACGGTAACTGCGCATAAGAGTTATTGGAACCACATCAACCTTTGGTGTCGAGTCACAACTTTTTTTTCCGTGATAAGGAAGTAAACGATATGCCAAACTCAGACGATTAAGAAGTGCCCATTGAGGAGCTGCCTACAGTGTTTGTGCAAAAACGCGAGGAACTACTACTTCTTTAACATTTCCGGTAGTTTAACAGAAATAAGAAAAGCAGCCAGTGGCATTAAAAGAGGAAAAAGGCAGTAAAGAGAAATCGATGGGAAATATCAGCACCGTAGACCTATTTTACAAATCCTACCAGATGAGAGATTAGAAATTAAGGAATTCGCCCACCTTGATCGAGGCGAAATCAGTAAATCTCTGCAATATGATCCACAAAGAGGAGGCAAGCTTGAATCCAATGGAATCAATGAAAAGAATCACTCGTATTGGAACCAAATTCCCTTACCTTTTTGGAAACTCAAAGTATGGTCCTCCCTCCTGACCCGTGAATAGTTTATAAAGCACCAACTACTTCCTGATGGTTGATGGAGAAAAATTATTATGGCACCAAAATAGTGGCACGCTAACATCCATTAGCTCTTCTGTGTATTAACAAATGGGTTTTGTCCAGAACAGAACCTTGAAACGACTTCAAGGGGGGGGGGTTGGGCGCCACAAAATTACAATACCAACATTACAATCAATTAGATCAATCCAAGCAAAAAACAGACTACTTCCAATTAAATGGAACAGAGTATTGTAGTTTTGGCGTCCTATTGCGACTGTTTTGATAATGACATCCATTCCGAACATATACGCCATGCCAAAGGGAAGGTTTATTTACGAGTAGTCAGAAGTTAAATGAACGGGACAATGATCTAAGAGATCATGGAAACTTTGGAAAATTGTATACCAAGAAGGCTACAACGAACGCGACAACATCACGACCATCAAAGAGCCATAGGTGCCATTATTTTTGACGTTTATTTAGGATACACATGATAGCTTGAAGCCAGAGATATGGTGACTGGCAGTGCGCAAAACTACCAAGTAACCTTTGGTAATTGTATTTCAAAGGCTTTGTTTTCGAAAAAGAGAGGATAGGGACTTGAAAGACTGAATAAACCAGCTGACAAGCTAGACGATTAGATCAAATGGGAAAGTAGACCTTCGGGGTGCAGATGTAAATGAAAATTCTGTTTTAGTTCACCAACAAGGAAAATCATTAAGCAAGACTTAAGACAAATAACACTTCCAATCATTCTTTTCATTGGCTTTCCAAGACAATTTCAACCTTTTATTGTCATGAAATTAACTCGTAAAAAACTAATTATAAGTAAGTTAGACGAATAAAGGGGCAAGGTACAATCGATTTGTCAAAAAGGAACATTCGTGCGTGAAAAACTCCCCAGAAATCGACTAAAGGTTTTGATACATGTTTATGCAATTACAAACAAGCTAAAAAATGTAAGGTCATCCAAGGTGATATCTTTCAAATACTTTCAATTTAGAGCAAATGGTTTGAATTAGTCGACAAATTGGGATCATAGAGAGAGATGTGTAGTTTCTGTAAAGTTGACGATCCGGTGAAGCTAAGGTGGAAGCACACATTCTCGGTATTAATACGCTGATCACGAACCCTAAAGTGCCTAGCGTTCGAAAAAATAGAATCTAGAAAGACATGATATGAAAAAATAAGTAAGACCTACAATGTGAAATTAGTAGACAACTAATACGAAAGGCTGGCTAACCTCAATAGGAGTCAAGTGATGGTTGACCAACACAGCAAGGACGGCAGCGGGGACTAGGAGGTACAAGACTTGGAAGATGTCATCCTCCTTGTTGTAAGTCGTTTTAAACTTAAAGAACATGAAATAGCATGTGAGGTATGAGAGAATGACAAATGCGATCTTCATTAATGTGTTGTAGGCAGACACGAAGTAAAGAAAGAGATCGAGGTATCGGGTAGTGAAGACCAGAGCAAACATCAGTTGGGTTTTTCCCGATAAACCTGGAAGTTAAACAGAAGACAACATGGCAGGAGGAAAGTAGGCAAATATGGGCAGGACAATAGAAAGGCATGTAACAGGCAAGTACTGTGCAAAACTGTACGCAGAACATCTTCGAGAAGCGTTTACACGTGGGTATCGGATATTTACACAACGAGTACGCTAGGGCCACACGTGAGTACACACTCACCAGCACAAGAACGAGTCTTCCATATTTTAACGAGAAGCAAAATTATAGCAAGTAGATGCGACATATCCCCAGCAAGCCTAAAGATATTCATCTTGACAAGACTCCACAGTTTTTAAATCTACCGCCACAGCAACGTATAAGGATATTGGCGGTTAGCAACAAAAAAGATATGTGATTTACATCCACCCACCATTATAAACTAATTTAAAGGCTAAATCAGCTGATATTTGTGCTACTAATAACTGGCTATTATCCTAGTAACTTACACAACCACATACTCTAGCTAGCAAACTGATCTTTTAAACGCACTTTAAAAATTAATACAAAATTTTTAACTTACATATTAATATCTTTTTTACTGCCCGAGTGAACTTATAGAGTACTAATTGTTCTCGGCTAATTTGAAGGACGTCGGAAACAGTGAATGTGTGGAGGCTGATGGTCTTCTTATTTTGCAGCTTCGATCAATGACTACTATGGAGTCTTTCCGCACAAACGGTGTAAATATTCAAGGCTCAACCAGAAAGGATGTGCTTTTTCGGCGGTACTTCAAATTTCAGCCTCATATCTGTAGGATAAAGCACCAACGTAACGTCCTTAAGAATCTTGAAGAACGCTTATCTCAGGCCTCTAATCAGAACAACGCGCTTCGTAACTGATTTCTCGGGTTGTATTTTTGTGTAGGTGAAAAAATTAAGCAGCGAGCACTTGACTCGGAGCGGCTTTTGCACACTATGAGGATTAAAACGCTCCGATGTGAAAGAGATATCAGAAATTGCCTGGTGAGTTTCTCAGGATCCACTTTAACATTATTTCCCAATTTTTTACCTTTCCTATTGATCTCGTTTTAGTGGGACTTGTGTGCTTAGTTTTGCAGGACATTTCCAGTACTTTATAACATTTCAATAGGGTGAGAAGCAGTTTCGGTATTTGTGAATCGGTCTAAATTTTGAAACCTTACATCGTAAATCGTATTTGGGGCTGCTTGCATTAAGAACGCATTTAATCACTTTTCAGACTTACTTTCTTTGAAACCCTGGTAAGTTAGCTGCAATCAAATTAGTACTCTAATTCGAAAGACTTTAATCTCCTTGAATTCGTACATCTTAAATTTCAGATTATTATGTGCCCTCGATGCGGTCGATTCGGGATGCTAATTAATTGGGTCTCTTGTCTCATTTAATGATCTTTTATTAGGCTGATCAGCTTCATAGTATTGTGGAGAAAGTGATTTGATTAACTCAGCTTTTATATTCCTTCGCTAATCACGGTTGGCATTTATGAGATCTTAATTTTTGGGATTTTCTATGGGCACTGATTCTGTTTTTGGTGTATTCGGAATATTTTAAGTTGTATATCCGGGTTTACGTGCTGAACTTCATTGACGAAAAGTTGATAGTTACATTGGTAGAACTATCTTAATTTGTATGAATAAATTTATGGTCATCAAATCGATTGATTCATTAATATTGCTCTACAATTATTTTCCCACTGTCATTCCTTTGAAATTTAGTACATCAACCGTAAGTTGGTGTCGTGCAGTTAGCCACTGGCGCCGAAATTAATCCTATTTTTGGCGTTTACAACCTGATTTCTTTACACGTTTATATGGATTAATGGAAGGTCACAGTGACTCAAAAGTGAAACTTGTTCAATCTATCGAATTGGATGTGTCATCCGATTTGTGAGTTTACTTGGCTGATTGAGGTTTACATAAGACTTCCCGTCACTAGTTTCACATCCCGTCTGCCATGTTTAACAGTTCATGGTGTAATGGCTGATCCGATGGAACCTTATCTTTCATTTGTAAGCGTTATGGCCTTTATTTTAACTCCTTTGCTACATGCACTTCAACCTTTAGCTATTTCAGCAGGCAGTTCGTTGCAATATACTTGCACCTTAGGCCTGTCTTTTCATCGACATTTTGGATAAATACAATTCAGTTGTAAAACCTTACTAAACCTGTCTATTTTGGTTTTGAGTTCTTAATTTTTGCATCTAGAAAATTTTGCGCGGTAGATGAGGTGAATTTTACTATTATATAGCCGTTTACTAGTACTGTTATCCAACTCATGTGTTTTTTGGTAAAATACCTGTCCTTAGGGTTACTAATGCTTAAAGGGGTGCAGTTTATAAAATTTGCTCAATTAGTACAAATGAATTTGCGTATTTGCATAAAATTGAATATTTGGAATTCACTTTGGGATTGTAAGCTTCATTTATTGCATGATCATAATTTAGCGCACTATGTAGTCTTCCAGTTTATGGTAATTAATGGTCATTCAAAATAAGTTTCACTTTTTTAATACCTTTAACTCGCTTTGTTTGTCTCTTCATACGGGTTTCTGAAAATTCATAAATGGTATTAATGTGGAACACACTTATTTGGTAGGGATAGATCCGATTATATCCACCGCTTAGGTCTGTTAATTGCAATTTGCCATGGAATTATGGCTGCGTTGTCCTTGTATCCTATTCATTATATTGTCTAACAGTTCGTGAGTAATCACTATTCAGTTAGCAACTAACACCACCTTTCAAATAAATGCATCCCTTTCAGATGCCCTCGAGTCTTCGAGCGCCAGATCGCGGAGATTCAAGTCCCTCCCTCCTAGTTACTCCACCACTGCAGCCTCCACCGTCACCATCCCTCCTCAACATCAATCTCTCTGTGCCACCACCTGCAATTCCCATCACGATGACGACGACTTCGAGTCTCCGGCGCGGCCAGGCGAGTCTGAAACGTCCCACGAGCGGTAGCAGTAGCGGCAACAACGGCAGCGTTAAGACGTGTTATTCTAGCGGTACCACCGATCTCTCGTGCGTCCGCATCGATCCCTGCGTGAATTTGGTACTTTCTCGCTTTCTCCGCAGTCTGCGCTCCTCGGAGGCGCAGGTTGCGGCTAACCAGGCCGAGCTACAGCGCTCCAAGTTTACGGAGGACAGGTGCGTGTGTTTGAGGCCAAAATTTCTACTATTTGAGCTTCACGACCGGAGCAGCTGCAGCCTCCATTTCACACTGAGTTGTGACACTCTGTGCTAGTTCTGTAACTCCATATTGAACACCGGATTATCATTTCATCAACTTCTGCCGAATTACCTCACTTATTTTTACTGAGCACACTATGTGAACTGATTACGGCAGAATAATTTTATTTTGGAGGGTCCCTAGATTTTTCAGCAAAGGTGCTATTTTGGTATCCTTGTACATAAGATAGGGTCTTTATCTTATGAATTCGAATGCTGTTCATGTTTATGTCCCTGGAGTAACCCGTTTTGTCTGGTTACCACCTCCCCATCCTGTCCTTTTTTACCCTACTTCAATGAGTATGTCAAAATATGTCGTCAAATTTTAGTTTGTGTCGATTGCAGAATCCTTTCTTCATTACCTTATGCTGAATAACAACCCAATTTTCAGCACCTGTAGTAGATGGGTTTATTGGCGTAATATTATTTCAATCTAAAGATGATGGATTATCTTAAAGCCGTGTCAACGGTTTATTTTGGCCTGAATGATACCAAGGTTATCCTTGTAAATTCACCAAGCTTTCTAAAGGCGATGCAGTTTTAGTGATGTGTTTATTTCGTTTCCTTTGGCACCTTGCTTTACTAATTTGGCTACCCACGTGGGTATACGGTGCAGTGACCTGAGACTCCTTGGAAGATGGAAGAAGATACATTACTCTCGGGCAAAATATGTATTATCAACGTACAGCAGGGCTTGGGACTACCTGGGATGGATCAGAGGGCAAAGTGCCCACTTAACGTAACAGTCGTAGAAGACTTATAAGTTTCATTTGTGTTGATCTGCAAAAGATTCATGCTGGGAACTTCAACTCGAGAAAATGACATGAGAAGGGGCATTGGGGCCCTTAAGTGCCCCGTTACCAAAATTGCGATTTTAGTAGCAATTAACGTAGCACACGCAGTACTAATCCGCTAGAATCGAAATTTTGGGGACCTGAACCCTCTGGAGAGCTAGCTACTATAGGTTCATTTGTATTCACCGTGCTAATATTTTATCTCACTGCAAAAATAGGATTTTTTTCATGCGAATCATAAAATTATTCCGGATTTTTATATTAGTTACCGTATTTACTTTTTTATGCAAGCTTTTAACTTTCAAGTTATTCTAAGGATATTTGAACAAAAAAAACTTTGACTTGGACGGAAATTTCATTGCACACTAACGCCGTAGAAAAATGCCATATTATTAGGGCAAAGAAGAGCTGATCCGTCACGGCTTGGGCCTTCTGGCTACGCCGCGAAGGCGGAATTACAAAATGCAGAGAATAAAGAGGGTGCGTGATTAACCTAAGGGTCATTTTATTGCGGTACTGGGCTTTTGGGGCACATCTAAGTTTTAATGCTAGGATTTAACTTGAAACCCAAATCAGTTAATCGGTATGGCTATGTAGATATGCCTCCGCGGAGTTTTTGTCGAGTTTATAATCTTACAGGTTGGACTCTACCATTGAGACAGCAATTGCGAGTTGTATACTTAGATTTGCACCACTTCCATATTTAATTGAACTTGCTGAGACATATTTCACTTCTGTTTAATAAATTTTATCTAAATAACTGAACCTACATTTATTTATAATAGAAGGATTGATTGACACGAAATTCTTCCGCTCTCGAAGCTGTTCCTGGCTAAAATAAAACCAGTTTTCGAAATTCTTTTCTTCACATTCATCCCGACTTAGTGGATGCGTCAAAATTTAACACATTCACTACCAGCAAAGTATGCAGCTGGCGTACCTAGGTAAAAGGAAAAGGAATAGATTTTAAGGAGAAGCAAAATGAGAGCAACGATAAACATTGAGACTGCGGTGGTTTGTTTTCCGCTGAGACTGTGGTAGTGAATGTGTTAACTGAAATGTCCTGGCTTCGACGCCCAAGGCTACTCATGCATGTGTATAGTCGCTTAGGCTTCCGTGGGATTGTCCGCCGTAGCTATTACTCATCATTGTTAACCTCCCATTGCACACCACGTTTTTGTGTGTTCTGTTTCTCTAGATTTCCGGAAATATCCTATAAACTCTTGTTTTTTTTGTCATATTTATATCGAAGTACTGGCCTTGCTCCTTATTGGAAATAGCTATATCCGTCTGCTTTGAAATTTCGACGATCTCTAATTCTCGGGGTAGAAAACCCATCTTGACATTCATCTGGCTCCTCAATGAAACGGTTAATTTGTCCTTAATCTCTACTTTTATTAACTTGTGTTCCGGAAAACGGTAACCAATACGGTTCTCATGCTGTGAGTATTTTTAATATGTATATATTATTATTGTCCATCTTTGTATCTTTGTTGTTAACTTGCTATTTGAAGTCTGTGCTTTTTTTCCACACCTACTATTTAATCACATTATGTGTTAGCGCCAAAATAATTTCAAACCTTTCAAGCTGAATTCTTAAATCGTAAAAGCTGGTTGGGGGGGGGGTTTTCTTGAGGATGTGCGGACGAGAAATGTGTTTTTAGCTTCAGATCAAAGGAGTCACGTGATTGTGAAAATTTGGCGGGTCTGGATTAAATGAAACTCTCCCTCCTCCTCCAATATTAGCGAATAAGGCGATTAGAATGGGGCGTGTCTTTTTGTTGTTGTTACCTTGGTTACATTTAATGCTCTCTCATTGGGCCTGAAGCAATGGGTGATTAAACCCAGACAGAGCTTGGGCCACTCATTGTTCTTGAGTAGCTGCAGCACCACCACACTGACTGTTGACTAAGGCATTTTTTGAAATCAAGAGTGCGACATAAATGGACCTCTTAAAGCTGTCGTTCGAGTAAGCTCTGTAGCTAATGTAAAGGGCCTTAATCTCCATTTGGATTGAGTGGTACACAGTCTTTCCTTTTCCTTATTAAGTCAAAACGGAAAGCGGATGATGAGTCGCCTGCGTGTCTTGGAGAAGGAGAACGCAGAGTTGGCGCGACAAAAGGAGAGTGGGCGACCTGCAAAAATTGCCAATCTCATCGGTCTGCGTCGGCGCTTCATCGAACGGGTTCGGATGGAAAGTGCTCGTGAGTTTACCTTGCCAGTGACTTGTTAAGCACAACTATCAAATGCTGGAATAGCAAGCGTATTTTTACTTGCGGAGGTGAGATGGTAAGTGAAAAGAACTCACAGCATCTCTCATGTTTTATCACACTTTTGTAAGCATCAGTGCTTGCTAAACCACTCTCATCTTGATCAAGAAAATAGATGAGGAATGCCGGTAAAGTTAGCGAAAGTTCTGTTGAAAAAAATTGTTTACACTTTCATTAACTGGAATGGGGAAAACGTGGTCGGAGGTGCCATGAAGATAAGTCCCGTCCCCTTTTCCGTGACTTACTGAAAAAAAAAGCCTCGAAGACTATCCATTCGTTATTCTCTACTTCTTTCTTACCCCTTTTCACTATTTTCCCACTGCCGGACCGGTCTGCGATGGGAAATGGGAGGTAAAAGAAGAACGGGGGAGAAATACCAACCCATCCTCATTAGCATTCACCGTATTCCTCTCATCCATATTCCTCCAAGTAGCTAATGTTACCCTCTCTTGCCATTATCGTTAGGCAATCGACGAGGAGCTGGCCTTCTTTCAAGTTTTTGAATAATTGATGAGCTAAGGTGCTGTGTTCTACCCTCTTGTTGCTTAAGCAAGTATGTGAATGGTTTCTTTGAATAAACGCCATTTTGATGTAAATGATCTGATCAGATGGTCAACGCCTTACCTGTTCATCTACACATCCATCCATTTCCACTGCTAAGTGAAAGACCATCTTTCTGTGTACTATTGGACAAGAGCAGTTTCTAACTGCCTTCCCCACGGGTTTTGTCGAAGGTGTGTGCTAGAGTAGAAGTCTCTAGACAGTCTTAGAGTAGTGGAAAGTTCAATACGAAAGCCCCTCTTACCTTTTTTCCCATCTGCTCGATCACTAGACACGGAGAAGCTGATTGATGAGGCTGAATCGGAGGTAGAGGTATTTACCAGTACTCTCCTAATGTTGCAACGCCAACTCTCCATCGCTCACGCCACTATTGAAGTGTTGGCAGTCGCACTCGCCACCGCTCCCGCTTCTTCCTCCGCATCTACACCGGCAAAGCGGTGCATCGCTCTGCTTCGCGCTGCTCAGTGGCCACTGCCCTCCGTTCTTGAATCGGAGGAGGTGGCTAACACGGAGCCCATCGAGCTTGCCTCTACTGCGCCGCTGCCCTTCCCTTACTCCGACCCTCCATCCCTCGTCAACACTACTCCCATCGATACGCCTTCAGTGACCAAACAGTTGACGTGAAGCGAGAGAAGTGGATATCCAGCACGCTCCCAATGGCTGCTTCTTTCATCCTCACTTGCTAAGCATGAAATCGCAAATGGCGTTGTGTGCCAGCCATCCACATGTTTATCTCTACACCCATTCATACACACAAGAAGGCAAGGTCGAGAAAGAGACGTTATTGCCTCCACCTGAAGACGTTCAATCTGCCCCGTTGGTGTGTGTTTCTCTATGTGTACGTTTTATTTGCAATACACTGTCGCCCTCTCCTCTCCCCCTGCCGGTTTGTGCTCGCCTAGGTTGGGTTGTTGCCTTTGTTTTTTTACTGATTTTTTTTTATATTATTCACCTGTGTTTATTTACTACTGCCGCTACTGCTGCATTTACCGATGTGGAATGAAGTGAACCCAGTGAAAAGGAAGGTGAATACGACGACTATTTATTTAATTACTTTGTATGTCTCTACTTCCATCTCTGCTTTTTTGATACTACTTCTTTTGTATGCGAACACATATTTGCAGATGTTTGTGTATTTACCTTTTTAGAGGTTTAATAATATTTACTACTTTTATACACATGAGCATGAAGAGGATAATTTATTGAACTACTTGTTCGGTTGATGTGTTGGGTGTTTTTGGCGCGGTAAGACTGGTTTGCGTTACCACCTTCGAGCTGGCTGGAACGTGAAACACATGCGAATGATATGTAAATGCATTTATTGTTGGATATGTGTCCGCTTCTTGTGGTGGTAATTCAAGGATTTATTCACGTAAAAGGCACCTGAAAGTTGCCTTTTTTACACGCCCCCCGTCTGAGTGTGTCCCAGAGACAAAGGACCGCTTTAGTTTATTCCTTTTACTGAGGTTGGTGAATTTTTAACTTTGTTTCTTCTTTCCTAATGAACTTTCCTTTTATATTCAAATGCCTCATGTGTGTATGTGTAGCATGGCAGATTAAATGGATGAAATTTGACGCCGGCAGCAAATGTGTTAATTGGCGTGCCAAGTTAGCTGTCTCTCCTCTTAGTGCAGAAGATAGCCAGAGCTTAGTCCGTTAGGATTTAATGCTTTTTTTCACTTGTAGCGGTGTTTAATTTTTTTCAGTAATTGTTACAATTTTTTCTTAGAGTTGTTGGCTTAGAAAGATGCGTAGCACTTTAAAATTATGCATTGCATCACTTAATGATTCACGCACTTCGTCACAGGTGGCATATTGTAAGAAGGTCGCTTGTATCTTCAATGCCTTAATGACACTGGGATACGTGAGTTTATTTTTGTTCTCAGAAAGTGGGAGGTTTTATCAGGGTTTCTTGTTCTAGACAAAGGGATGGTTCTGAATCATCAGGCACACGGTCATCAACAAGGCGATGTTTTCGTGGTTTTAATGTGTCCTATGAGGGTACTTCACTCACAGATTTGGTAATCGTCAGCCAGCGCTGTGAATGATCGTCTAATCTCAGGCTGAGGATCTTTGAATTCTACAAAAAATTTTTCTGTTTTACGGACTTTCTCAGGCCGTATTAGTCATTGGAGTTATTTTCGTTGAGACCGGTTGGAAGTGATGAAGTTTGTAGCAGCTTGGCTTTTGATGTGCCCCTTTTCGCTTGCCTCACTCATTTCTTTCCTTTCCAGAGTGGTTAGCGAAATTTGTCGCTTCCTGGTGCGCCGATTCAATTAGCAGTCGATTGTGAAGGATTTTCTTCATTCCTACAATAAATCTTTATCTGTGCCCACGTCTGGTTGACTCCTTTTTCTGCAATTAAACTGACATAAACAGTTTAAATCTGAAGACTAACTGGTGTATGGAACTTATTTTAATGAACGATTTGCAGTGACACTTGGTCGAAAGCGCAGAAACAACACCCACCTCAACACCTGACACTTGCTCGTACGTGTTTGGCTGCCTCCGTTCAGTTTAATAGAATGTTTTATTGGCTTGGAGGTCTTTGAAGCTGAGCATTGTGACCACTTTTACACTCATCGCTCAATGATGTGCATACTATGGCTCAAGTAAAGCAGCGATCTCACGATGGGGTCTAGGACGGTTTAAGGTGAGTTTAACCGTCACCCACGTCTCTTACTATTTCCATCACCACAGAATTTAGCGTTATTCCTCGTTGTAGGCACCAAATTAGACAATGGATTACCCATTAACCCTTTTATGGTTTGGGCTTCATTATTAGGAACGGTATAAGTGTGGGAATTATTTTGCACTCGCCACTGCTCAGTCATTGCAAATACCTGCCTTCGCACAGGTGTTTGCTTCCAGAGGGGTGCATGCTAACATCATCCTTGTTTCCTAAAATTTTCTAGCCAGTATACATGGATTTCATCAACAAGCTCGAAAGTTTTACTTGCGACTAACCGACTTGACCAGTCTTTGATTCAGCGTTATCAAAAACAATTTATTATTCTCATTCTCTACGATCCTATAATGTTGGTATAGTTAGGACTGGTTAATTATTTTGACTGCCTAGTCACATTGACTCCACAATGAGTACTTTCCGCTCCTTCCGTGTACTTATGGCAAGGGGAATACTTGCCACTAGCCATCATTTACCTTTGATTATTTATGCTATTTCTGCCATGGCTGTGTGTGCTTGTTGCTAAAATTCCTGCTTTTTAAATCTTATTTTTACGTCATTTCCTCGCTGTTTTTTATTTACTCAAAGATTCAGGCTTGAAAATCGTTGAAATGTGATTACTCTGTTCGGTATGATACAAACTAGCCCTTGAGGAGTTTGCAAAGATCGCAATGGGGCCCAAAAAGCCAAAGTATCCCCTAAATCGCTCATAGCTCATTCTCTCTATGTAAAATTAGTCGTCCTATTAGGGCGTGGTATTCCATATGTGCTTATTTCATAGGCAAATGGACACTGTTCCAATTTCTTAATTTTTCCGCTTGTCAATCATGAATTTTTCTCGCAAATTTGAAAGGTTTTAAACTTTGCTCTTCTGCTTCTGGCAAACATTCTGAACGAAAATTTTGTAGGAATCACCGATAATCAAATCGTTTTTTCAACCTCTTTTTAATCGCCCTAGCGCCCCGAGGCTTCCCTGAGGGCAAAAGTAGACATAGTACCCAGGCGGAATGTCTTGTCCACTTACAGAAGGTATTTGGGCTACTGGCGTGGGCTTAAGGTCCAACAGCTTGAAGTTATATTGCCGGAGCCCCCAAGTGATCCATTATCGAAACCCAAATTTAGAAAAATTAGCGTATTGGCACCCTCTTTTGGGCGTTATCCTCGAGACTTCCCTTGGCAAATCTATCGCACCAACCATCACAACGGAATCGGTGTTGTAAGAAAACACCCACGAACCAGCCGCACCAGCTGTTGAATTTCTACGCACCTAAAATGATACCTGACCGCAGCATCACTGCTTCCTCTCGGCAATTCTACTGGACCTGGAGTTTCGTTCTGTATGGGAACTGTTCTGGGGGGACGAAAGAATATACTGGCCATAACGTCTGTTCATCGCTGACCGTAGGGACACTGACCTAAAAGCAGTCATATAACAAAAAATGGGGTTTAACAGTTTCTTGAGGAGGAGTTTTCGCGTCTATTCTTCCTTGCCATTTCTTTCTCACTTCATTGCTGCTCAAACACACCTGCTTGGGTTCTATCCAGCTAGTAGAGAGGTGGAGGAGGTATCTCGTGTTCACTTCGTTGATACCTCCATACAGTTAGAGTAGGCAGCTTCGGAACAAACTTTTCCTGATGGTTCGCAGCTAGTTTCGCTTCAGCTATTAAATGCTTTCCTGCAGAGCACGGAAGTGGGGTAGTTACAAAAGATGGACATCGCTTTCAGACCTTCTGCCGGGGATCATCACATCCTTCCAGCAGTGGAAATCAGGATTGCTGTCCTTTAGGGTTTGTTTCCAGCTCCCGCCACTGAAAGAAGTCAATACTCGTGCAGAATGTGCATTGTCGACGTGGAGAAGGGCTTGGGAACTACTAGCATTGCCTGGTTGCAGTCTGCTCGGCGAAGGCACAATGGCGGAGCCCCTAATTAGCTCCTTCCCAAAAGCGAGAGTCAAAAACAATTGCTGCCTTACAATTACTGTGGTATATTGTTCTTGCCTGCGTTTGTTTCTATTATTGTTAATTGATGAACTGTTTTAGGTAGTAAAGTGAACTCACAATGGGATCTGGGATGACTTGAGCCAAATCCAGTGATGAACGAGGTATTTATTTATAGCTACGATGACCGTGGAGCTTGGGAATCTGGCTCTAGACTCCGGTTTGTGCGTATTAAATCCAACGCCTGAGTATCCTCCCATCACATTCGCACCTCATTTTCCCTCTATTATAATGGTATTGTCAGGGGAACGCTAAGGCAATCAAATAAGTTAGTACAATTTTCCATCCAGATGAAGTATATTTTATTCGTTGAAATAGCTACTATTGCTGTCTATAATCCTTCCTTGCCAAGGTGCAAATATTCTGCGAATCCCATTTTTGTAAGAGGTCTTGACTCTAGAAACATGACGCCTAGTCCTACCCACCTCCACTTTAACCTCGCTTTTATTTTCCAACTGTCTCTTTCATTTCACATGTAGCTATATGACTGCCTGAGGCTAATGCCAAGGCAGGGTGACATTCATTGCTTGGAGAAATATGGATGGGAGGAATGCGGAGGATAATAATAACCATCGGCTAGGGTCTTCCTCCACCTCCCATTTTTAATCATAGGCTAACTAGGCGCGAAAGAGGGAGGGTAACAATGGGGTTAAGTAAGCATTGTCCTCTTCTCTTCATCCCAACTCAAGTACAAACTCCCTCTTGGCTCTTTTGTGCCGTATGCTGAGGTTTTGCACCATCTCCCCACTGATTTACTGGATCTGGCTGCTTCTCCGGTATTTCTTCCTACACACCTTTGAGTTGTGTCCTCTAGATGGGTCTCAATAGTACATGGCCATTGTGACCAACTGTCCGCAGCAAACCAAACTAACGCACAAGAGAGCAGAGTTCTCCTGGTGGCTGAAGTGGTGCTTTCCTTAGAAGTGTGGGTTCACCGATGGGCCTTTTAAGGATGTTCAAGAATGTGTTCTTTCTCTCAACGAGGGATGCAACACAAGCCCAAAATCCAACTCGGTCAGTAGGGGAACAATCCTCTCCAAAGGGTGCGTCCGTTCTTGAACCATCTCATCTGTTAATGCATGGCATTTGGGTTGAGTCCATCCCTTTACCTCCCACTCCGGTTTTCTCCTCTCAGCTTGTGCAGGTGGAAGCGAATTATTTCGCAGTAGCAGCCACTAAACACTACAAAAAACGGTTCTTGTCATTTCGACCTCGAAATGAATGTCAGTGATGGCATGCAATTACTCATTATTAAAAATATAGACCTTCACGTAAAATAACACGTCCCAAGCTGATTCGCCACCAGAACCAAGTACTTTTATAACCATTTCTGGATCGCACCTTCTACTACCGAGAGGCTTCCGTTTCGTCTTCGGAATCGGGTCAAACCCATTTCTTAGGCCAGATGGGCTCAAACCACACTCACCGAGTTCGTTCAACCAGCACTTCACGGGTTTGGGGTTACGAGCGACGACCCTCAACAGGGAGCAATGCGCTGATAGACTGGTGCAGACGCATTTAAGGCGCATGCAGACAGATAATTGCGACCACTTGACAAGTCCCTTCAGGTTACAGATTGCAATGAGCTGTGCGTGGAGCCACGTAAATTCCGTTGACCGTTGGTCGCACAGATAGCAGTGCAGCCACATAACTAGCTGTGTCTATTCGAACTAAAATCATTCCTCCCGTACATAACTCGTGGAGGTACTCTCAGTGTAAAAAAGTCCGCAGGTCACAAAAAGCATAACTGTCCGAGCTGGTCAAATCGCACTTTCCTATCCGGGGTGGGGGAAACCTCCTCTTCTCTACCACCGTTCAACGTCACCAAACCACATCCCTGTATTGATCTCAAAAGCGTCCAAGTTTTTATCATCTGATGATTCCATACCATTATCGTAACCATTTCTTCTCAGGAAGTTCCGAATTGTTCAAACCAAATCCTACTACATTACCGGTCATTAAGCAGAACTGGGGCCTGAGGATGTTGACAGTTAACTATACCTAGATTTTCGACTCTATAGAGGTAGCTAGAGAGACGTCTTTCTCCTTTATTTACACCAACGGAGTAAGAGGAATCAGGAGCATTTATGCACAAGTGATTTAGCGAGCTAATTAGTGGAGTGGAGTAGAGGTGGTGGAAGCGGCAGCCGAGGGCACAGCAAGCATGTGAGGTGCACAAGCAAGGAGGGAGTTTCGGATGGCCACTCGTGTCCCCTCGTCCTGGCATGTGATGTGACTGCTCCCCTCCGTCAGCAAGATTGTCGTCGTTGAGTTGGGCTAAAGGTGGCGACAGTAACAGCCAATAAAAGTCAACAGTCTAGTTCAAACAGTCTTCGTGCAGAGCTTGTCACTGATTCACGAGTCAGGAGTTAGAACGACTCAGAGCTGGAACATGTACAATCTACTAATGATGCCAGCCATTTCATTCTCAGAAAAATTCAGTAAAAAAAGCTGCATTCAAAGACAGGAAAAATGAAGGTAGACTCCCTAATGGCTGTTGCAAAAGAATTTAACATCGCTAATGAAAAAAACTCCTGAATGGTAGCGAGGAAAGACCACTTACAAAGACAATAAGAGCAGTGTTTTTCGCGGTGGCACCGATGGGCGGTAGGAGGTGTGGTGGTAGTCGACGGTGGAGGTGGCGGTAGGTAGTGAGAAAGGAGTCGAGAAGGGCGGCGTCAGCGATCACCTGCGCACCCGTCACTCCCGACTCAGTGAGGTGCTTCACCAGTCGATTTGCGTCCACCGCCACCCCTCCCGTTGTCGAAGTCTTGGACAACAACATCCGATAGGTCCCCACTGCCTCCGCTGTACACGCTGGCAACGGAGAGGAGGTGGAAGTAGAGCCAGACGGACTGGAGGAACGCTTCGGTGACTGCGGCGGTGAAGTTATGGAGCGGCTCAGCATGCCTCTTTCGCCCGCAATCGGAGGTCCATCTAATTCCGGTGGCTCAAGACGGTATTTACCTGTGAGCAAAATCACTCCAGTTTAGCTCCAAGCCAATTAATCCACCCAGTTAAATGATAAGCTTCAATTCGCAAAAATACTAAGTTGGAGTGTTTATGGTGATTCTTCACGCTTACACTCCACTGAGGAGGTCGAAATCAGCACAAGGACACAGATGAAGGAGGACAATAAAAATATTATTGCGAAGACCTTGGAATAATGCTAGAGCATGGCTGATCTTTAACCTCAATTTGGAATCAGAACTATGAAGCTATTGTAATGGGATAAGAATAAAGTATTCACAAAAAGACATACGAGGAAGGAACAAGGAGGGGTTCTACTATTACGAAAACTGGGGATCTCCTTCAGTTAGCTAATAGTGAAAAGAATTTGCTCTGACAATGTCAACCGCTCTGCCGAACCGAACATAAAAGCAACGAGTAAAATCGGTGCAAAATGCTATAAGAGGTCCTACCATCCCGAAAACACAATCGTCCCTCCACAAGAGCTACGTGCGTTGGAGTGTCACGAGCACGCCGTGGATCCTTAGCGACGGAGGCGGAGGTGGCTCCAGTAGCGGTGGTGGTGGCTGGGGCGGCAGCCATGGCAAACGCGCAACGTGACGATAGCACCTCCGTATCCACGTGCACGCGAACCATCGAGGGTGTCGCTAGCTCGATGTCCAGACTCTGTCGCCAACCGATTCCCTTGGCTCCCTACATTTGAGAAAAATAGTCTTTCTCTTGCTCCCAAGGCAGCCTAATCGCCCTAATAATTGTAGGGCCATCGTCAAAAGAGATTACAGAAACATTTTCGCCTTCATCGAAGTCGCGTCGATTGCAACTAGTACGAGGACTGCACCAACCAGGAACGATAGATAGACAGAACTCAATGCTAGTGGTACAAGTGTCTTTCCTGTTAAAGCATGACATATTGCCCTTGTTTAGGGCTATTCAATGGCGAAATCCGCAACATTTGCTCTTTTCCATCCCATGCAGGCTACACCGATTGCCAAGGCTGGTTGTAACACTCTGATCAGTAATAATAGACACAGAACTCGATGCTAGCAGCAGACAGTCCTTGTCGATGCTTTATAGTTTCAAGCTGGTTACGAAGGAAAATGTTTCGTTACTTCTAGGGCTCCCAATTCTTGGGTCATTTTTTTGTTTTAACATGTTCTTACTCGCTAGCAGCATTTCTGAATTCACCTCTGACAAAGTTACGGCCTACCGAGGAAAGGGAGGCCTTAGCCCCACGGATGACCTCTAGTGGCACCAACAAGGCCTGTTTTGGAGTGCCACAATTGGTCAGCAGGGCGGGCAGTTGGGCAATCGAGATGTCCAACCGCAGGGGAAGCCAATAGGCAGTTAGACCGACACCCAATCGATGTACAGGCAGTTGGAGGATCGTCTCATCTTCACCCCAATCCGTTGTCGCTTCTGTGAAGCTCTTTAGGGGTTCCAGTATTTGTCGCAGCTGTTCATGGCCATTTCGTTTTCTATGGCTGTCCAAAGGGAAAGAAGATCGAGTTGAGATGCAGGTAAAGAAGGTATAACAACGATATTTGTCATTTTGATGAGAAATTTAGGTATGGTGACTTTGCCAAACTCGGTAGGTTTGGGCTTTCGTTTCGTTAGCAACCAACCAATCCTTTCGTGCATTAATAACAATGTATTTCAATTCAAAACCATAATCTTATAATGCCTTCAAGGAGGGCCCAAGCACTGCAGAGGGATTTCACAACAAAGAAGTTGCCGAATTCGCAAGACTTCAAAGGACCCTGGCATGAATAAGTTGGTGTAAAAGTTAGAAATAAACAAAGACATCTGTTTCAAACGTACACATACTTTGAAGCACCACAAGGAGAAACTAATCAAGACTACTACCTGCGGGAAGATTCAAATTAACGAGCAGCGTTGAACGAAAACATTTCCACAATGAAGATAAGCCGCCAATTTTATACTCCCATGCCTTAATATTTCTCCCAGGATGGCCGTAGCACTACACTGGCGATAGCATTGACGAATCCACCGCGGAAGACATGAAACACAATAGAAACCTTAGAAAAGAGCATTTTTTGCAGATGACTGAATCTGCAGAGATTCACGAAAAACGATTTAACAAAACCACGCAGACTTTCGGTGAATACCCTAACTTTAATTCCTACACTACTGTCAATAATAAGGTTAAACTAGACTCACACTAAATGAATCCCTTACTTAAAGGTCTACTTAAAAAGAAACAATATGAAGAACCGATGCTTCCCCATGTTGCGAGATAATGAAAGTAAACTCTAATAAGCGACTGAGTATTAATGGAAAAACACACTGAAAAGGTGTGAATAGCTCCCTAAAACTGCTTAATGTTATAAATCTTATTATTCAATTTTTCATTAGGGTTTATGAGCTACACTTGCTGTGGGTCATCAATCAGCCGTAGGCAATTCATGAAAAGTAGTTTCCTACAAGGTGCGCTTTATAATTGGGATACAAAAGTCTTCTCGAGGCGATGAAGAATCATCACATGATCACGATACACGGAATTGACTTATGAGGATTTCAGTTTCGTCCAAAAAGCAGAAGCGAACCTAAGTAGCAGAACACTTGCTCATGCTACACTACCAGATTCGTGGCCCTTCGGCACGTTTGTGGTAGAGCTATTCCCAACTTCGATTATCTCATGGCATCTTCGGGGATAACCTCGGCGCTGAAAATAATAGATAAATACATAAAGCCAGGATAAATTCAAAATGAACGAATGATTGGATTGATGGAGACAGGATGGATGAACCACTAAACATATGGAAAAGTAGTCGAGAGGGCGGAGGAAGAAAAACTGCCTCAGCCAAACCCACCAAAATTCATCCGACTGAACGAGAATTAGAGCATTTGTGTTTGAGCACTGCTGTTGTTGCTGTGTTGGCCGTTGCCTGCCAGTGCCCAGTGAAAGTGCGCGGATGAGGTGTACTGCAGGGCCGAGGCGGCAACTGGGATGGCCAGAGAGGAAAACAGTGGGGTAGGATGGCCACAGGCCTCCCTCTACCCATGCGCCATCTTTCTTCTCACTACCACCGCCTCCACCCGTCTGCTGACCCGGCGTAGAGTGCAACGAGGCCAGAGTGGCCAGGTGATGGTTACGGATCCACTGGATGATGAAGAAAGGGAAAGTAAGGAAGTACTTGATACATTTGACTAAGCTGTGCTTTCCAGTCTTCTAAAATTCGTTCTTTACGCCTGTAAGAAAGATCTTGCGCTGTTATTCTTTCAGCCCCACCGGACGTTTCTAATATAGTCGCCTCCAGATTCGTATGCTCTACAACGGCTTCAGAAAATAACTCGGGTGCTAGGTTAGTGGCAGCGTCGACAAGCACATTAATTTCAACATCAATCCAAATTTCACCGGCTAGGTACTATACGAAATCGTTATAGAATGGAGGTTTATAGTGGGATGGGTGGATTTTTAGACTCCCAACAGAGGAACTACAGAAACCATGCAGATTATTGGAAACCACTTCAATTTTCAGAAACGAGGTTTTCATGAGGCGATACCCGACGCCAAGGAATCAAAAACCTGTATAGGGAGACGGCATAAAATCTTGATGGAGATGAAATTTCAGTAGTGTGAATGAAATAGAATATGGTTCCATAAAGTTGCCTCACAATTATCCATTTCATCAAATGTTTTCGGTTTTTACACAAGCACACCTACGAAAACCAGTGGACATATGGAAAGTGAATGTCTCGGAACGCCGCCCAAATTTAACCAGAACCCGACGAATGACTTTATCCCTACTCCTAATTCAGCTGAAATGACTGAAGCAAGACGACAACGGCGATCGCTGGGGACGAAACTAAACAAACAGATTTCTCCAGAATCTCGTGACTCGGTTTCCACGTTGATGGCATATAGCTCTACCTATGGCGGAGTTGACAAATCCGCTTAAAGGCAACATAAATCCTTATGTAGCTGGACGAACGGCGCACCAAAACGTCAAAGAGGGTCATTCACTAAAATTTTTAAGTTTGCGGACGCTGGAACCAAAGGAGCTACTGAAATAACGTCAATATTCGGTGGCAATATTGAGATTAAACAAATCAAAAAAGTCCAAAGACGAACCAATTACAATGATGGTTGAAAACAGTAATTAGCAACGATGTGTTGGGAATTATGCGTCTTGCCACATTAAAAGAAGTTGGGCAGAACCACTTACAGCATTACTAATCACCCAGCCTTCCCGTACACTTGGCCTAAAGCCACTTTCAGACTTGTATGAATTCATTACGTTTCCAGGAAATAACCGAGGCGCTGCATTGCCAATCTCTATGGGATCTACGCCGACGCAATAACTGGAGAAAACTCGACAGTTCGTACAGTAGACGAAGGACCAAAAATACCACCAGACCAATGGAAAGTGACCACAAGCTCACAGCCACACTACGCCCCTCCCTACCTTCATCGTGGCAAAAACTGAGCGGGAGAATGTACCGTGTCAAAGAGGAAGGGCGATTCAGCCGCATAAAGCGCCGACTCACGATCAGCAGCCAGCCACTCGCCCGAGGCATTAGCGTAGGCTAGACTGGCTTTCGCCTGGGTCGAGATGAAAAGACAGGGACACTTTGCCACCTTGCCCACCAAGGAGACACCACCTATCGGAGCTGCCTTGTCTGCTCCACTCCCTCCAACCGCCCCCTTCGTAACCAAAACAGAGATGGGCTTGTCGAACTCCGAAAGGAGATTCCCATCAAATTCATCCCTGGCTGACGCTATCGCTTCGAGGAGATAATAGATCAGACCAGAAGGGAGAGTGGGCAGCATTACGTGACCACCACGAGCCAGCGTCTGAACTACAGACAATCATTGAATCGACCAAATAATAAGAAAAACATACTCACCGGTTATGGTTTTGAAGTATTCCATTGCAGCCTCAAATGGAAGACAATCGGAGGTATTCACAGAACCGATGATTAGAACATCAAGCTCGGAAAACTCGGAAAAATCCATTGGCTAGCATGAAAAGTGGTATTGGGAGACTTAATAATCCCTACTTACCATCGCGAATGAAGAATAGAGAGATGAGCGAGAAATGTAAACCAGCTTTTCAGTATCGGTTTTGAGGACCCAATTTGAACTACCGATTTCGTAACCAGCGGAGACACACTTCACCTTAATGAGGCCAAAAAGATCCTACGTATGGCTGATTACCACATCAAAGGAAGCAAACTTACGACATATTCGTGATAGGCGAGTGTTTGCACTTTTGATAGAGCGCTAGCAGCTTGATCTTTTGTGTAACGTAGGAGCCACCGTCGACTATCAGGCAAACTATTACAAAGATATCCACCGGACAAAGATACCAACCTTTTCTGTACTGATTCCAAAGCAGCAGAAGATAAGTTTTCAGCTACCGCAAAGAGATCATCGATTAATATCCTACGAAGGTGTGAAGTCAGTAGATTCAAAATGGAAATTACTTTCCCAACCTCAGGGCAGGGCCAGTTGTGAGCACCTTTCCACGAAAATTCTGCATCCCGGTTACGTAGGGAAGCATAATCAGACTGTGAGAGTTGGATACTAATACTGCATCAATCATTGCCCATTCAATGCCGTTGATACCCTATAAAACAGTTGCGAAGTTTGTAGTACCAAAACCACAACCAGAAGTGGCAGACAAATTCTGAGGCAAACTTACACCAACTGCATCAGTTTGCAGGCCCAGCTCATCTGATGCAGCAGTTTCATCGGTAAAAATATCTAGGCATAAAACACTGAATAGACCCCACAAACCTCCGCAATCGCATAACAGCTGGACATCATTTATTCCTATTAAAAAACATGGACAACTCGGTTCCAAATTCAAGCGTTTCTAAAATCACGTTACTACTAGGAATGACGAAGCTACTATTTTGAGCACAACCATCAGCGAAATCAAGGCCAACTGGAATCTTGCAATTGGATAAGATCGCAAGCTTTAAAGTATGACTTTAACAAAGTGCGGCTTCAAAGTAATAACAAATTGGCAGTCTTAGCAAACCACCTTTAAAATTTTTTTAGAGTTATTTAAAAGCAACGCCAAAAGTAATACATAATACTAATTTAGAGCACAAATGAACCATATCGCTTTGTGCTTGGCAATGAAGCCTGGAAATACCAAAAACATGCGTTTAACCTAAGGTCACCATCTGAAAACTCCCTTCATATTGTTTTTTGGGGTATTTTCACCCAACTTCTGACATTATTGATAATTTACCAACTTTATTAGTAATGTTTTCGAATAGAAAATAATGGCAATGCAATTTAAAGTGAAATTCCTTCGATCCTACAACAATATCTTATAATAACGTAAACACAATGATAAGAAATTTCACGCTCATGTTTGTTGGAACTATGCTTTAATGCAGTACCACCTCAAAAAATTAATTTTTAATAGTTTCTTCTATATGCAGAGGAAAAATTGTAATAATTCTTGTTCACAGACCTTCATTAAAATGATTTTTAAGCCTGGCCAAATAAGCTCTAGTAAGGCCTTACCTTAGTTTAATTCATCCGGATAGATCGTCAACACACTCAAATGGATCTATTTATTCCTTAATTTTTATTTGTCATCGATTCATTCAATGTCCATAAGTTAAATTCCATGCGACTAACTTGTTGAATAATTTGAATAAAAACGCAGCCCTATGCATGCTATTTTGGCATGAAATCAATGCCAACATTACTCGCATAAACGGTTTAGAGATGTGATAGGAATGGCACTATTCTTACTCAGCGTCTGTGTAGCTGTTCTTCTTCCTATTTACTGCGTTCTGACATATGTGTACACTAACCGAATGGCCTCAAAATTGTATACTCTTGGTGCGCATGCAAGTAAAGTCGGTTTATTGGCTGTGAAACGTCCTGACACTTCCCTGAAGACAATAAAGCTCGGGCAGAATACGCATTATCGGTCAACAGAAGCATTTGGGGCTACTGTTAAGGTCTGGCTGCCAAACCATCTGGTGAAGGAACAATGGCTGAGCCCCTAAGTGGGCCTTTGCCAAAACCGAGAATCTAACAAAAGTTTAACATATGGCTGAAGCACCATTCGTTTCCATCTCAGTAAGAAAATGGCATTTAGCACCTCACTAATGTCATGTCATTCCGTTTCCGAAGCTGCGATTCAAATTATTCATGGTTCCTACACCTCTCAACATTTTTATATCCAAGCCATAAAGCATTCTGGATTTACGACAACGATCTTGAAACGGCGTATTATTCCCTCTTTTTCTTAACAAAACAGACTTTATCATGTAATAACCCTGATGCAGATCCCAAATAGCTAAAGAGATACTTATTAGCTGTCTTAAGTTTCCAATCTGAGTTATAATTACGCATTAATGGGAGTATTTTCGGGACTAAAACATTTGCAAAATTTGCCATTTCTACTTTTGGAGGATCTGTTTAGGTGACAGGGAAAGACTTCATTTGGCTTAGCATTTGTCCTTCTTCATTAATGAGCCGGAACCCTCGCCGCATGCTCAAAATTATATTCGAAATCCTTCAAATCGCGCGGCCGGCTATGACATGAGCAACTTATTTCTTTAATTTCAAGTCTAAATAAAGGAGAGGTTACTGAAACCGTTACTTTTCATCAATAAAAAATTAAAAGCAGGCAGGACATCCAGTTCCTTGGGCTCACCATACCCTAGTTTTCGACTGTTTGAGCTAGATGTTTGTGATATCTCTGCTGTTTTAATTGTTTGTTTAACTCTCATTTTTGGCATCTAGTCGCCTAGGCCTCCGCCATTGTACCCATGTCGGATGACCTGGCTCCCAGACCGCGCTAGGAGCCCTTAAGCTTTACTATATTCCTGCAGTACATATTCTGCTCGCGTATTATGTCTCCTTTCGTCTTCAGGGAAGTCTTGAGGACCCCCTGATATCTATAATCATTTAATGGCATTAATTTTGCCAAAAGCGCTCCATTCGTTAAAATATTTGACATTAATCTTACGCACTCACTCATTCAATATAATACGGGTATCAAGTAACCTCTAGCTAAACCATTTAAAAATTATTAAAGTACTAACCACTCTTTTAAATCAATCCCACTTTAGGTTTCCATTGCAAATTTTCACCTGAATAGCCCCGGTATGCACATTTCGACAGCTAATTAGCACTTTCTCTATGGTGTAATGGTAGGAGAGGGAGAAAGAGTGAATTCTATCGAAACCGTCAACCCCTTGACGAAGGTGGCATATGATGGATGAGTAACTTCGTGTTTCTCAGACCCTGGAGTACTTTGGCAGCTCAAGCACATGTCTCCTATGGCTACACTAAAGGTGGTTTTAAGCCAGAGGGGTGAGGGTTTGAAATTTTTGACTTTAGCATTCGAGACTATCTTACTATTGCGCTTTTTACAGTGTCATTCATGTAATATTCTCCCCTTTAGCAGGTTTTATGATTTGGTTTGAGACGGGTTTGATATCCTAAAAAGGCTCATAAACTATTAACTCAATATTTCTGTCATACATTTACCTTACTTTTAGACGAAAAAATACTGCAAAAGTAAAGGAATTGTAGTGAGCAAATGCTTGTTCGGGTGGATATTTAAAGACGCGTGCCCTTTGGTGTCTGCAAGTTGTACCACCGCCACGGCGGCAGGATGTCTCAGCGTTTTCAGTGCGGTAATAAAACAAATCTTTCATGTCTGCTTACTTTTACGACTTCAAGGCAGACTCACTGCGCTACAGTATACGATATTATCATATACTAAGTGTTAACATAATCAGAAGGCAACGGTTGAGCGGGCTGAATTTAAGGGTAACACCCAAATGTTCCGAAAATTGAATGAATTGCATAAGCTCTAACTCGGACGCGTCACAGTGGCAGACTCTCTATAATTTAAACCTAAATTAAAAGTGTATTATTGTAAAACAAGTGTAGCTTCCCGAGACCTCCCTGAAGGCGAAAGAAGACATAATACCCAGGCAGGAAATGCATAATTGATGTACAGATTGGTTTGGTGTCTACTGGCATGGCATGGAGGCCAAACCTTCTTGGTAGTGCACAATAGCGAAGTCCCTAAGTGACCCGTTACCAAATTCGAGAACTAATTAAACAGTTAAAAGCAGTACAACAACAACGATGACGTTATTGGGTTAAAGAGCCAATACAATGACGTAATCCAGAAAATTGGTATCTCTAGACCGACGGTTATTTGCGCAAGCCAGTTGATACTGCTGGAATATCCATTACAAAGTTCTGGAACTCCCCTTACTTCCATCCAGATCTCAATACACAATCAAATTAAACAATGTGGTTTTTCTTTAATTTATTACCTATGGGATGGGAGAGTCGCTAAGGCCAGCAGGCACGACTTTCAACCCAACAAGTCGCTTTTCTTACCCAAAAATGGTCAAAAGAGTTCTACAAAATGACCTCTAAATATTTATGAGCTAAGGTAAGTGAGAGCGACTTGTGCTTGCTTCAAAATCTGGCACTTTATTACTTAACTAAACCTAAATACCAAAACCTCGTAAACCTTCATTAGAATTCCAACTTCGCATTCATTTTTAGGTTATTTGCTAAAGCCTACTGTCTTTTTAAAATATTAAACTGATTGACGTTAGTTTATTGCATTGGCGCATCTTTGCGCTGAATTGGAGCAGCTTGGGGGGAATTTATTTGATAAATAATAAGTAGACAACTAATCAGCAAAACGTCAAGGTTTTTCTCATTTATTTTGGACTAAATTAAGTAAGAGGATATAACCTATTCCTGAAACCTTGAAAGAACCCTGGTTTTCGAAATTGATCGACCAACGTTTACCAAATTGGTAGTTCGTACAAACCCACTTAAGGTTATCGTTCTTAAATGTGGCATCAAAACGGTCCCTCGGTATTCACATATCCCGAGCCGGTTATGCTCTTTTTTCATTGCATTTTGGTGGATTTGTTAGACTTCAAAGTGACTTTTTGTTATATGCCACAGATGCTTACTATCGGTAAAAGCGATACGCTTTTGAGACCTTTTTTTGGTAAAGAAAAGTGCAAATTTTCGAATACATATACTTTAATGCTTTTTGCTAGCAATAAAGACCTTAAATCAGGCATGGTTCTATTGGCAATGGAAGGATGGGTAGAATCAAAATTACAATCTAAGTGTGCTACAAACATGTGAACCTTTACATGTTCTCATCTGGCGTCCCCTCTGCTGCGAAGGTTGAGTTATTGAACTGTTTGCTTTTACTATCTTCAGACCTCTGCCTTCTGTAGAGGTTGTATATCGTTGTCCCGTCTCCTAGAACTTTTTTGGGTGATGCTGGGTACCTGCCACCATTTCCATCATCCTCCCGCTCACTATCTGAATTACCTTGTCTGCTGAGACGAATCACAGTGACAGAGTTTCCTCCAACATCACCTCGCATTCCACTTCGATTTGAGGCTCGATTACAGAAGGTCATCTCAGTTCCGTTTAACTTTGAATTATTCTTCAGTTTGTCAAAGACCAACTCAACCACAGATTCGCTAGATTCCGAGTCCGAATCTGCGCTATTATTGTCAATACTGACCTTACTGACACTACTGCTGTTGTCGCTGTTGCTACTGCTTGTCGATTTCTCTTTGCTAATTCGAAAAGTTGACACTCTTTCGTCAAGTTGATTCATCAGTTCGTGAAGTAGGCTCAAGGGATACCTCTTTCCATTAATGATCAACATTGTCCCGTTCCCGATCTTAGGAGCCTCACTGTCAACACCTTTGCCAGCGCTGTTGCAATTTTTCCCAGCGACATGATGGATGCACTGGTGATTGCAGCAGCAACAGTTTTGATTCTGGAGCTGTATCTGCTGCTTCTGTCCCCCAGATCTACTCTTGCCTCGACGTTGGGACTGACCTTTGGGGATTTCCGGTGGGCTTTTCCGCTTGTTCCGTGGTCCCTTAAAGTCGATATTGGACTCATTCCAATGGGGTGACGAATGTACGTCAATTTGTCGTGACCTTAATTGTCGCATAGAGCGACGCGGTAATGCGATCCGAATCTCCCGTTCTTGAATACGACGAGTGGACCCGTTTCTATTCAAAGAGATGCGAGTGGGTGAGTTTTTGGTGAGGATCGGAGCTACTGGAATTGTGGTAGGTGATAAGGAGATTCTGCGTCTCCGAGGTACACTATTTGTGTCTGTGAGCATCTTGAAGGCGAGAGCAGCTACCTCCGGAGTTCTAAACTTGTACACCAGCGCGGCACAAGTTCTGCAACTATTGCCATCGAAATGTAGCACGGAGAGAGCAATACAGCTTGGATAGTGACAGGGGAAATAGTAGACTCTATCAGTAGCCGGATCGCGGGGACGAGCTCGAAGACCACTTCGTTCCAATTTGACCGCGGTGTAGGCTTCAAATATGCGATACAGGCACCTCTTCCCACGATCACGCATAAAGTTGGGGAATTGAGAGAGAATGAACTTTTCATCTGCCGAGGCAACCGAGTAGGGACCATAGAGCAGGGACCTTTCCGAGAAAAACAACATGCCGTAACGGCGGTCCCATCCTATGGGCTGGGCCTCGTCATCCACTGCATCGTTCGTCTCAGACTGATCCCTCCCGGGAAGTAGGTACAGTCGACTATAGCTGACCGGTACGTTGGCGTTGGGTTTTGATGCTGTTACGAAGGTGGAATTCATCTCCGGGTGATTGTGAGGCAGCGGCAGGGCTGTTGCTCAACGTGATGATGCTTCTGGGGTGATTGGTGTGGTGAGTAGCCAATGAAGATGTGCCTTGTAGAAGCCTCCAGCTGGCGCCTGCAGAGAATGTGTGCGTTAGTATAAGCGCATGTCAATCTGGGACAATCTCATTAGGAGCTAATTAAAAAGGGTAGTTCGTTGGTCGATTGGTGGTGAAGGCGTTCTAACAATCATCCAATGGCGTGATTACACGTCTCTTCATGGGGCTGTTGCAATTAGGGGTCCTTTAGCCTCCTCCACCGCGGTCTATCCATTAGGAAAGGGCTAATTAAGCATTGTGGGTCAATGTGACAGATTTCATTTAAGTGACAAGTCGTCTAAGTGATTGATGGTGTGGATTACTACGCAGGTACCATTCCAAATTGGCCATTACAAATATATTCTGCAGTGGGAATTAGAAATGGATCATTTCAGTGTGCTTTGATAGCTCCTGATAGTTTTAGGTGAGGGATTGTCAAAAAAGAGAGGCTTCAGCAAGAATTTTTACCTCATTTTTGCGCCGAGATTGGTGGAAAATTCTAAGATTGTGGGTGAAAAGTCGCTTGCTTGTGTCACTTTAAAGATTTCTCCATTTTAAGTCGATATCTGGTCTTGCAAATGAACCAAACTTTCTGAAGTCGCACAACTTCCACTTCCCTTGCTCGGTTATGATATATTTGTAAGACAAAAACCGTCTATCATACTTTTAGTACGTGTATGGCAAAATTGGTAACCCAGTAAGAATGCCAACGTGTCTCTTTGCTCGTTCGCACTCTCTTTCAAGGGAGTGTTTTTTTGTCTTAAAAAGAATTCTTCTTGCAAATTTAGGTAATACTTAAAACAACCTCCATCCAAAATGTTAACATTCTGTTCAGAAATTATACCGCTTCGCTTTGTACCAAATTTGTCAAGTAATTGAGCGCTCTAGCCAATGAATTGAGGGACCGAATATTTGACCAAGTACCGTCAGCCATTATAAGCAAGAAGCAATTTATAATGAACTCAAATTAACTGCTACTTGTCTGGACAGATTCTAAAAAAAATGGAAATAATGGCAACATTTCACCATTTCAATTGTGCTTAGACCAACGCCAGGCGATCAAGAGCACACTCCCAAAAAAGGCCAATGACTGTCCGAAAATACTGGCAAACGTCCGCTGAAGTGAACCCCAACGATCGGATTTATGGCAGTCCCCGTAAATTGTGCGATTTGGCGTGGAGGCTCAAACTACTGTGAAATTTGTTTGTCCCCAAGCGACACGAGTATCCTGATTAAATCGAGCGCTAATTGGGGGTGTGTGATGATACCACCCTTATTAGATTACAAAGTTGCAATGTCGGTTGCGAAACACCCATTCTGGAGGATAATTTAATTATTAAAAAATATAGTTAGGATTTCTGCTGTTGGTATAGCGAGAATTTCACATACACGTCGAAGGCTATTCGACTTAAGGGAAAATTGCATGCTTTTGGAGGGCTAATTAGTTATCACCTATTTACACCTCAGTCGTTGTTTTTCAAGTTTTAAATCCAAGGTGTAAGGTAGGCAGCTAATCAATTTAACGCTTTTGAATTTCTGGTTTTATTAATGGAATTCAAAATTTGTTCAATTTTACTTTGATGCCATTCCATTGTCTGGCGGGGAAAGTAAAGGGCTGGTAAGCTCCAAATCACCCGGTTCATTGACCACCCTGACTAAACCGTCGGAGGAGTCTTCTTTCCTAACTCAGAAAAAAAAATACTTATCAACTTTTGCTCATTTGCTAAGTTTCTTTTCTTCGAAAATTGACACGCATTTACGGCTTATCATAAGAAAGGCAACTTTGACTCACCTATTGAATAATGCTTTTACTGAAGTAAAATATTTCGGGGCACATTCGATTAATAATGCATAAAAGAATACAAAAATTTACTGGTATGATTACTTCGCTCAATGTCGACAACTTTGTGAGGTCTCGTTGTTGCCCTCCAACAGCTACTGCGTACGCCCCCGGATTTTATTCGGTGCTTGTATCAGGGTGTTACTTAAACTTGTTCATTAGCCTGAAATTCACCAAAAAACATTAATGCTTATGCTGTTCTCATAATCACTAGAGTAAAGTCAATTTCTGCATGGTAAGATGCCAAGTTGTCCTAGGAAAGTCTGCACTAAAACTGGTTGAGGATCTTCAACGTAGGATGTTAGTCAAAGGCTGGAATATTTCTGGCATACTTCCCAATGTTAGAGTTATCCAGATAAACAGTCGCTCACTTCGATGGTTAGCTTAGAAACAACACACAGTACTATCGGCAAAAGTGCTTAAAGGTGACGAACAGCAACCGTGTTGCTAAATCGTCGATTATCCACGATGCAATGGCGTTCACAACGGCAGTCTTTTTCAACCGGTAGTGGCTTGTAATTTGCCAACACAAATGAGTCATGGGGGTCGGACGAAGCCATCTTGACCTTAATCGTTGTTAAGGCGCTAGGGTTGGCCGTAGCCAATGCTTCCACACTGACTAATTGATGCTCTTTACATCACCCAACTACCACAATAACTTTTGAGGCCATCTAGAGATAGCTTCCCTGAACCATTGTCGTTACCATGTAGCGTCTTGAGCCTTCGCAGAAGCCGTAGCATGTATGAACAAAGTACGGAGCAACGGAGCTGAAATGCAACCAGTGCAGACTGAAGTGTTAGGTGGTTGGACGAAATATATCAAAAAGACTGCAACACAATGCGTTCAAAAACAGGGTACCTCGCATTTTCAAGTGTCAGTTAATTCAAGGAAGTGCTAGTGCCAGTACATCCAAGGCTGTGAATCCATGAAGCTGCGGACACTTTGTACGTGTCTATGGGTTAAAATTGCCCTTGTGTTTTAAAAGCATCCTCCCCTTTATATCATTTATTAACGAATTTATTGAATTGCCATTTCTTTGGGAGCAAATGCTTAATAACTTGAGTTTTGGTATGATGAATTAATTCCACGCATGCCGTTTGGTATCTGATATTTCCGAACCATATAAAGCTGAAATTGAGTGCTAACTGTTTCAAATGGACATCGTGGATCGGTTTCGAAGACACTCCAAATTGCACCACTGTAATACGTTAATGCTTTGCTTAACTCTCGGTTTTGGCTTCGGGACACTTGGGGTGCTCCGCCATAGTGTACTATTTGGGCGGCCTGGCCTCCGAGCCATGTCAGTAGCCTCAAGCCCTACTGTACATCGACAGCACATATTCCTCCCAAGGATTCTGCCTTGTTCGTCTTTAGGAGGGCCTCAGAGCGCTACACCACTAAGTCTTTGCATCAGATATCGAATAGGTGGTGATTTTGGGGCCAAAAAGGGAGGGGAATGCGAAAAGGCCCCAACCTACGAATCGGCAAGCATTTCAGCGAATGGCCGCTGACATGGCTACCTGTGGCACACTTTAAAATTGTAATCTCATAACATGCAAATTCAGTAGGCGGGCTAAAAATCTGATATTAATCGCATTCCCCCCATTTACCACTATGACGGTCAGGACAACTAACCCATCATGCGGGGGTGACCTCAACATACATACGTTTTGACAATTAGGCATGAAATCTATGAAACAGGCAAAGTGTTCATTTCGCCTTCCAGCCCAGCGTCAAAAAACTTCCGCAAAGGAAAGAGAATGGCCTTGGTTCTAATTCCCCTGTACCCTTCAACCTACTTTCTTGGTACAATAAATGATGTGGAATAGACCTTGGAATTTAGGAAGCATGCTCTGTAAATGGAGAATACTTGAAAATGGATGCTGCGAAGGATTGTTAACAAAAATTAGCTATAGCTACTTTTGTATTATCTACTGTAGTTTTGCTACTTTGTAATACAATGATTCCTGTTTAAGCCATATGCTTCCATCTGCAGGCAATTCACGCCCTAGCCATACGAAAGAACGCAGAAAATACTTTTACGATGCCATTAAACAACTTTGTCAATAGGTATAACTAATGGAATTTTATGTTCAACAGTATTTATTTATTAACAACACATCTGTCAAAAACTTTCCACTCCTAAATGCTTGTAATACTTTAACTGTTTAGTTAACTCTCGGTTTTAAGAAGGGGCCACTTAGGGCTCTGCCATTGTACCTCCGCCGAGCGGTTGCACCAGTGGTCCCAAGCCTTTCAGTACGTCAACACTACGTATTCCGCCCGAGCATTATGTCTTCTTGCTTCTTCAAGGAAGCCTCGAAGCGCTACACTGGTGGCAGAGGAAAACAAATCCAATTATTAAGGACAACCACCCTGATTTCTACGGCTGCATGATTAGCCTTACTGTGACGGAAGAGGTGTATTTGCTGTGCATGAGAGAGCTGTGACGACCCCTAACAGAAGGTCTGAAAATGACGCCTATCTTCGGCAACTGACCCAGTTCTGTGTTCTGCAAGAAAGCTATTAACAACTGAGGTGACACTAGCCTTGAACCACCTGGAAAAGTTCGTTAACGAAGCTGTCGCCCGTACCTGTGTCGAGACATTATGTGAGCAAGCAATGTCTCTTCCACTTCTTTACTAGCTAAAGAGACCACAGATAGAAATATGGCTGAGCAGTGCTGAAGTGCGAGCAAAGTGACAAAGAGAAATAGGCGCAAAACAATAAGTGTTCCTACGACTAACGATTGACACATGCAATAGCCTACGCTTTCCTTCTTCCCCCAATACAGTTCCCAAATAGGACAGAACTCCAGTTCCAGTAGAATTGCCAGGATGGATTAGTTAAAGCTTTAGTCAGTTACCTTCTCAGGTGCAACCCAGTCCGATGACCGGTGGAGATGGTTCGCCGGTGTCCTTCCTTACACACCAACGACTTTGACGGCCGATTCGGGAAGTTAAACCTAGGGACTGCCCAAAAGAGTAGAGGTGTTAGGTCATCTTTTGTTCATCTTACTTTCTACTTTAGTAATGGTCCATTTAGAATCCCGCTTTTGTACCTCCGCCGAGCGCTCTGGTTGTAGATCCGAAATCCTCCTGCACGTCGACGACACATATTCTCCCCGAGTATTATGCGTTCTTTTGCCTTCGGGGAAGCCTCGGGGGCTGCCTAATAACTAATTCGTTTAGATTTTCTAATATTTTAATGAACTAGTTACTCAAGGATGTATATCATTCTGAGCCTCAATTAAGTTAAAATAAACTAAATTGAAGGGTTTTTGCTCCAGTTTAGTAAAACCTATTTCCCTACAATTTCCGATGTGCATAATTAGCTCAGCTAACACAGTCTTCAAACCGTTTATCAGTATTTACCATCAACGCGTCTGTCAAAAACACCATCCACTCTCAAAATACTCCGTTTCGGTAAGGAGAAAATTAAGGGATCCGCCATTGCACCTCTTCGAGGCGGTCTGACCTGCGGGCCATGCTAATAGCCCCAAGCCCTTCTGCATGTCAACAACACATATTCCGCCCAAGTATTATGGCTTCTTTCGTCTTTATGGAAGTCTAAGGGCGCCACAACCTCACTTGTACCAAATATTCCTTCTCCTACAGATCATGCCAGCTTGCCGTTTTAGTGCATACTAGCGATGAGACTAGAATGTGGCAAATCGGAGCACACAAGACTCCAGCTGTCATGAAAAGGCTACTGCTGAAAGAAATTGCGTCACCTTTAACAACTCGAGGAGACTAAACATATGAATGGATTATTCCTTCTAGTGATCCACTTCTTCTCAAAAAGTTAGTCTTCTCCTTCACATGGTTTGCTAAAAGAGGATAAAGGTAGTGAAGACTCCACGAGCTGTTTCAACAGCCAAATGGGTACTAACTACAAGTGGGAATAGTTAATTTCACCGTACTTCAATTCGTAGCTTCCATCAATTATCCGGCGCGGATAGGCGCGGCGCTAAAACGGAGAAGTCGGTTTAACCCCGTCCAAGGGGATACGCATGGAGTTATGGCGATTCACGGCAAGAACCCAACATGCTCTGCTAGTTACATTTTCAGGTTAACAATTTTGCTGTCGGCATCACATTTGTGCGACGCCAAAACCTTTTGCCTGAGCTTCTGCGTCATACGTGCAGCATATTTCATCAATTAGTAATAACCGTGGTTGTATAAAACAGTAGTGATCTTTGAATAAAGGAGATGTGGAATAATCTCGGATAACTTTCTCAGGTTTTTCGGACAACTGCAGTTGAAACATTTCTTAAAAAAATGAGTGCTAACAATTAGAGTATCATGAGAGAACAATAAAATAGGAGAGCTATGGTGGCCAATTTGCTGCTGAGACAGACCATGGCAGGGAATACGTTAACGTAAGAGGCAGTTGAAGCACAGGCACGGTGCGGTCTTGACCCGTTTCAGGCAAAAGCTGCTAGATCGTTATGGCACGCAATGATGACTGAATTAGATTAGGCTTGCCAAACGTCAGCCAAAGTTAGGCGCGGAGGAACGCGGTGTGCGAAATCAACAATGTGGAGTAAGCGACGCAACCACACACGGACCACGGTAAGTCTGTGGGTGAGTTCCATACCCACCAGCTGTTTACCTGCTCACCCGCATACACCAGCCTAGCGCCTAAGCCCGTTTGCGTTCCATAGGAGAGCCCAAATTCCACCGACCTAGAAAGTCGCACATACGGACGTGCCTCGGTTACTGCACCAGCTTTCCGCTTCGAAGGTACACTGCTGGCGGGAAGTCTAACTAAGCACTCCCTGTCAACAAATGAGAAGTAGAACAAAGAAACCATCTCGTTTGACAATGTTTATTCACACGTGCATTTAATCAAACAGCGGCAAAGATACACCTGATTTTTACATGCACTGCTATAAGCGCTCTCAATGCGTGCAATGGGGGAGCAGATGGAAAGATCATAGAGGTACACACAAATATGTTAAAAAGGGGAGGCGCGAATAACAATTACATAGCGGTTGACAGTAGGAACACGATTAAACACTGACGCTGACGGCTGGTTGACAACTTCGAATGACAAAACCTTAATCCTGCTTGGCCTGTTTCTTCTTTTTGGCTGCAAAGACAAGTGAATTACAGCACAAACCATTTACTTTAAACCGATACAAAGTAAACCATGCAACTAGAAATGTCTTAAAATTCGTTCCATCTGTGTTACAAGGAAGTTAGGTTCGCAAAAAGCCCTACCACATAAGTAACTAGCACCGTATCTACCGACCGTGCAAAAGAGGCAAAATGATAAGTTTCTTTCGCAACACTGGAGTAAGCCAATAATATCAATAACAGTACCACTTGTGGGCGTCAGAGACTGCTTCTGTGGTTGTTGATGCTGGTGGTGCTGTGGCTGCTGTTGGGGCTTCTTATTCTTTGCTTTATCCCTCTTCGGTTTGCGATGGTAATCAGAGGAAGCCAGTCTTATTACCAGAGAAGAGACGAGAAAGACCAAAAAGGCAATACAAAAAGCCACTCCGTAAAACTGATAACGACCGGTAACGGTGAACAGCTTCAGCATAGGATATGGGTGGAACCCGTGTTTGTAGATCAGGTATTCTGTGCTAGGAAAAGTAGGCTGAATAAAACGCATTAGTAATAAACCCACTAGAGAGTATAGCCCAGAAAGTAGGAGAAAACAATGAGAAAAGACTTCCACAAAGGCACCGGATGCGGACGCGAAAGAAGAACATCGAACAATGCAGTAATGCTGATGAATGTGTGCTAATTTTGTAGTTATTTAAGAGAACCCATCGCCTACCGTAGCGTGAATAAACCACGAGGGTATAAATTCAATAGTTTTCAGATCCATTAGCAGTGATCTGTCGAAGTAATCGATGCCCCAGAACATAACTGACACGACCTAGAAATTGACAAAGTGCCGAAGACAACGTACCGTGGCAGTTGTAAGAGCCAGACAAGACAAGACGCTCTTTACTTTATTGCATCTTGTCGGCATAAGAAGAATCGCCAACGCATAGTACAAGACGTGTAGAAGCTAAACGATGAATAAGACGGAGAACCGTACCAATGTGTCAATGGTAAGAAACCGTGTTTGCAGGAAGACATTTTCCTTCAGCGAAACTTTTGCAGGACGATTTTCAAAAGTCCAGTAAGCGACATATCCATAACCCAAAAGGCAGAAAAGTCTGTAGGAAAACAGCCCCAGCGCCGCCAACATCATGAAAATCAAATCAGTGAGGGTAAAACGACAGACGTGTGGCTCATTTGAAGAAACCAACGTTGACATGGGCACAAAAATTCAACTTTCGATAATGAATCTTATTCAGTAAACAGGGTTTGACATTTCTGATTGGGCAAATAATAGTAAGCTAAATTAATGAGCGCAAAGATGATTGATAGGGACGGGAACTATTGCAAAAAAATATAAAATTCAGATAGATCATGTCTATCTTGCTCGAAACTTTACACAAATTGGTCACTTTTTAAGCCAGATGACGCCTCTTTATCAAATTTATATCATTGGTTTCACTCATGTTTCCTCACAATTCAAAATACAGAATTCTGCATATTTGTACATTTTTGCGCTAGATAACAGGTATTAAAGAGTGCCTCTGTTCGCCGTTTGCCTCCTTTGCATCAGCATCTATACTTATGGACTTTTATTGGCTTGTATTCAACTAAAAATTTACTTTTGTAAATTTTTACTTGAACATTTTTATATATTTTTTATTTACAAGACATTTACTTTTGTTTTCTCTTCTTCTTTTTTTGTTTGAGTAATTCGTCGCCCTCCGTGGCTGCTTTAAGCACGCGGAATAAGTGGCGCAAGAAGCGTGAGATGACCCGAGCGAGAGGAGGGAGATGAGACAGGAGCATGTGGACTTTTTTTGCGTTGTGTTTTAATAAAAACCTTTGTCTCATATCTGTCTTTGGTTCTCGTTTTGGACGCAAGCCTTGCGCATGCCTTGGGTTCCTAGCCTCTGCTGTACACCCAAGAAGTTTCTTAAAGCCATAAATGGTCGTAGTTTCAGTATCTTCGTTTTTGTGACGCTTTGCCGTGTGTAGTTCTCGAGTGATCCCGCTATGGCTTTGTGACTAAAGACGGCCACCCAGTTCAACTTAACCTGCCGTGGCCGTGTTGATTGATGACCGCTGCACTACTGGCGGGTTCCCCAATTGGGTGTGTGCCTCTGGAGTGCAGCTGTTCCTGTGTTTTACGACCCTTTCGGTCCGTTGCATGGTATTTCCGATCCCAGTGTCTGAGCTAATACAATGCGTATTTTGGCACATGAAAGTGCCTGGCTGAACACTTTCGCAGCGTCACATTTGAGAGTTGTCGATATTCTCTTAGAAAGTACAAGGAATGCTTTTGGTTAAGTGAGGAGATACCGATTGCGAGGTTGCCCAGCCTCGTTTTTATCGGTACGTTCGCGTCCCCAAGCAGCTAAAGTTATGGGTCACATGATCGCCTGGGGTTCTTCAGGTGGCCGTGGTGGCCAAACGTCCAGCTCTGGGTGTGCCGGCCTTGTTGACAAAGGGAAAGAGATTCCCTCCCAGGCCGCGATCTTCGATTTCAGACGCCGCGTCATATAAATCTTTTGATCACACTAAGGTCTAAGCCCTTATGCGATGCGAGCACGCCCGAACCTTCGTAAAAGTGATAACTCCTTTGCGTTATGGGGCTAGCAATACCTCGACTCCCAAGGCGAGACGCTACCAGACTTCGAGCACATCGCACCCCGACTTTGGAAACCATTGCAATGAGGGACTCTTAGACTGCAGTTTGTGCTGGACATTGGCCTGTGTCTCATCAGACACTACCCGACCTTCAGCAGAACCCACTCTCTGTAACCATGGAGCCCTCGAACAAAACGACGCAAGGACAAGCACCCACGGGAGCGCCGTTATCAACGAAAAGACCGCAAAAATCGCGCAACCTCACCACTACCAGGATTCCCACGTGAGTCAACACCTCAGCCTGCGACAGCCGTCGCCGCGAGCAGACAGCCCCCCAGACCTACCTACCCAGCAAAAAACACCACCAACTTACCCAGACAACCACACGAAAAGCCCGGAAGCAAATTTCCAAAGTCCCCACGGATCCGATCACAGTAGTTAAGTGCGGATGGTACTAGGACCCGAACCACTCCCCGGCCACAGACGGCCAGAACCCAGCTAAAAGACAACAAGCACACCCATCTTGTTGTCAGATCGGTAAGAGCGGAACCTGTACGGAAAATAATCAGTGGAACCGGAGACGAGACAAATGAGGCATCAGATGCTGCCAGTAAGTCTTTAATAGGATTCACACCCATTACAGTAACGTACAGAGTGCTTATCCAGCTAGTCAGAAGAGCAGTTTACTTGCTCCTCTGCCTCATCTTCCTTCTTTTCCGCTTCAGCCTCCTAACGCGCTTCTTCCTCCACTTCGCACGCATTTCAACGGCTAAAATGGCGGCAGAGGCCCTTACAATAACTGAAACAAAAACAACTGTTTATGGGACAAAAATTTAAACAAAATTTTTATACTTTGGCATATTTTTTCTTGTAGCTAAGTGTTTGCTCATCCAAGTGGTATAAACGCAATGTTTCTTTTCTGAGGTGTCTTGTTAGAGTTAGATGAAATAGAATTCTCTTTAACCGAAAATAAATGGACTTTTAGATGAGATGGTTTGTTTGCGTATCTTTAAGTTTTCGTTAGTCTACCAAGATAACATAACTCTAAGGCTTTGCAGGATTTTCGATTTCTACTAGTTGTAATACGCCCAGGCACCGCGGAAGACAATATGTGGGGCCCCGAGACTTCCCGTAAGACGAATGAAAACATAATACTCGGGCAGAGTATATACTGATGACGTATAGAAGGCATCAGGGCTACTAGTATGACGCGAAGGTGAGCCCACCGGGCATGGCACAATGGCCAAGTCAAAGGTGACTTTTCACCGAAACAATAGACAACACATACGTACTTCCCCGAGACTTCCTGAAGACGATTTAAGACATGGTAGTGGGGTAGAATACATATATTTGGCACAGAGAAGGGTGTTTTAGCTACTGGCATGGCCCCAAGGCCAGCCCATCCGTCGTAGTTCAAAGGCCAAATCAAAAGTCGCTCCTCGTCAATACCGAGGGAAGAACAACCATCGTATTACATAGCCCGTCTCCTCTTTTGAGCGTCATCTCCGGCGCTCCCTCTGATCAACCTCCCGCGTCAATCATCCCAACGTAGTCGGTGCTGTTAAGAAGCATCCGCGAGCCGGCCCTGTTGGTCATCAAATTAGCGTGCAACTGGGGCGATACTTGACTGCATTGTAGCTGACTCCTCCTAGCAATCTAACTGAATTTGCAGTTTCGTCCGGTTTGGCAACTTACTTTTAGAAATGGAGAATTGTGCTGGCCATTATACGTAACCATAGATAGATGTAGGAACACTGGCATAAAATCGGATTTGTGTAAGGAAGGACGGGATTTAATACATGTCCATGGGGGAAGGGTTTTGCATCTGTTCCTCTTTGCCATGTTGTTCCAACTTCAGAGCTGCCCATGCTCCATTCAGATAGTAAGGAAATGGAGGAGGTATCGAGAATTCACTTTATCAACAGCTTATTGCAGGTACGGTAGGAGAAGTCTGTAACTAAACTTTCAGACGGTTTATGGCTAGTGTCACTTTAGTTGCTAACATCTTTCCTGCAGAACACGGGACAGGGACAGGTGCCGAAGGTGAGCGCCAACTTCAACCCATCTGTTTGGGGTCATCACCATTCTCCCATCCGTAGCATATGTACTTCTTCCGTTCCGCTACGGTTTATCACTCAGCAGTGAAAATCAGGACAGATGTCCTTTAGGATTGGGTTCACTTCCAACTGCCAATTTAGCGTCCCGAGACTTCCCTGAAGACAAAAGAAGACATAATACTGGAGTAGAATACATATATTCGGCACAGAGAAGGTACTTGGGCTACAGGTATGGCCCGAGGGCAGGCAACCCGGCGTGGTACAAAAACCATCTCAAAAGTCGCTCCTCGCCAATACCGGGAGATAAACAACCAGTAACCCAAAGGCCTTCTCTGTGCTGAATATATATGTTCTGCCCGAGTAGTATGTCTTCTTTCGTCCTCGGGGAAGCCTCGGGACGCTACACGTATGCTTGTGTACAAAACATCAATAGACCTGCTTGAGATACTCATTCTGGCAAAAGCACAATCATCACAGAGGGATAAAAACACAAGCAGCATTTATGCTTTCGCACTTACTTCTTAATAATGGGTGGTTAATAACTTCAGAATAACATAAATTACAAATAGGCATATATGAAAATACTAGAATACACCATTTCGAAAATATTTGCCCATCGGTAAAATTATAACGTAGTTTGTTGATGCTGGAAACGAAGACAGTTATAAAAAAAAGCAGTAGGGATTTCCGATCGTCATATTGGACCTCTTTTAATATAGAATATTTTTTAATGCAAACTTTTAGTCTAATATCATGAGTATAAGCCAAAAGACCCCTGTTTCCGTACTCTATTCCTAATTCGTACCTGTAATTTGATTGATCACTTTAATCGGTACTGTTAAAGGGGTGAAGAAGGGGGGCATTCCGGAACTTTGCTGAAAATGTTTTCTTTTCTATATTTTCCACTCAGTTTTCTGTGTCGAAAGCAAGAACCAGTGAACACATAATTTAACTTTGCCCTTTGCCCTTTTTATTGATTGCACCCATTTAAATGCAAAGGTGGTAAATGTGAAGGGGGCTATGGACCATCCTGAGAGCGACTACATACAACGCGTGCTAAGCGAACCGCTGAAGGATGCGCTCTCAGCTGTTGTGCTCTACCAACCGCTCGATCCCATTGAGTTTCTCGCAAACTACCTCAAGTACTGGGCCATTAAAGTTAGAGACTACCGCTGTGTAAGTGCCCCATAAAGTGCAGGACCCTACTTGTAAGCCAAATAAGTAGCTGATTGAAATCTCCCGGAGCACTTTCCGCTATTTATTTTATCCAAGGCTTCTTAATGTAGGCTTGTAGTAAACCCCTTATATGTTTCCTCAGTCTAGTGTTAGATAAAGTCAATTTTTCATAGATAGGTTGTGTCGCTTAGCCTCTTGCTGTGATAGAGCAGGGAAACCAATGGATAGAAGTTAAGGTTAATGTGGCTAAACCAAAAGCACATTTATCTCAAAACCCGCAAGGGTAGCATTATGTGCTTAAATATAATGTTTCACGTCAAAAGGGGACATTTGCGTTTACAAAAGCAAGTTAGTTGCAGGATTTGGCAGCTGTATTTTTTCTTGATGCGGTCCCCGCTAGATTTCCCCCAGTGTTACTGTCTGTAGTTAATACCTGAGAAGCAAATTTAGCATAGAGAGATTTCCCAATAAATCCGAATTTACATCTTCAGGGCTAAAAGGTGGTGGATCTACATGCTTCAACTTCTTCGACACTCTGATTGACTTCACAGCAAAATAATTGGTTCATTTTTCGTTGCACATGCCAATGTAGCCTAGCAAATCCTAACTTCCCTTGCTAGGACGCGCCTACAATGTGGTGCAGCACTTAACTTTTTGTGCTGGTTACATACAAAACAATGTTATGAGAGTCTTCGTGAGCCAAACTTGAACATTTACGAATCCGCATGAATGCGGAAAAGCTCAGATCTTTTGCCGTTTTAGCACACGACGAACTATGCGTCAATCAGACCTAAGGGATCAGAAGACTTATCACGCGCTAATGTTCACAAGAATGACTGTCAAGGTTTTGAGTTGAGAACCATCACAATCGCAATCGGCACTGAGAGGCGCATGATCGTCTTTGACTTGTCTACTTCATTCTTATTTCTCAATCTTGGACGGCTAGGCGCCGCGTTATCCTACCGTTCCGTGCTTGAAACTTCCCATCCATATTCTTGGCCGTTTTTGCTCCCGTCACCTGCATCTACTTCCATTATCGCCCACTATCCTATTTACCGGCTACTGGACTGAGAATGGACTGGCGCACGACTTTTGAGCAAACGGCTATTAAATAGTCCGAGTTACTTCTTACTACTACATGTAGTATCACCATGGTGATACCTCTTCATCAACTTCTAAAATTGGAGGCCCTGACTTCAATTAAATATTCCCCATAAGACAAACTGAACCCCTGCTTTTAATTTCAGCGGAAATTCGCAATCTTTGAAATGGAACGAATTTTGGCCCTACAAATACCCTTCAATATACGACTCCAGGCTGAACGTGCTATTCGTGCAGAACAGAACTTCTTGAAGGTAGGCGCTTGCGTTGATAGAACAGATTTTAATTGCCCTGTCCACAAGTGGAGGTGTGCATATGAATGCATAAGCATCAATCCACACATTTCCAGCACTTCATTCCATTTTGCCGTGTTTTATTTCTGCAAAGTTCACCACAAAGACTATTGCTTTCACTATGATGGGGGATGATGCGATGAGCCTATAGCGGGAGGGTCTTGACCGAATTGTTGGCGGTGTAACTCATGTATTTCTCGCTAGAACATCTCCTTTAACGCTAAAAAGTAGATGCTGAAGCTACTCTGGGTCAGTGATTTGGATTTTTCTGCTTAAGTGTGATAAACTGCAGTCAAAAATATCTGCTTTAATCCCGTTTAACATGATTGGGCAACGCTCAACCAAGTCCGGGTTCAGTTCGCCCTATGATTGGTCGATGGGTAGAACCTGGTTCCACTGCCCGCTTATCTAGTATACAGCAAGATTGTTTCCTTTTACCCGCGAGTTTCCCATTGCAGATTCCCTCACTTTTTAAAATGCTTGTATTCTTTGTCAATCGTCTTCTGAGTCCTAACTCGGTAACTACTCGCAACGCATTAATTCGAAGAGTAGAGAAGGACATCCAACTGCGATTTCATCAGTTTCATACCCGAGTCACTCCGAAAGGTATTAACAGGATCTGCGTTATCAGTAGAAACGTTTGCACACATGATAGTATCTTAATTATAGGCGCTAAGAATGACTGGGAGGCCATTGCTTAAGAAATGCGAATTAAAATCATTTTCATACCAAGAATATTCCACATTCATCTTACTAATATAAGATTAAACACAACTAATTTCAGGCGTTGTTATCATAAACTGATGAGAAACATGCGTCACGTATATGTGACGCTGCTACCGAAAGTATTAATACTCGTCGGTGCACAACAGCAAATGTATCTTATGTGTCATTCACATTTCTCATTAAAAGTTCTCTCAAGAAATAATAATTTTTAATGAAATAATACGAAATAACATCTTGTAGCTGAGTCCAGTTTTCATTCCCCCTTCTCCATGAACACTTTAACACGGTGCAACGGCCCGTCTAGATTATTTTCATCATCATGCTTATACATCAAAACTTCAATGTAAATGTTTGAAGTAGTTCTCTCACATAAATTTCAGGGTGTTTAAATCTTGTCACACTTCATTATCAGTAAGACATAAATTTTGAGCCTGGGATCGTGACCATAGTTGATAAAGTTTCGATAGCCCTTCCATTGTGAAACTTAAAAATCGGTCATCCACAGCAGACGCTTTGCTGTGGTATTTTATGAGGTGAGTTTCCCAAATTTGGCATAGGTACTGGGTAATTCCAGAAAGAATTTGGGAATGGACGTTCAGAAGCAAATGCCTTGTTGATGTCCCTAAGTCGAGTCGCTGGAGGCTGAAAACGCTTCAGTCGTAAAGTGTGCAATAAAAGGAAATGCCATTATAATAAAGAAAATTTGGGAATTGGAAAATAGAAGCATATAAGGTGTGACCTCTCATGCTACTACTGTGGAACTATCACGAGTAAATGATCGCATTTCCGTTCCCTCTTTCCAACCATCGGATGTAGGGTGAACGAATGCGTGTGGAGGAAGAGGAGAAGCGAAGACTGGCGGAACTACAGCGACGCCGCGAGTTAACGGAAACGAAGGCGACGATGGCTACGAACGCGATGCGCTCGCAGGTATGGCCGCTGGTGATGGAAGAGGTGATTGATATGGCCACCGAAGTTGCCTTCAAGGTCTGGTGGCGAATGGAGCGCTCGCGCTTAAAGGCGGAGAGAGCGGCTCGTCTTGCTGAGAGCAGGAAAATGGATGGGAATGAGATGGGAGAAGAAGGGATGGAAGAGGAGGAGGAAGGAGATGAGGATGAGGATGAGGAATAAAGGCAGAACTGTTAGGGATTTGGGGAAAACAAACAATCCTCTACAACGAGCAAGACACTGATTATTAAATACTAATGATTTAGAATTATGGTGCGATCAGTAAATGTTCATTTGGAGGCAAGTTGTGTTACAAGATGTAAAAAAAGACCAGCTTCGATTATTTGCATCCACTTAAATTAGAAAGTGCGGAAAAGGTGACCAAATTGCCTAGTTAGTCGTCAAAAAGTGGGAGAATTGGGAGGAAATAAAGTGATGACCGATTAGATGCAGGCGCTTCCGAACAACGCGCTAGAGAGGCAAGTTATTGCATCCAAGGGAAAACAAGGAAGACAATAAGTGGAAGGTAATGTTAAGCGAATTCTGCAATAAAACTTTGTGTCGATGTTTAAATTGTTTCCTTCACCTTTACTGGCTGTTCAAACCAGCGTTAAGTGGGGAGTGCTAAAAGGACATAAACTGAAAGTGAAATCAAATAATAAACTTGGAGTAAACGGGGGGATTTAATAAGCTTTCCTTCACTCAAAGAGACTTTGGTCCAAAATCTCTTGCAATCCGAGCCTGTTTCCCATGATTCGGTACAAAAAAGTGTAGACGGCACTCTGTCACTTCGTGACATCCTGCAGCAGCTTAATTTGCTGAAAACAGTTTGCTTTGAAATCACTATGTTCAGTTTAGTACTCCATTACGTGACCTAAAGATGTGGTATTTAGAGCATTTAAAAAGAGGTCATTGGTACTAATTTAGCCAATAAAATTATGGGACATTAAGGTTGCTTTGTAGAAGGTAAAAGGAAATTTTCTCATTTTAATCTTGTAATGGATGGAAAAGTATCGGGCGATCAGGCACACCCCTCATTACACTTGTGGTAAGTGAAAATTTTTATCAAATACTGCAACCAAAACACACTTTTATGATAAGGATAAGGGACAACGGACGTTAATCTTTCAAGGATACGGCATGCATCAATGAAATTAAAATGGAGAAATATTCTTATGTGGTCTCAACAATGTCATAGACTTGACATTTTATTGTTAGAAAGCTGTGCACCCTTCAAAATTGTTCCAATTGTCTTTGCAATGCTAGAAATGTTTTAACTCATTAAACAATTCAGGCAATTACTATTGATTCCAAAGCGGTAAATTTTGCTGTAACATTTTTACTTAAATTGATTCAGTAAAGTCTTTGTTTATTAAAAAGGTCAAAACTTCTAAAAGAGGCGCAGTTGAATGCTCAACAGCGGCACCAAAATTTCGGCGGAGTCTCCTCCAAAATGAATCTTATTTTTCTCGGAAAACAGTTCTCCGGAAAGTCTGCACTCATTGCGCGACTCAGGAATGAGCCCCTGGTTGGTGAGAGGGACAGTGGCGCTGCGTTTGGGTACAACTACATTGACCTGAAACATGCTGAAGGCGAGAGTAGGTTGGCTGTTGCATTTTGCGTCGTTTATACGGGTCAGGCTATGCAAAGAGATCAAGTTGAAGCACGTGTTTACTCAGTAAAACTTGTTCAGATAAATCAGAAAGCGTAGGAAATCCGTTAAATATGTTCAACGTGCTTTGATACAGATGGCCATTTAATTATTTAACACCTCAAGTGCTTTTAGATCCTAAAAAAACCAGGACGCTTTATAAGTTAGGAATCAGGTTCAACAACCACTTCTCAAACCTGTATGCATTTCCGTGCTTAAAATGATTTACTCAAATCAAATATCCAAAAGGCTTTTTGATGCATTCCCAAAGATGAGATGCTTTACTATCAGAAGCCATTTCATAAAGCCCTAAAAAAGCATTCTGAGTGCGCATTAGAGGGAGTGGTACAATGAACTCATGTCAATTTGATAGCTCTCAAGAAACAGTTGTTTAACTTCTCTTGGCAGATCCAAGGAGAGTACATGCTTGGCTGCTGGCTACGACTTTAGGCACGGAGAAGCAACTGCGCTTCCTCTTAAATTCAAAGAACATCTGGAACAGCCTCATTTTGATCTGTGTGAGTATGGGAGAGCCTTGGGAGATGGAGGATTCCATAAATCAGTCCCTTCAGCTGGTGGAGGACCACATAAACCAAATACAGGAAGTGTGTGAAACTGAACTGGCGGAATTACAAAATAGCCGTAAGATATATCTTGTTCTGCTACTCAAATTATTAACCACTGCTTTGTGGAGGTTGCGATGAGATGACTTGACAGAATTTCGAATCTCTCTTTTTGAAATTAATATTGTCTCTGTGAAAGAGGGCAAAGGCACATCCTATAGAGATGAGATCAATTAAAGCATTTCGGCACAAAATAGAGCACTTCTTTTGCTTATTCTTCTAAATTCAAAATTGTTAGGTAAATAAACAAGTTCGCGCTGTTTTATGTACGTTTAAGTAACCACAAACTGTATTCTAATTTTCTACTGATGGACACAGAGTAGCAGCGAATCCTCCTTTCGTACAAATTTTAGTCACATCGGGAAACAGGAATCAGGGAAATTCGGACGAGTAGGTGGGGGTGTCGTTCCCTTTTCCACCATCATAAATTGCGGCATGAGGGTGGGCAAGTTTGCTGCAGTATAATGTAAAAACTAATGTGTTGTGTCGTTCGGCGGGAATGGGTTTATCTTTCGACTGATTTTCTAATCATGATCGGTTCTGAAAGTGGAAGCAGGAAGCCCTGTCTGCACACTCTCAAGCTGACCCGATTAATGTGACCTCAACTGTAATGGTTGTTTAACCGTCTTCTGGAAATTAACGACTGCGTGACTTGGAAGTGAGTGGATTGTTAGGATTTGTTTGAAGATATTATTGTTTGTCTAAGGAACCGTCAAATGCACAAACACAAAAGCCGTTCCTTATCGTAAACAACCGAAAAGGCGAACAATTCCGTCCGACTGACGTATTTTATAATGTGGATGAAGTAGAGAACAACACGTCGATGGCCTACAAACTTTACTGCCATCCGTAAAACGTGTGATCGGGACTCATTTACTCAGTTCTCACCCTGGCATTCCCTTCTTCAGATGTTACTCCCAAAATTAGTTTTTAACAGTGGCATGCAATTTCCCCCTATTGTGAAAAAAAGAAGTTCTCTCCTCCTCAATGCGATATACATGTCTGATTGATTCTTCACTAAAAATAAGCGGTTTATTTCAACCATTCCTGGATGGTATGCCCCACAACCACACCTTCAATAAACATGACGAACAGCAAACTATTACTGCATCGAATCATAATAAAACTTGGTTGATAAGAGAGACAAGCTCGGATCTCGCAACTCTTTGACTAGATCGACTGACATTTGTTGAAGTGAGGGTGGGCTCAGAAGGTAGAAAAGTAGTGCGTAGTTCAAATAAGAGTACAGAACAGATAAACTTGCACATATTTAGAAACCTTATATTGCTTGTAAAACCCGTTTACAGCCCTAAGCCCTCATAAGTTACAAAAATTAATTCGGAGGGATGTTTTAACAACAGCATCAAATTTTTTGTTGGCCCAATGCAATTAAATTGTAACTATTTCACCTATACCCAAAAAATTGAGTCGAAAGCGTTTTTAAGAATCAGTAAGCAGCTATAGAAAGGAGAGGATATATTGGAATTGGCTACTTTCAATCATATGCACGATATCATTCCGTAGTTCCTTCTAATTGTATCCTAGAATGCAGTCAGGCACATTTGCTCCATCCAGGTAATTTTTTGATAAAATTTTTCTTATGAACTAAACCGCTTGAAAGGGAACTTGACTCTCCAGATCACTGCTCCTGAAAATTTAGTCGTGTGTGTGATAGTTCTTAAAATAGCGATTTTAGTTCAATTAAAATCTAGCGCTACTGCAGATATGTAAGTAGTATAAGTGATCTAACATCTTTCACCTAAATAGTTGAACGATATTTTCGCGGATATATTGATCCTGCAATTAGTGCGAAGCCGGGCAGTACACCATCTTCACCGTCCGGACGTCGACTGAGTGTGGTGCTAAGTTACAGCAACAGTACCAGCGAAGGCGGCGATGATGAAGCTAGTGAACGGTGGCAATGGAATTGTCTACATCCTGCTGATCCATCGGATCCGCACAATCCCTTGCCCCCCTTGAATGGGGGTGCATGCGAAAGGAAGATGCGTGTTCCCATTCTCATTGTTGTCACGAAGGTGAGTTGTTGAAGTGCTACACTAGAGACAGTACTATCCATCTACCACAAAAATCCAGCCAAATTAGAGATTGACTAATGAGGCCAGATATAGTGATGTTATGATTGGCAAAGAGATCTACCTCATTTAATCGCAGTGCTTGTTTTTTGTGATTCCTATCAGAGCGATCTTATCGAACACCTGCAGAACGTTCTCGGCTACAACGAGGAGGTGTTTGATGCCATTCAACTGCGTCTGCGACAAATGGCCTTTGAGAGTAAATTGCTTTAAAAAGAGACAATAGGTAGCTTTTTGAGTGCAGTCTATTCTTCCATCAAATAGCATTTACAAAGCTACATTCCTCGGCAGAATGATCTCATGCTTTTCATTGGCTGAAATAATGAAAATTACAAAGTGCCACTCCTTTTCACCTCAATTATACGTTGTGACGTGTAGTAAGTGACGAGTAGTGACGAGTGTAGTAAGTCCTGACAGCATGGAAGGGCATACATTACCAATGTGCCAAAGAGGACTGAGTATATCAGCACAGTCCCTAAGCCATGCCGTAGTAAGGACGAGTTACCTACGGAGTCTAGGGTGCCTGTATAGTTAAACAGAGCGCATAATCTTGCAACCAGATTACAGTCTTTGCTATCTCTCCCTTACTTTTACCTCGTGAACGGATACTGGTAGTGTCAATTCAAATATTAAGATTTGATGAGAATGAGGTGGAGAAGTATTCCTTCCCTTCCCTTCCACTATCCATCCTAACCAAAGCACAAATATTCTCGCAACTAATTTCAATCGGCTGTTTTTCTATCAAGGATGGCATTTATGACCCAAGCTTAGGTACTTTTTTAGTATTCAATGCAAATTATTTCGTCTGTTTTAAAACCTCCTGTAGTTGGCGCTGGTCTCATCTACACTTCCGCACGGAAAGACACAAATATACCCCTACTGAATCGGTATTTACAGCGCCGTCTATTCTGCGAAGAATTTCTCGGCTCGGCACAAATTCTGAAACAGGAGAGCATATTTATGTGAGTTCGTGTAGAGCTAACCGACAGAAATGTGTTTACTCCTGATAAGCACATTCACTTTCACCTCAGACCCACGGGTTGGGACACTCGGGGAAAGATGGAAGGGTTGCCAGTGAAATTGTCGGAGAACTTAGGAGGATTTCCGGGCAAACCATCTGTGAAGTTGAGGATAAGCCTTCGTAACTCTGCTCGTGGTAAGCGATTCGGCTGAATGCATACCTCATTAGACGATAGGACGATTTATCTCGACAGTGAGCTCGATTAGTTTTTGAACTCTGGGTTGTGGTTGTTGTCAAAAATCGGCGCGGTTTTAATACCTCTGCTGTTGCAAGTCTGCAGGTTTCGGTGACTATAGTAGGTGTCCAGCCAGCGATACCAACAGTGCCACTCAGGTGGGTGGGGTTTGCTTACCCCTGACGCTTTTGATATGTCAGATTATTCCCGAGAATTGGCATAAGTCACATGGGCCTGGAAGTAGCTTGTAAATATGCAACTCAGAAAGTAATTTTCTTTTAAGCGCGCAGAAGGGCTGGAATAAAAGCAACCTCAATGACATAAGTTGAACCCAGGTGGTCATTGCGTAGTTCAAATTTGCCCACAAGTGCTTTAATGATATCTACGCCGAAGCGACGTGCACAATAAAACTCACTCTGGTATACTGCTTTTAAGGCCTGCCACACTGCTCAGGAGTGATGATAAAGTTAGTCAATCTATCTTCTGCCTCTTTAAAGGTTTCGCCCCACGAGGAGCAAATGAAACATTGAAAAAGGAGGAGGTAGTGGAGGCCATGGATGAACAGACCTTCCTCGGGCGTATCTTCAATAAGCTAAGCGCCTTGGAGGTCAGTGAGAAAGAAAACTGGAAGCAAAGGACTGTCGAGGAAGACAAAATAGTGCGTCAGGAGCATTTTAATTAGTGCTTATTTGTTAAGAAACTTGAACTAGACGCATGCTATTCCCCTTGATAGGCGGAGCGGATTCACATGGGACGATCAGCAAGCATCGCCCTGGGGATGGAGGTAAGGAAGAGGGAGAGGAGAAAGAGATTGGAGACAAATGCAGAAGAGGACGAAGACGAGGGTGAAGCTGCAGTGCTGAGCAACTTTTTTACCACGCTGCTCAACAAACGACATTCTATGATCCCCCAGCCCCACACACGGGGCAAGCAGTCGGAGAGCTTTTCGCAGGACCATAGGCTCGCCATTGAGGCGATTCGTCTTCGAGCCAGACACCTCTCTAGTGGAGACAGTGGTTGAGTGGATGGTGCTGTTTAAACCAACTTACGATGTAGAATTTTAAGTAGTCTAAAGTAGCTCTCACCTGTAGAATTATTGAGAAATGGGAAATAGGTTTTGTTCCCACCAGAATCAATGATGACCGGAGAGTAATAAGTCAGACCATGTTGCATCAACATAAAAATATCAAACTTTCAAAGTGAAAATTTGTGTGATTTTGAGTATCGAAATGCACTTAGTGGGACTGCCTAAAAACGTACAAACCAACGTTTATGATAAAAAAGAATTAAGTAGAGCGCTACTGGCTTGAATTGATTATTGTCCAGTTTCCTGTTTTGGAGGAAACATAGGTGGACCTAACTCAACTATGTAACGATAAATCTTTCTTTTTAAATGAAGGTGAAAATGACAAACCAAACCGCTATGATATGATCAGCCCAGTTAAGAAGAAAATGATGGAAAAAATACCATCTCCGTCGTCGGAAATGGAGGAAGCCTTCCGTGAGGAGGATGTGGAATCAATGGTAGATGGTGAGTTATGCACGGAAAACTAAGTCCCATAACTAGTTAACAGCAAAAAATGACCTGGTGGCCAAAAAGTTGTGTGCTGGTTCCAAAGTAGTTCGCTGAAATGGTTTAATATCAACTGCAGGGCTTGTCAAATGCACGTGATTGTATGCATTATAAAGCATGAATGATCTAACCGTACAGCACCCTCTCTTGTACCCTGCACTATCGCTTCTTCATTTTGGGCTCTAATGCCATCAAATTTTGGTTGAACTAACCCAGAGCTTTGATTTAAGTCCTCCTGATTTACAAACCAAATTTAACTCGCTTCCAAAGGTGAAACAGAATTTCCTTGTTAACTTTGGTGTTTAGCACGTAGAGAGAGTGATATGTAGCAGTGAACACTGTCCAGAAATATTTTAACAAGCGTGATTCAGGTGATGACCCACCAAATAAGCATTTCACTACATGTTGTTGTTGATTATTACGGTTTGTGTGCAAAACAACCCCCAGTCACAGGTGTTGTGAATGATGACGACTCAAATAGATTGTGTCCACATCAAATGGAAGGCTAGCGAACGGCTTTCACTCACACATACTACCAGACGACAGTAAGCTCAAACGGCTGAATTGGCTTTCGCTTTGGTTACTAAAACTCCTCCCTGTTAGACTGCTCACTGATCGCCTATTGTGTGTGACAAGAAGTGGCTCTTGTGCTTCTTTCTTCAAGCACTCGTGAGGTGAATAAACATACCATGAATTATCTGCAAGTGATCCACTGCCCTTTTTAAGCCTCCAGATTGGGGACCAGTTCATTTCCCGCTGAGCCTACCTGTTCCCAGTGTGGATGGGGGGAGGGGGGAATGATCCTCAGGCTAAATTGTTCATTGAAAATTGTTTCTTGCCATTACCACTAAACGAGTGTATGAGAAATAAAACAAACAGCTGGAAAATAAAAGAAGGGCAGGGAAGTAGGAAATTCAGAGGCTGCGTTTGCTTCCAAAAACCCAAAGTAAAAGCGTAACAAACAAGCCTGTGGTGTGATGTGAAGGGCTTGTAGATTGTGGGTTGCATAAATTATCTTAAGACGCATTCCACAATTACTTCACTGTTGTTATGCAAACCCGCGCGAGCTTGAATTTTGCAGGAGCTAGAAAGAACAAACTTCTACCTCTGTGGAGATATTAACTGTAATTCTGCAATTGCAGATTGCATTCGGCAAACTTATATTATCTCTGGGGAAAGCCCAACGATTTGCCATAGGTATACCGTAATCGCTAATTTCCTACCACTAAGCACACGCATCACTTCGAGCATTTTAACCCGACAATTAAGTCATTTTACTACGAGTATTTATTCACATTCGATTGAGACTCTTCATTCCATACGAGATACCAAACCTGATGATGAGGAAGTGAAACAACCGCTCAATCAAACTGAGGCGCCGACCGTTGAGGAGACAACCGAACCGAAGGAAGCTGCCGAGAATACCAGTACTCCAGATTACGGTACGCTCAGTTTTATGTATAAAAGAGCATTCTCGTGATTCCTCCGTTGTGTGAAATGTAAATTAACCATTGAGTTACCTGTCAAATATTTACAAGTAGTCTACAATGAGAAAACCAAAAAAAAATTTTATTTTTTTACCCACCTTGTGATAAGAACAACAACGAGAAGGACCAATTCAAGAGGAAATCACCGATCAGGAATCCCAAAATCTCGCGAATGAAACCGAGAAAGAGAACTGCCCCTTATTTGCAACGGGAGAGCGCTCATGTACCGAACAGATGAAGGGTGAGCGATTGAAGTCGACCTTGGTCTGTCTAGCCGTCTGTCAGAAATGAGTTCACCTCACTTTCTCTAACGGCAACAAGTTTTTAACCTGTGATTTAGAACTGACTCCAAGTGGCACTTGCGAAGAAGAGACTATGAATTTAGGTGAGGCTTTAGTTGCACTACAGCCTGAGGCTGCCAGTGAAGAAGTCCAGGTGATGCATGATAATATTGACCCCACCTTAGCTGAATGAGTTGACTTTATTAGTAGAAGGGATAAAATTGCCTTTTTATCTTTTTACTATACTGATTTTCTACCAGTCGGTTGGGATGAAAGTTAAAAGTTGACAGCAGCGACAGCTTAAATAAAACTTAGCTAAATCTTGACTCATTTCTTTGTATCGAGGTTCACCTCCAGACCAACACATCTAACAATTAATCTGTAGCATCTCTTCTCCTTCTTATTAACGGGCGAATATCTTAAAAATCCCTTTTAATACCGACTAACGGAATGAATATGAATGCATCAGAGGTGATCTTTTTCACTTCAACCTGGGATTGATAGCTAAATCTTCTTGGTGGAATATAGACCTTCATCAAGAAATTAGGAGTGAGACACGGAAGGCCGAAGAGAGTGAGGTTCAGGCCGGAGCAGTGTCAGAGGAAACAGTGGAGGCGACGAATGTGGTGACTGGTGGAGAAGCAAAGGAGGGAGCCATTTCAAGTGATGGTGGTAAGATCATTTAGTTTAAAACCCACCAAGGCTTTTTATACTTTTGTATTCAGAATGTACTGCAAGTGGTTGGGTAGCACCAAAACTGCATCAAAAACTTCATTTTGAAGACTTTTCACTATCTCATCGCAAGAAATCACAAATCCAATGTTGATTTAATATTTTCTTCCATCTTTCAAACACCTACTTTGATTGATACTATGTTATATTTCATGGAAAAAAGAAAATAAACACTTTTTAAAGCATTTACCTTGCTGGTCCTGCTTCTTGCGCCCTTAAATTGCTAGGTTGATCGAGCTTTCTGAGTGGTAGTGAAAATTGAATTTACCGTTACATACAGCACATCACCAGGACGAAACTAAGCCCGAATCCGAGTGGGAGTTAATCGTGAAGGGGGCCAAAGGAGTGACTGCAGCGGAGTCCGGGATCGAGGCAATTCCTGGTGTCAGTGGTAAGCTCATTCAAGTTATCAACCAATTTCCTGTATGCAAACTGGAGTATCGCGGATCACTTAAACCAACGACCATGTTAAGGCCCTCGTTTAAAGGATCAATCTCCTACGTAGTGGTGTTCCCCCTCCCTTGTAGTAGAGCGGCTTCAATTTTCTTGAAAATATTTATTTCAAAAAATGGACATGCTGACAAATTTTGATAGAAATCGTACGTTTAAGGCATTCCAAATGTACAAATTTAATTGTTTATTCCAAAAGATCACGAAGTTTCTGACAGAAAGCCTTTAATTGCGTAATATGTTCTTGGCAGACTTTTTCGCTCGAAATTTAGTGAGTAAGCACACTATTTGCGCTTTAGATGAGCAAGACGAGGCGTGTAGATTTTGGATTGGCTATTGCACCGACTTGTAGGAATATCCAGAGGCTAATCACATGAATGCGATTGTTAATGCACATCAAAAAGTCAGGGCTTTACTCCTCCTTGTGCTCTGCACTATTTACCTCTTGCTCTAATTTAACTATCATTCTCTAAATGTCATTTGAGCTAACTTGGTGAGTGTGATTTGGGTTTTTGGCTCGGTTCCAAGGCTACACAGGCTTCTCGTCAGATGCGTATGCCAATCAGAGCCAGTGGGATAGCTGAAGCACTGTACAGAAATGACTTCAATGCACTGTTTGCTTTGGTGATAGATCATTTAAGCGTGGATGTATCACGATTGGGGAAATCCCCTATTTTTGATAATGTGGTTGTACTTACCCATAAGGATTAAAGTGATTTGAGGTCATTGTATCAAAAAGACCCCGCAGTCATGGTTATTGGGAGTGATGGGGAGTCAAGTCTTTTGTGTTTACGCCATCTGGGAGGGAGGACAGGCGCAACGGGCGATTCAGGTTCCCCTGTTTTTTTTTTTTTGAAGTCGGAAGAGGTCATGATGCTGGGGTAGAAAATATCCCGCTGACGTACAGAAGGGCCGAGGGGCTACTGGTATGGCCCGAAGGTCATGCCACCCAGCAAAAGTACAATGTCGGAGTCTTAGGTGCCCGCGTAACCAAAACGAGAAGTTGAGCAATTGAAGTGCTGTAGAAGATAAGGCAGTGGATTCCATTTACACAAAACACTAGGCTACATCAAGCTCAAACGGCTTTGGATTTACTCCTAACCTCTTTCGCTACTATTATACCAACTCATAGTTTTTAGCCTGCTCACTGATTGTGTTTACGTATTCTAGTGTTTCTTAAGCTAACGAATATGCCATTGGCTAAACCGAAGGAAAGTAGGTTGTGAGTGGTGGCTCAAACAAGAAGTTTTGTTTAATTACGTGATTTAACCTTAAGGCAACAGTTGTTCCAGCGGACAGGTAGAGGGCCATGAGGTGTAACACGAACATCAACAATGTTTCTTAAATCCTACTGGCTGTCGGTTAACGGTAAAATAAATGAACTGTCGAAAATGTCGCTTTTAGGCGTTCCGCTTTACACCTTCACGGTTTAGAACAGTTGCATCTGTAAATGCATCATCGTGTCCACTCTATTTCAACGGAGAATGCATCAAGTCAGAGGAAATCTTGAGTGATGAGAAACATGAAAATAGAGCTATAACTGTCATTGAGTTGCAACCGAATGGTGGGTTGACTCCACAATTATAACAGACAAGATTTATTTATGGCAACCTAGGCTATTTTAAATTCCACCCTGAATTGATGCTAAAAATTAAAATTCAAAATATTTGCTAAAAAAGTGGAAGGCGGCATTATGTGACTTTTGCCACGGAAGATTTATATTGCTCTAAAGCTGGGTTGGTTCAAAATATTTTTTAACTAAAATAGTTTTTAAGAACCTACAGGAATGACAAATATGCAGTTGAGATCAGGTGATGAATTGCCCGAGGGAGAGCGAGCCCTTTCTTCTTGATAATGAATAGTGGAGGTAACCATTACTGCTACTTGTTCCAGCCATGCTAAATTTGAGTGCCCTTGATACGATTCATTGATAAAAGCATCATATAAGAGGGGAAATGAATCAACAGAGGAGAATAAAACCCACAAGAATTAATTTATCTTATAGGAAGATGTTTGCTTTGAGCCTTTTACTTAAGCCATATTTATGAGCAAAGTGAAGCGACTCTGCCAATTACTGTGAATCCTTTTTCATTCCACTCTGCGAAAGACAAACAATTCTCTTATTTCGAAATGTAGAACTTCCTCAAGGAATCGGGACTGAGGCGCAAGTCAGAGAGAGGGAAGGTCAGGTTGAAACCGTGCCAGGAGAAGCAGTGGAGGAGGCGAATGTGGTGACTAGCAGAGAATCAGAGGAGACAACTATTCCAAGAGATGGTGGTAAGCTTGTTTACTCTGTTTTACACCAAGGCACTTTGCACTTTTGTGAATGGAATATGCTATGGAGGCCAAAAACATGTTGATGCTGCTTCGTGCGTTTTCAAATTTCTCCTCTGATCTAACCCTCGAAGTGGCAGTAAAGGCTGCATCTGTCATAACACGCAGGGCAGCACCAAGGGTACACAAAGGAGGGCCTAGATGAGGCTCCAAGTGACTCAAAGTCGGAGGCAAAGGTGGAAGAGGTAGAAGAAGAGGCTACGACGGAACCAGAGGTCAGGACGATTCCCACTGTTGGTGGTAAGCTCAGATAATTTATCACACAAAATAAGTTTCGAAATTTTCTAAATAATTAACTTTTTGTGGTTGCAATAGAATATTACAGGCCAGTCAAGACAAAAACTGAATTGGAGCCCTCATTTCGAGATGGCATTCAAAGACCCATTCTTCTAGTAACGGAAATTACTTCATTGTTGCAGTAGAGTGCCTTAAATTTTAAAGGGTTTAAAAAAAATTTGTTAAATACACAGAGAAAATTTGAACAGAAGTGGAAGATGTTGTGCGTTCTACGCACTTTAGATTTTATGCAACTGACAAGTTTAATAGAAGCAGACCATTTGAAGCGTTACAAATGAGCTGGTTTCAAGGTTTCTAAGGGAAATCTTTCACCTGCACACCATGATAATGGTTGACTTATTTACTCTAAATTTCATAAAACAACAAACGGTTTACGATTCAGATGACAAAAACAAATCGAGTGGTCTTAGGGTTATCTAAAGGACTGACGTGTAGCAATTTCTAGTGACTTGTCAAATTCATATGATTGTTTATAGGCATCGAAAAGAAGCATTTTTCTCCTCATTGCGGTCCGCACAGTATGCTTCACATTTTAAATCCCCTCTTCCTTTCTAAAAGGTCAGTTGAAATAATCGGATGAATGTGGTTAGAGTTTACGGCTCAATTCCACAACTACACAGGCTTTTCGTCAAATGCGCAAAGGAAATGGAAACTGTGAGGCAGCAGAACGCGCTGCGCATAAGTGGTTTGAAAGCAATGTTTGCCTTTTGTGGTAGATCATTCAAGGTCGTATGGACCACGACATAGTAAGCCGTCTATTTCTGATAATGAAAGAGGACGCATTGATTGCGATCAAAATACTTTGAGGTCAGCGTACCAGGAACAAACTCCAGTCATGGTTATTATGAGTGATGGGGAGCTAGGTCTTTTGTGCCTACACCAACTGATA